TACTTCTTCTACTACCTCTTTTAGTCGTCTTTACTCTTTACCACTTACCCCCTCTTCATAATTCATAACTCACAATTAATATTATTATGAGCCCAAGGAGAGAAAATGCACAACTACTACTCTAATGATGGTAACAAAAATAATTACTACGTTTTACTCTTTTAGTAGTATTAATTATTGCGTGAACAGAGGAAAGACCATCATTTTGTATGAGTAGCGCAAAAGGGTTTTTTTTTTCTTAATGCCCCGAAAAAAATTTCATCATACTTCAAAAAAGTTTTCATTGGATGCCAGAACTCTTTTTCGCCTAATTAATAGAACCCACTCAATTGGATTCAGTACGTAGTTTTCTTTTTCTTCATAATTCCCCTACTGCTCTCGAATTTGCGTACATTGTGCTCTACTGGTTGATGCATTTCCGTATCCCTCAAACGTACATAAGTGATGGAATTCAATAGATGGCAAAGTGAGAACCATGTTTTGAGTTCCATCTACAATTACAGTTAGGCTTTTTTTTTATACTTGACTTGATAATGAAACCTGTAAGAAAGAAAGGGGGTCAGTGCTCCGACGCCCAAGTCAATTGGGGTAGAGATAAGACCAGTCATAGAGTCAAGATGGTGTAGTGTAAGGTAGAAAATAGAGTAAAAAAGAAGAGTGTGAACCCTTTATCTAAAGGCTGATGTAAAGCATTTATAAGGGAGATACCCTAGAAGTAAAGGGCCAAGATCTATTGGACATATGAATGACCATTGGATTTGGCCCTTGGATGGCTTTGTCCTCTTCCTACCTTTTGCTCTGTTTGTATTCCAGAAGTAGCTAGGCAAGATCATAAGGTTGGAGAAAGGATCCTTGCCTTCATTCCCATAATAGCAAACCATGGTTCCCGGTAATAACTCTTTTATTGACTAGATCCGACCCGACCCAGGAAGGACAACTTGGGTCACAGCAAGTGGGACTAGGGGTCCCATCAACTAGTCCCGCAGTCCAGAAGCAGTGGTTTGTACAAAATACTACTTCTGGACAGGACTAGACTTCTTCCGGATCCGTTTACTCTAGCTTTTACAAGGTCTTTTAACTAGCCCCGCTGTTTGGAAGCATGAGCTTTTACAAGATTTTGTTTCTGGGCTAAATACTGGAGAAAGAGTTGACCCTCATGGACTTTCCTTTACTAAAAACCCAAATGTCCTATGATAATTATTGTGAAGATTGATCTTTTCTTCGTATACGAATTTTCTCAAATTCCTAAGCCCCGAGCTTGAAGTGCTAGAGCACCTTAGCTCGGAAGAGTGGCATCTATTATCGTGCAGGTTAAACTAAGGTTTGTACGGCTTATTGACTTATTCATAATGAATTTGTCACAATGATTTTAGTGTAGAACGTAGTGATATCTAAGCCTCGTAAATTGACTTTCTAAAGGGGAAAGAATTTAGTGTGTTTAACCATTTGACTTGTCCATTATGGACTTGTCACAATGGTTCTGTTCGGAAGGTAGATGAGGGATGAAAACCCCATGTAATGGTGTTTAATTTCTGCGGAAGGCAATTCATAATGCGCCTATACCCTCTGACTTGTTCATGTTGAATCTGTCGAGAGGGTTTTAAGTAACAGAAGTTTATATTTATCCAAACTAAAGAAAGAGAACTTTGTGACAAAATAAATGTTATATTGTCATAGTATGGGTATTATTCTTCCCTAGTTAAATGTTTATTCAAGTATTTGTATGAATATCAAACTAAATAGCATTGACTGAATTTTGTCCGAAGGAGAGGGTTTTGAAACCTTTCGGAAGTTACTACATCATTAAAAAGTTGTTCTTCCTTTTTTGAGAAGTACTTGTTGTTTTAAGGGAGGTCAAAACCTGGAATTATAGTAACATATTATATTTTCCAACTCTCAATTCAACATTCATCGCATATAGATGATGGATTTGATAACAGTAATCCTTTTGTTGATTAAACATAGTTATGGAAGTCTTATCGAACTAGAGCTTTATAGCCTTTTAAATTCTGGTTGTAGCTTTAGGCTTTTGGTCGAGTTCGAATCTCTGACCTAGAAACTTTAAATAGATTGAAGGTTTAGATAGATATGCATGAGACTTATTTATAACGCTGCCGGAAGAAAGAGCTTCGGCATTAGGAGCAGGAAGAAAGAGCTTTGGCATTAGGATTGAAGCAAGAGCTTTTTAGCAATAATCAACCGAAAGAAGCTTATACTTTTTAAGATCTGGGGGAAGAGAATTGTCGAGGTGATGGACTTCCAAGGGAGACATATACTCGTCTGAAGGCAGAGTGATTATCAACGCGTCTGACTTCCGGAGGAGACATATACTCGTCCGAAGGAAGAGTAGTTATAAACGCGTTTGGCTTATGGAGGAGACCCACTCAACCGAAAGCAGAGTGATTATCGATGTGTCTGGCTTCCAGAAGAGACCCACTCGTCCGAGGACATGGTGAAAGCGACAAGTTTCCGGAAGAGACCCATACTCATCCGAAGGTAAAATAATTGTCAAGATGATGACAAGTTAAAAGAAGGCCAATTTATTTATGGTTGTCTAGAGGAGGACTAGAGTCATCTGCAAGTCAAAGAGTGGTCATGGCAATGGTCTCTAAATGAGACTTATGCCTTTCTTTTCTTTTCTTTTCTTTTTGACAAAGGTAGGGTCGTCTAGAGCAATGGTTCATTCAAAGGACTAAAGGTGTAAATTTACCAAACTTTGAGTGTTTTGACTCATAGATGTATAATCCTGCCCAATTGTCCCCCTTTTTTTTTGAAAGAAGAAAAGAGGGAACAATGAAAGTGAATATCAACGGGTCCGGAAGGATTCATATTTCTGGAACAAAGGTATAGCAATGGCATCCGGAACCTATATGCTGCCAAAGCATAAAGGTATAAGATTTTGAGGCCACTCACAGTAGGGTTAAACTATATTGATAAATTTTCAAGTTGTAGAGACATTCTATTAATTAATATCTTGAATGTTGTCAAAAAATTTCTTTTTTAAGAAGTGGTTGTCCTTTTAGAGTTACGAGAAAGGTCTAGTGGCATCCAAAACAAAGGTCTAGGAGCCAGATAAGTGATGATGTTACGAGAAAAATGCTGACCTACGATTATCTATACTTTGGATCCACATAGATCTTTCAGGTAATAATGGTTTCCAGAAGTGATGTCATCCGGAACTAGGGTGACTTTGATGGTTATTTACAAATCTGAGCAGTGGGGTTCCATAGGGATATACCTTTTCGGTATGAATTAGTTTTTAAGGAATGAACTTTTAGAGTTGCTTTATAGTTAGAATAGCTATTGGAAGGTTTTTCCAGACCATTGTGAGGTGAAACAAGGCTTTTGCTTTGTTCGTTCGGACCAAGACAATACTTATTATTATGGTCAAACTGAAAGAGTATTAATGTTTCTGATTACGTAGGACGAAACTTCAGCCAAACTAATGGTGATGTGAGGTGTCCAAGGATATATTATCAGCTTCGACCTTAAGCACATCTCCAAATTCATGTGGAGTGCTTCCGAAGGCTTGATAGTTAAAAAAACTAAGCGAAGAGAGGTATCTTTTCTTTATGTAGAATTTTGAATTGGATGGGTGCTACTTTTTGCATGGTATGGCTTTATTTGGATCAGACCAGCCATGGAGTCATGGTGGTGTAGTGTAAGGTATAAGATAGAGTAAAAAAGAAGAGTGTGAACCATTTACCTGAAGGCTGATGTAAAGTATTTATAGGGGAGATACCCAAGAAGTGAAAGACCAAGATCTATTGGGCATATGAATGACCCTTGAATTTGGCCCTTGGATGGCTTTGTCCTCTTCTTACCTTTTGCTCTGTTTATATTCCAGAAGTAGCTAGACAAGAGCATAAGATTGGAGAAGGGATCCTTGCCTTTATTCCCATAATAGCAAACCATGGCCCCCGGTAGTAACTCTTTTATTGACTGGATCCGACCTGACCCATGAAGGACAACTTGGGACACAGCAAATAGGACTAGGTGTTCCATCAATAAGCGTATCATTTTTTATTTTTATTTTTATTTTTTGCTTTTTTCCCCGATATTTTCTTTTTCCTTACTGAAGTCAGCCCCTAAATTACTCACACTTGAACTTCTTTGAACAAAAAAGAAAAAAAAAACTCTTATTTGTAGATAGAAATACTTTTGAAGTAAGGGTTTTGTTGAGAACAGAAAGTGCTATATTATATATATAATTCACAATCGCATAAAAAAAGAGATCAGTGAAAATAATGTCAGAAGGTCGATCAAATTCAAATATGGAATGGCTAGTTTCTCCACTATCATGTCAAACCGTGGTTAGAGGATGATGTAATTGGAGTGGCACATCGTTGAAATGTGTTTGTATGATTTTAGGCTTTTTCGCCTCTTTTTATTGGAAAAAAAAAGTAAAATTGAAATGTACAAATTCAAGAGGTTACAATATAACGACTGTTTACTGTGCAAAAATACGAGTTTATTGAGGGCTACAGTTATGGAGAAAGGATAAACAGGAAAATTAAGAGAAGGATGAGGAAGGTCACAAGATATAAGTTTGTCACATACTACTAGAAGAGCCATAGAGAGGCCCAAAACAAAACAAAACAAAAGAGAATCGATGGCCGAAATGGAAGAAATTAGTGAGAGTGGGTGTGGGCGTGATGATGATGGGCTTCGTCGGTTCGAACCAATCCAAACCATCATTGCGAATCTTCGGACCGGCTTAGCCCCTCCCGCCATCATTTTGCAACCTCCTAAGTAAAACACCCAAAATACCCTTATCCTCAGTTTCACAAGAACCCGTAAAATACCATATTCACCCCTTCAATTCTGACACCCCCATCATTCACATGACGCCATCCCTATGAGAAGAAAAGTAAAAAACCCATCATCATCATCATACGGTTTAAAAGTAACAATTGGGAACACAACAATAAATCCTTTCCATTTACAAGCCGCCTTCCATGCTTACACCTAAAATGATTGTTTTGACAGAGTCGAAGAAGAAAAAAAAAATAAAGCATGTCTCCTTCCCTCTTCTTTCTATACAGCAGTCTATTAGTACTACAAGCTTACTCAAAAACTCTTTTTTTTTTTTTCCTTCTTCCAAAGATCTTCTCTTTCCACCTTTTCAGCTCTATATAAATTCACCCTGCCCCTTAACTCCATTTTGTCCCTTCAAATTCTTCTGTTTTGCTTTGTTTCTCTACCACTTAAGAAGTACTACTACTACATTGCTATTAACTTTGTTGATAACTTGTAAGTTGCAATCAGAAAGCTGCTAGCTGCTGTGACTTGCTATTCTCTTACCTTACCAACCTTTGTTGCAAAAAGAAGAAAAAAAAAGGTGATCTTTTTTGAAAAGCTAGCTAGCTTACATTGGGGGTATACCCCACATCATCTTCTTCTTCTTCTTCGATTCTTCTATTCTTCTTCTTCTACTTCGACTACTAGTTTTCCACTACCATACAAATGACTTGTTTGTTTTAACTTTTTTTTTTAATCTTAGTGTGGTTTCTTTCGCTTTGAAAGTCCGGCAACGTTTTTTGCATTAACATTTTTACCACATTTGTTGCCCTTTATCTGCTAAGTTATTACTTCTTTGCGTTCTGAAGATGTGCATGTGAAAATTAGTGAGCCGGAATGATGATGATGATCAAGTATTCGTTTTGTTTGGAACTGTATTAAAACGGTAGTTTGTCTGGTTATCAACTTTATTCTTGACTTGCTGGCAAGGACAACAGAAAGGTGCCATTTTTAAATGAGTGCTCATTTGGAGATACTGATACTCTTACCACTTTTTTCTTTTCTGCATGTTTCTGTAATCCAACAATATGTACACGACAGACCGTAATTTCCAACATAAATAAAGTGGCCTCTTCTCAGTTTTCATTTCTCTGCCCTGTTTTTACCCTATTTCGCAACTTCCCTCATTCTTGCTAACATTTTTCTGGTAATCCTCACAATGACGTATTGTATGTTTTCAAATAGGGTGGTTGAACTTTTTTTTTATTACATGTACAAACACAAAATGAAAATTGTTCCGATTTTATGCATTTTGAGAATTCTCTGTTTTACTCTGTTTCAGGGGGAAATTCCAGTTTTGTGGAAAATGGAGAAGCTGAACTCAAAGCTGTTCATGGAGAACTGTTACATCATGAAAGAGAATGAGAGGCTGAGGAAGAAAGCAGAGCTTCTGAACAAGGAGAATCAAGCCCTGCTGAATGAGCTGAAACGCAAGCTCGCTCAGGGGATTACTAATCATTCCTCTGACTCCATTCCTGATCTCAACCTCTGCTCCGGCTCCTCCGGTGGCTCGAATGCTTCGAAATCCCGTAACTGAAAAAATGCAAATTGAAATCTACCCAGAAAAGGAAGGACACATTTCCAGTTTTGTGTTCATCCCGGCTGGAATTTTAGGGGGTCCTCTGTCTTTATATTTTACTCTGTTTATGGGGAATTGGTAGGATCTATATGTCATGGTAGTTACTACTAGTTAGGTTTGGTGGGGGGATCAGTTTTTAGTATTCAACGTAGGAGTCAGGATTCAGGACGACGACGTCTTTTGTTTAGCTGTCCATTCGTGTCTGTCCATCTTATCAGAATTCTCAAGTAGTAGTAACATTTTGTCCTCGTCTCTTGTACCTATATTCTAATACTATTTCCTATCTCCTCTCAAGTACGTACGCTTCGGAAAATGATCGCAGTTTTTGCCCTTCATTTACTAAAATATTTACTTTATATATTGGGCAGGGAAATCTTGGTTTAAAAGTTTTCTTGGCTATTTGAAAGTGGAGTTATGAGTTCACATACATGTTATGTTACATTTTTGAGCAGAAAACTTGCGACTAGGGACAAATTGTGGTCTGAGTTTCTACCACATTAGTGGTTAAAATGTCATTGTTACCAATTTTTATAAGCACAATATACAACTCCGGCCTCCAGGATCATATGCTAGTAGCCTAGTACGCCATTTCATGTATGCATTTTTTGTTTTGATAGTTGGACGGGAAACACCGTTCTATTTATTGAGGTTGCTAGTCAACCTCTAGTTGGAGCTTCTTAATAAAGCCAGTTTCTGGCTGTATCTTATTGTGTTAATGGATCATCACCAGAAGTGACTAAAAGAGGGTTTTGAAACGTTTTGGACCGGCTATTTGAGCATCAAGCCGTATAATTCATCAATGCAATTCAAATTGTTGCAGGCTTGCACCCAACTTTTTATCGGTAAAAACAATTCTCGAAAGTGTCCTCGGTAACTTTCATGGGGGAAATAAATAAATAAATTAGACAAGTTATAAGACAGTCTTATACAATTACATTTCCACCAATTATGCACAAAACTACTGCATCATCATAAACTATGTTTTCGAGACGACATCAAGTTAGCTAGGACATGGGTTTACTGTAATGAATGTTTCTTGTACATTGCAAAATCTATGTTACTGCATAACCGAAGAAACATATAAATCCAGAGATAAAAGAAATATATGTGTCAGAAAAGGGAAAATCAAGAATTTAATATATTCCTGTCAAGAAAGCCAAAGCAAAGTGACGGGAGGATCTATGATCAGAATTCAGAATCAGACTATATGGATAAAGGTCACGTCATCCAGATTGAGTATACGTAATTATAGTCAATGCAGCATTATATGATATATAAGTTGATAACAGGGGGATTAAGTTTGAATTGTATATATGAGGAGGAGCCCCCCGTTTGTCAACTCCTTGGTATCATTTCTTCTTCTGCCAGCATCAATCATGTTGACCATCAGATTTTCCTTTATTAATTCACAACAAAATCAATGTTTCGAATACAACTACTACTTGTAGACTCTTACAGAGTTACATACTTTACAGTCGCACTAGGGTCTTAAGGTCTTAATCTTTCGTGATCATAAGTTTAATTAAACAACAAATGGATTCATCACTTTCTTCTCTTCTTCTTTGTTTTTCAACTCCATCAAAACTTCTAAATAACCTTTCAAATTTCAAGTTAATAACCAGCTATTTACGTAAAATGTACAGATAGTACGATTTTTGTCCCAAAAAATACTCAACGTTGCATTTTCATATTTGTATCGCTTTTAATTCAAATTTAAAAACTCAAAGAGAACTATTTTTTTTTTTTTTGAAACAGAGAGAACATCAACTTGATTTTCTTTTATAGAATTGAGCTCGAACTCATCAACTTCAAACTCAAATTAAGATTGTGTTTTTGGTGACTTTGGTCACACATGTTAGTTAACAGAGTGCCTTAAACCGTAGTTATGAAAATAAACTAGGTGCCTAATTTCCACTTCCCAGCGTGTGACACTACCCAAAAAAAATCCAGGCCTCAACAAATAAGTCAAAGTGGAAAGCTTGGGAAGAGGAGGCCACAAAAGGGCTTCTTGTAGTAGTAGTAGTAGTAGTGTTTCATAGTGTGGCAGCATATAGGCTAATGATGAGTGGGACGTCATGTGGAAGAAAGAGTTTTTCTCAAAGGAGCCATTAAAACAGCCCAATCAAACACATCAAATCACACGTCCCCATGAAACTTTCATAAAAACGTTCAAACCTCGGTAGAATACAGGGGTTTGATTTTCACTCATTCTATCATATGCCAGCAATGACGCCTTCTCTTTTTCTTTCTCAGTTGTTTATAATGACTGCGCCCCATCGCAAGCAAAATCTCATGATTTGGAACAGAGTACTATGTGTAATTTTTATTTATTTTTTATTTTGTGTGTGTGTGTGTGTATAGAGTTTCAGAAGGAATTATGATGATGAATTCCCTCTTTGAAAATTTCAACCGTGAATTGAAATCCTCTCGGATCTTTAGCCCATCAGAGCAATATCTTTAGAGGCATCATTGATTTGATTCATTTCCCCATCACTCCAAATTTCCAGATTTTTCTCTCTCTCTGGAATTTTTGCCTGTTATCGTTCAAACTCAATGATGATGAACAGTGGTTTTGATTGCGCCTAAGCCTTCAAACTCCAAGATGATCTCAAGTATCTTCTGACTTTTCTCATATGTAGTGTGGTAAACTAAAAAAAAAAAAAAACACAAAAGAAGATTTCCTTGTATTAAGTAACCAGCTGATCAGCTACTTTGTCACAACCCAATCTGGAAAACCAGTGTTCATAACTGGCCTGCTCTGCTAAATTCTGGCTTTTCAATAAGGCTTCTGTCGTGACTATATATATCTCGCATACAGGCACGGTTGCACCAAAAGAAGGAAACTTTGGACCCAGAAAGAGTTGCCTCTGTTTCACATCTTTCTGTATCAAAGGTTATATTTATTTTAGCAAATAAAATATCACTTCTTATTTTGTATGTTCTGTGTGAGTTTTAAAATTGTCACTCTATATTCATACCTCACTCGTACAATGTTGAAAATTTACATCGCAAAGTTCAAAGAGAAAAGAAAAAAGAAGGTCCATCATCTTCTTCATCATCATAGTTCCAAAAAGTTACATCTTCCGTTCCGAAATTATTATACAGTCTAGATTTTCATTTTTAGTACAAATAGAATTAAAAGTGAAATGTCAAATTAGATAATAATTTTGGAACAGAACGAGTATGTAATAAGAATATTAATCTGACTACAGTAGTCCAGGTCCTCCACCGTGGTTACTACAATACCGTATTGAAGTGAGGCCGTTCTTGAAAAAATAAAGAATCATACTCTCCCCATCTCATTTTTTTTTTTTTGGGTTTAAAAGAGAATTATATTAATCTACTAATAAGCATCCGATAATTTACAAGCTTCCTGGCATCTAGAATCATGCACTAGTAACACCGTGATAAAACTAGGGCGACATCAAAAAAATATAGCCCTCTATCTACTCAAGCACATTTTAATAGTTGAGTGACAACACTGCACTAAAAGAACTAGTATTAAAATAAGAAGGGTGGGTTAAAAAAGGTTACCGCGAGAGAACGCTCTAGGATGGAGATGATAATTGAACATGGTTCAAAGTCCAATGGACTAAAATGACTGCAATTTAAACACAATAACACCAACAGATGACCGCAATTTAAACAAATCTGAGAGCTTCAGTTCTTTCTTTATCAGTAGCTGTTCGTTTTCTTACATAAAAGTAAATCAGCAACAATCAGCACAAAAGGTTAATCAAGCAGAACAACAATCTTCCTCAAATGCTTCATCTAAGTATCTAACCGCTGTTGAATTTGATCTTCCGGGTGTAGTAGACAGCCATGAGACAAATCCAAACTTGCTAGACTATGTCAATAACGATTCCAGTTTTTTTAAACTAGTATAAATTTACATGCAAACGAGGGAAGATTTCAACTAAAACGATGTATAAAATTGATCCCAGAGTATTCGTTGTGTAACCTATATAATCATGAAATGCAGCTTTAATTCATTGAGAACCAACAGGATTCCATGTACAAAATCTGTGCCAGCACTTGCAACTCTGTGTTCCATAATTATATAAGTCGGGGCTTGTGAGTGGGAAAAGCAGCCAGCAGAACCCCAGAAGCCCGGCTAGAAATACCAAACTTACAATCACTCCTGTTAGCAACCAAAAGTGATCATTATAGAGCTCAATGACGTGATAATGTATGGAAAAATTATTCAAATGCACTTATGAAACCACACAAATGAAAGTAAGATCCTCTTTCAGTTGTTTACTTTACAAATGTTTGGCAATTGGCATTCAATTTTTTGGTTTCAGAATCGTACCTCTTCGACGTGAAAAAAAAGCTGGTATACCCATGTAGTTGCAAAACATATGAGCAACTAACGGAGAAATAAGATGTCCTGAATCCAAAATAAATTAAGGTCAAAAGGTATGTAAGATCATCCAGATGACCAAAGAAAAAGGAGGGTCATTTGGCGGAAGAAAGTAAATAAGAAGCCTGATTCTTAAATAGAAAATAAAGAAATATAAAGATTAGCATCTCTCGGGGTCAGCAACATACCTGTTCGAACAAACAAAAAGGACGCGTATGACCCAAAGACTACCGTGTATCCAAGTTGAAAAGCTGGAAGACAAACAGGAATACCAGAATTAGTTAGAGGCTGAATTACCATTACCCCACCCACCCAGAAAAAGGAAATCCATAATGGATGTCACATTGTTCCCCTGCAAATAGTAAATGCTTATATTCCAAATCAACGGTCAACAGATGTTACTCCTGAGCGAAAAGGAATTTTGACTATGCATACAGAGGTGAATGGAAAAGAAACCATACCCACAGCCATGGAAGCATTGAGCAAGCTGTAGTCTTTATGGATATAGAATTCCAACATATGATTTAGATGAGCTGCAAGATTATCACGTCTTTCAGTATATGACTAATAAGCAGCAAAAGAAATAAAGATGTGATATGGTTGCAACCACCATGTAGGTAAAAAAAAAACAGAAAGATTTTATTTGGTTGAAACTTCAGCAAGATTTAAGACCAAAAAGTACTCCTCTACTTGATGAGAATCTGAAGTTAATAAAGAAGAAAAATCTTCACAATGAAACGGTCAAGCCAATATAAGCATCAGCAATGGAGGAAATAATAGTTCAAATTTCCAAATTGAATAGTACTCCATACGTCAAAAGAGAATCATATAAAGGCAATTTATAGAATTTTATAACAGAAAATGTTTTGAAAGCCCCAATGCCTGAAATAAATAGAAAGATGCTCACAAAGAAAAAGAAACATTTCATGTAGAAAGTACTTAAACCATTCTCATTCACTTACCTAAACTGAAAAATATTGGGCACAGAAATATAGCGGTATAAGTTTTGAACCCTGCACAAAGGAGAAGGGGTAGCATGCAAGCTCTAAATACCAACTCCTCTGTGACTGGTGCCTGCATAGTATGTGATTGATGGATTAATTGGTATGAGAGAGGGAAAAAACTGACAACATCAATCACCACATATGAGAATGCAATATAAACGTTCGACAAAATTTCACCCATATGCAATAAAAGTAACACACACACACACCTAGCATTAGTCATCACAAAGGAGGTTCCCACAAGACATAGAGTCCAAAATACGTCAATCTCGATCGAGATTGTTTCTAAACTATTTGCAATGTAGAGAAAATAGAGAAACACAGCAGAGGAAACATAGGACAGCCAAGATAACAAGAACATACGAGAACAAATGATAAGTTCATGAGTATACTAACCACAATGTAGTTACGCCAAGCTGAGACATTGGTCCCCATTGAAGCAATCTTGCTCATGAACACGGCTCCCCCTTCAACTTGATGTTCCTTGTGTGAATCAAGCACATGCAAAATCTTCTTGACAAATGACCCAGCATACATCAGGGAAGTCAGTGAAAGCGGAAGGATAAATGCTTGCCACTGTTTCACACACAAAATTCCATTTCAGCAAAAGTCATCCTTTTCAATCTGCAAGTAGATCAAATGACATCAACTGATAATAACACGTGCATTAAGAGGCTCACATCACGAACAAGATAATGGAACCTCAAGCACAATACTCACAACATGATCCCATCGCATGCCATAAGCACTGAATACATCTGTCATACGCCACCGAATCTGGCAAAAATGAGAGAAAAATCAGAAACAGGATGAGCAACAGAAGTTGCAAGTTTAACAAAAAGAAACGTAAAACTATGAGGTGAAAACACCAAAAACCAATCAAAAAATTATACTACGAGTGTTACTATGAGGAATGCATCAAAGAATGCTATAACTTATCAGATAAAACAAAAACCAATACAAGGACAATCCGAGAAGGGGGAAAAAACAACATAGATTCAGATCCAACAAGCTATTATGATTTACTTCAGTCAACAATCAACCCGCCAGCCATTCATGATAATTAGGATTGTGGCCCTAAATGCCTCAAAATTTAAAACGGAGTTAAAAAGCCTCCTCTAGCTATCTCAGTCCAAGACAAATTAACTTTCCTATCTTTCCTGATCAATGAACTATTCACGAAACTAAAGTGATGGCTTACAACAAGAACTAACAACATAACAATTAACTACGTACCAATAATAGTCAACAGAAAGACAAAATTAGAGGTTCAAATTTAGGAGGAGGATTAAATTGAATGATAAAAAAACTGAAATGGGTTCGGAGAGACTAACCGGGAGGATGAGAGCGGTGGCGATGAGGGAGAGAAGGGAGGAGATAGTGGCGCAAATGAAGCGTCGAATCACGAAGGCTTCATAGGAAACCGGCGGAGGCAATCGGAGAATAAATGTGGGAGCATAAAGAATTGCAACATACAGCACCGCCATGGCAGCACATGCAAGAACAGCAACAGATGCCGATACTCCGCCGTCGGAACCCAGTACTTCTTCTCCTTGCTGCGCCATCAATGGCGTCCCCATCAACATCAATCCCTCCGGTTCCGGGTTCACTGTTTTTACCTCTGTTGACTTGAACAGTTGTGGAAACTTTTACTATGAATGGGCTAAAAAAAACCTGGCAAGCGCAGAATCAGAAGTTCAGAACTACTACCGGTAATCGATCAATGGGAATTTTTAGTTTGAGTCTAAGAAGTTGAGCGAAGCAAGAATAGGATTTTTTTATTAGATTCCAATTTCCAAAGGGAAAGAAATAAGAATGGAAAGAATAGTAGTAACATTTGCCGGTTTGGCCGGGCATTGACGTTCTTCTTTCTTTGCACTTGCTGCTTTTATCGGGAACAGTATTGGGCTTTGAAATAATAATTTTGAATAAACGGGTTTTGTCGCTTCTACGGCCTGCGAGGAGCTTTACTAACCGTTATTCGGAGCCCAGCCCGTGTTGATGTCGCTTCTTTGGGCCGATTTCCTTTTTTAGTATTAATTATGTCGAACGAACTAGTTGGGAAATAATAGTAACGCCTCCTTTCTAAAATTAAGGAGAGTGTAGAATTAAATAGGGGAGGTGATAAAATTGAGAGCAAAAATTTTAAAATTATCAATATTACCCTCAGTAAGATTTCAATACATCATATTTATTAGTCCTTGAATTTCTCCCTTCTTTCCTTAACTCCACCTCTTTTACAACAACAATAAGGAAAAAAAAATATTTACTTAAGAAAATAATAAATTAGAACACCAAAAAGCTTATCATAACCTAGCAAAACAACTAAAAGTGATTTTTTTTACTGGCTTCAAATAACTTAAAAAGGAAAACAAAGTAAAACTTCAAAAAATTTCAATAAAAATATTTCTCAATATTTAATGTTGAAAACTGTTGGAGTTATAAAATTATTTACATTTTAACCAAAAAAATTTAGTATTTTGATTAGTAAAAACTGAATCACTAATTAACAACGAATTATCACCCAAGATGCAATAATACTAATGCAACACACAAAATAACTTATTCCAAAATCTTTTTTTTTTACTAACAAATAATGCATACAAAATCCTAATAAGAAAAGAGTACTTTTGCTATGAGGAATTCAATAAAGACTTCTTTAAAAAAATTATATCTAAACTTTTAAGTCTCAAACATAATATTTCTCTTTTTCTTATTCGAGAAGTCATAGTTTCATAATTTTGCAAAAAGAGATACTAGATTAAACATTAAAGGAGAGAAAATTAAGGATGAATAAACATGGTAAATTCTTCAAATCTTAAATGAGGGTAATATTGACAATTGATAAGATTTTACTCTCATTATAAAATACTACTTGCTCTCAATTTATCAATTCCCATTAAATAGAGCATATTGATCCGACCTAATGCTATGTAATTAAGTTGTAGGTTTCCTTGGTATCTTATATTTTAGGAATTTATCATGCCGTCATATAATTACAGAATTTATTAATTACTCAATCTAAACAATAATTTTAAAAATAGAAAATATTCATCATTTCATAAAAATAATTTACTTTGTTGAATTAAGAATAACTATATAAATAACTTTGATTTGGAGTACTTTTATCTTGAAGTGTTCAGCATGCATGCATTATGATAATTCTAAAAATGGCGAATTTCTAACATTCTGTCTAAGAAATAAGATCTCTCTCCTTTTCAATCTAAGTCTCAGAGTTACAAAATTATTTTATTATTGTTTTTAAAATTTATTTTTACTACTGATTATTGTATTCTATATTTCTTGCAACTTTGCTTATCATAAAAGAGCGAAATTGTATGAACATCCTTATGTGCCCATTAATAATAAGTGATGATAATCAACAATTTTGGCGGACGGAGTCAATGAATTTGTTTAGTGTCGGTATCTTCCAATTGCATTATAGAGTATGTGACTAAATTTTCTTTAAGTTTCAGACTGAGAGTAACAAAAGGAATGTAGATGGTGATGAGTTTGTTCAATGGTTGAGACTTTGGGCAAAGAAGAATCCAGTTCGATAGGTACATTTAATTCGTCTTTTGTTGAGGTAGTTAGCTCTACCCCTTCTGACTTGATGCTGTGTTTCCTTCCTGCAGCAGTCTTTTTTTTTTCTTCTTTTTGTGTGGATTCAAATCACCAAACCAATTCCTTTCCAACCCACTTGCACTGGAAACTCAGACTACAAACTCATCCCCCATCGATCTACTATATCTATAAGTACAGTTTCATGTGGAAAATTACAAAACGAAGATTGGTATTTAATGTTGAGGTCTCTACTTGTGCTGACTGATCAAACGTTGGGCTGTGTGGAAAATTGGAATCTTTACTTAACCAATTCCTTTTTGACCCACTTAGGTCTGATGGCGCGAAACTAGATACACTTATCAGTCGCCACTTGATGGCAACTTGACTACACTCTCCCTTAACGTGTAACCAAGCTCGGTCTCAACGATAATACAATAAATAACACAAATTTTTAGGATAAATAGCTAATAGAATGTTTGTGCGAGGTTTCAAAAAAAAAAATAAAAGAAAAGAAAAGAAAAAAGTTTAGGATAAAAAAGTATTTAAATTTTTCTTATTTGAGCTCCCACTGATTGAAGTGTATGCGTACTTGTTGTATTTTTTTTTTTTTTTCATATTTGAAAGGTGTCCATTGTTAGCCATGGTGCCGGGCCAGTCAAGTTCAAAGTCAAACCCCAAATTTCTTAGTCAGTCCACCTCGCCTCACAAGTCTCACAGGTCCGTGGAGATTAAATTCCGCTCTGATACTACCTTGAAGGCTCAAATATAGGCTCACATGTAGTTTCACCTCAAAATCAATTGGTAATGAAGAAAGTAGTACATAGGTTCTATATATTGGGTTTAAGTGTTTTCTTTTATCCATGTGGGACAAAGAAACATGAGACATATTCATTAAAGATTACCCATATTAAAATAGCGAAATGTGTTACCAAACAAAACCAAGATTACTGTTTGCGGATAACTTAAAACAGACGCTAAAGTGAAATGGTTGATTCTTCTGGTTGTCCAAACATGGGCTAAAACCATACGTTCGCCAGTAGTAATTGATAAAATTAGTCCTAATCAACTTAACTAGTTACTACTATAGTATTACATCATGGGTACCCATTTTTGGACTAATTTGATACTCATATTTTAAAAATTGGTGCAGTGGAATTTTGGTGTCCATCGGATAGTTGTAGATTTGTTGGAGAAATCCACCTTCCAAAGTTCCAATTCCAACAACTCCCTCCAACAGTATTTCTATCACCACATATATAAATTAAGTGTAACTTATGTGGCTTGGATCAAATTGAATTTTGTCCATAAAATTACTTGCATTAATCTGATCATCCCATTTCTGTAGCGAATCAATTACAGGATGACGTCGTTTAAGTTGGAGAGTAGTGAAGAAAACAAAGAGTACGTAGTAATGGGCACGGAATTAGTCCCGATTGAATTCTTCATGGAAGTCGACGATGATCAAGAAGAAGAAGAGGAAGATGACGATGATCTTTTCGAAATCGATCTGAATGTCGTAAATTACATCAATCCGCCGGATTATTACTGGGATTCCGTATATTTGATGGGAAAAGCTACTACTCATCAGGCTCTTCTGGCAAATTGTCTGTTACCCATTTCTGATATTTCAAGCGCAGTTCCGGCGGCCGCAAAACCACCGTCATTATGTGATCATCGTCATCGTGCGATATTAATGTCATGGGCATCATGGCCGTCCGATGCTTCTCTTTTTCGGAGCGAGTCATCCATGGCTGAAGAAGAAGTTGAAGAAGACGACGACTTCATGGGCTTCTCCTCCTTCGATTCTTTCGAATTCCCGCAATACAGATTGGAAGCCATCCGCGCGTGATCCCATATCAAACATTTAAGTTAATACTACTATTTACTAGTATTATTACATTAAAAATATGTTTTTGAGAGAGTTTGTATGAATAGTTTCTCGATCTCATTCTTTCAATAATTTACATCTAAGATTATATTTTCGTAAAACCCAAAAAAAGAAAAAAAAAGAAGAAGAAACTATAATGAGCTTGATACATTAAATTTTTAAACAATCGAATTCTATGCAGTGATCACAAGTTTGATACATAGTTTATAAATTAATTATCATTATTTAGCTCTGTATATTTTTAAAGCCGGTGATATATAGGAGGGACATGTGTGCTACCAGCAGCTATATATGGACTATGGTGACTAAATTATTATAATTGGTTGACTGAGTCCAATATGCATGCCGGCTTTGTGACTTGTCTCCGGATTGGCGGATTCTATTCTAATGGCTTCCAAACAAAATTCCCTCTTCCATAATTGGAGTCTTGGTCAACGAGTTGGGATCTCCTATTCCACTTTATTTCTCCTATCTTTATTCTATCCTTCAAAATTACGTAGTTTTGTATATACCGCATTCTACCTCTATATAATGTACATATGTGATTCCAAGTTTCCAACTCTTAGGGAAAACAAGTGATTGAACGCTAATGAGGCTATGTCTAGGTCCGGTAGGATGATTAAGAGATGGAAGAGTTCATGCTTCTTCATACTTGAACTTCTCTACATGTCGTCACTCGTGAGGTATTTTTCTGGGTACCCAGATGATCATCATCAGTAGCTTTAACTGTATACTATACTGCTGATAAATCACTTGCCTTTTCAGTATATGCTTTGGTATGAGCAAATCTTATCTACAAATGGACATGGTATCTTAGATTTGACATATGGCTTTGAAGAACCCCCATTTGAGGTTAATTTATTTGAAGCTCTAGAAAATTTCCCCGCATCGGTAAGTAGCATTTTCCCTAAGGGTCAAACGTAAAATAATTGATGTTTGAAACATATGTAGTTACATTTGTGGCACCTTTAACCAAGATAGCGCGTGTCCTTTTGTTTGTAGCTGAATCTTTAGGGTCCCTTCTGAGTTCTGACATGCATAAAAGAGCTCATTCCAAGTAACCAAAAATATCCTAAATATGCAAGGTTGGGGATGGCCTATTTAACATTTTCATTCACTCACAAAATCTCATCCAACTTTTTAAGGAATCCAGTTTTATTTTTATTTTTATTTTTTTTTGGTTACAATATAGGAGGCTCAAGTCTAGCAAATTGCTACAGCCCAATTACATCATAATCAAGATATGATTTAAGGAATCGAATTTTGTCCTAGTGTTTAAGGTGTTGTACGTTACAGACTGCAAGATTGAGGTTCCGAAAACATAAGCATCAAATTTTCCGTTTTCAAATTTTTGTTTGTAATATTAATGTTATTTTCTCCATAATAACGCTTTTTAAATCTTAAGGTCTTGTTGATTGCATCAAGCAACAAAACTCCCTACCTTTCTTCTTTTTTCTCTTTTTGTATTTTAAAAAGAAAACGATATTCATGTGTGCCATTATTTGTGTGAAAAAACGACCAAGTGGCAAGTGACAAAACCCTAGGGCGCTGAACCAGAGGAGGTTCGGAATCACGTGCTTGAAAAACAACAATAGGCTTTGACAATTCAAAAGACTCACACACTAATAATAAAATTCAAGATCGATGGAAGCACATTCTACAATACTGTCTAGTTAACGTAGACTAAATGAAACTGCATCAATATTTATGATCTACAATTATAAATTAACCATACATAATAATCGTAAATAGAGTGCGTAGTAGTACAACTAAATGATTATTGAAGAGCAATTCGTTCTGATGATGATGGCCGGCTGGCGCTGCTTATTAATCAATTATTGTTCCAATATTTGAACAATAATGGGGCTAGGGTCAATTAATTAGCGTCTCCTTGCTGCAGTTTCTCGCTGTGCATTGAAGAATACCGCAGCAACAGGCTCCCCAAGATCATTTTCGGCCGCGAAATTCCGAGTGTTAAATTGATCCCTTGAAACTGGAGGACTAACTGATTGCCTCCGCTTCTGCTTGTAGAGAACAAACACAAACCTGTGAATCCCTATGTTAGGCCTTGGCATCTCATAACTCACCATTTCTCTTCCTGTCAATTATGTACACAGTTTTCGGGAGAGGGAAAAATTCAAAATAGAAAAAAATAGAAAAAGAAAACAAATATTAGCTCAGTTAAGCGTGCATGCAAAAACTGCGATGAATTAACCCAAGTCTTTCTACAATTGTGAATTTCGAAAACTTACCGAATGTGGCATCGGTTGTCCCGGGAATGTCTGTCACTATCCTGTAAAAATGGTAGCCTAAAGTAAGTAAAAAAGGACAAAACAGCTAGCTGTCAGCAAACTTGTACCCAAAAAAGTTAGATCTCGTGTACTTTTGCTACATCTATGGATTACTGTACTTTTGCAGTTGCCGAACCAGCCCAAATGTTTAGAGGGTAGAATACACATTTAAATTTTTTTTCCCAAAATATTTTAAAAATTATAAGGTAATTTTTTTAAAAAAAAATATGCCGACCGCGGCGGTCGACCACCCTCGCTCCCCCCTGGTTCCGTCCCTGGTGTCAAGTACGGATAAAATTACTACAAACTCTAACATGTTTTTTGATTTTTGTTGCACCTCGGAACTCAGATCCGGGGAAAACCCTAATCCATTTTATCTTATTTTCACTTGTATCTACACAAAATGTACTCGATTATATTTTGTTATGATCATTATTTCCTCTTTTTCAATAGTCAAGGAGAGAAAAGGGTTGTGCTCCATAATACCTAGTAACCTAAATTATCGTCTATCGACATGCACCTACTTGAACTGAATTTTGTACGATGTCTTATTCTCTATTACTCCATTTCATCAGGTGAACAGTGAAAGAAAGTCCTGCCTTCTAGGTTCAAAGGTATAGCCTCAAGTATAAGAAAGTGCAAACTGCAAAATACTAATTGCAACTTGCACCTGAATATAGATATCCAAAATTCCAAATATTATTCATAACGCGTACTACTATAAAATTTCATATATATTCAACTCAAAACCAATTATAAATATGAGAAACAACTTGGGATTGGGCTTGGATACGTTATAAAATTCAGAGAAGCGATACTAGATCTGATCATCTACTTAATTTTCTCAATAGTTGATGATTTAAAAAATAAAACAAAGGAAAAAGAGGTTACTATGATCATGACATGGGGAAAAATGAAGTGTTACCAGTGTAGGTGCTCCCTCAGATAAGGATCACTCGGACCAGGAACATCAGGATCAGTCATGACCTGAAAAAAGAATGGCGAATAATGATGATCGTGTTTCATATATATATATATATATATATATATATATATATAAGTTTTTTGAAAACTAAGTTGAAAAACTTGAGGAGGAGCTACCAGCAAATACACTCACCAATGTGAAAAAGCTTCTCAAATCACCACCAAGAATCTCAACTCTAGGCCTGCTGTTGACTGCAGAAGGGAAGAGCTCATGGCCATTGCAGACCTGCTTGGTGTTATAAGTCACAGTCATTTTTATTGCTGGAATGAAGTTATCTAGTACATCCCCGATAACTCTCCCAACCACTAGTGGCTCACAAGTTCTTGCCATATTTTATTTGTTTGAGAAAGGATGGAAAAGAATTAATGGCTGATCTATCTTTCTTCACAGATTGGCTAAGGCTCTGAGATGGTACTTAGTATTGGTTTCTGATTGGATGAGTAATTGTGTGGTACGGCAGCTAGATATCTTGAAAATGTATATATATGCCCGAGCTAGCTTGCTTGAGTTAACCAAAATTCAAGTCCTATAAACTTTAGTCTAATTTGAATCTATTTATAATGAGCCCGCCTGTAAACCAAACCTTATTTGTCCAAGATTTGAGAATCATATTTGAACATTTGTATGTTAAATTATGTTATATATACACTTTCTGTTCTGTAAGTATGATTTAATTATGAGACGAAAGGAATAATTCAAGTTATACATTTTTCAAGGTTGAACCATGAGAGAAGTGTAATAAAGTAATTCAGGTTGGCCTAGGTAACACCAACTATGTTTGTTGCATAGTACTAAAGCAATGTTGTAGGGCTCCTTTCTTTTTTTCTAAATTATTAAAAATTTTGTGCCTTTTGAATTTGATGCTTTGGAGACTTTTTATTTCCCATGAAAAAATACGATATGACTATTGCATAGCAAAAAATGTCAGTTTTCTGTTCATTAATTTGTTTGCTCTGTATGGGACCTTTGGAATCAGTTCCTGTTGATTGAAATGGTTTGTAGTTTCCACTTTCAATTGCTACCAAAGATATATAAATGGGTGGTATATATAAATTTATCTAAGGCATATTTATATTATGTTTTGCACTTTGCCTCTCTGCTATACCATAAGCTAACCATGCATCCAAAAGATGACAATGTGGTCCCAACCAATACAATTTCTTATTTCTTTTCAGCTTTGAAAGTAAGAAAGAAGAGCAAGTCACATTTTTCTAGGGTTCTAGTCTGAGAAAAGAATTTGGGACAATAGTTTACCATTAGTAGTAGTAAAGATAGAACCCAACTTTTTCATTTAAGGAAACACATTGGGGTGAACTTTCAGGTGGACTGTGTTTAGAAACATGGAACCTTCCCAAATTAAGCATCAAAATGGTAAAGAAATAACCCTACTTTATACCAGATTCTCAGAAGATAAAATTATATAGGAGCACTGATCTGTGCGATCAAAGTATAAAGGAACCCCACCACGCACACGCACTCCCACATGCATGCTCACTTAAATCAAATATTTTCAGACAAATGGAAGTGTTAATTGGCCTGATCAACTTCTTTTAATCCACCAACACTTTTGAAAGAAGTCATCCTGCAGCTTAGTTAAAAAAAAAAGGAAAAAAAAGAAAAGCTTCCAGAATTACTTGATTTGGTAATGCTATGGAGCTGGATTTTCTTCACATAGGAACCAAAGTGATCAGTAAGTAGTTCACTTCCGCACTTGTTTAGAAAATATCATAATGCCATTAATTATTGTTATGACTCTCTTTCTCAAACTCATGGCTTTGTCGTTGAGTTTAAGGTTTTCTTAGACCCACATCTCAGTTGTTTTACTTTTCCAACTTGGTTTCTGTGTTTGAAGTGTGTGTTGTTGAGTCATTCACAGTAACTTGGTCCCTTAACTTTAATTTCAGACCAATTTTGTGCACTAACTTTTTTGCTTGTTTTGTTTGTCCTTTTCTCATATTAACATCTTCCGGTGGATCATAACGTCGCAGAAATTTTCCTAAGTCTAGTTATCATCACATCTTGGATGATTAGTTCATGCTTTTGACATTATGTCCAACTTTACTCAAATATTTTGATTATCCTGATTTTAAACATAAATGAATACATGTATAATTGAATGAAAACAAAACAAAACAAAAGCCCTTGATTAATGAACAATATTGAAAGGTAGTTAAGGACCAGTTAGATTTTCTCAAACTTGTTAAAAAGCTCGGACAGTTTTCTTTAAGCATCTGTCTTAGAGGTAGGATCAGCTTTGTTATCACTTTTAATTAAGTTCATAGTGGAGATTATCTGCCAAAGCGTCAGTGCCGAACTAAACATTTTTCGAGCCGCTTTTCCGGAAATGATGAGGATCATATTCCCTCTCTGTATATATTTAAACCTTTCAAAAAAAGAAACAAAAGATGTATGTTTAATTCTTCATCAACTAATTATAGTCCCCCTAAATTGATTGATTGCAATTTAAGATCCTAATGGGCAAGTGCATTAACCAATACGTATCCTCCATACAAACTAATTAGTCACTCCAAATAATACTACCTCTATCCCAAAAAAAATCGTTCATATTGAATTTTGAGATTTGTACGGTTTTTAGTACAAATTTCAAAACTCAATGTGAACTACTCCCTCTGTCCTAAAATTATTGTCCAGTTTCAGATTTAGTACAATTTGAACTAAAAATAAAAACTCAAACTGGACAATAATTATGAGACGGAGGAAGTATTTTTGTGTAATAGAGGGAATATATATTTACTAGAGTATACAAATTCCTAAACCTTAAAAAAATGTAGAATTTGGTCTCAATTATTAGTTAGCTAGTTTGGCACATTCACTGGATCTATGCTTAATTTTTGTTCAACAAGCAACTTCTGTGATTCCAGATCTTGTCACACTATCCACTTATTGGAACATGGACTTTTGGAGTTCGTCCATGTGTAAACTGATTTTGAGGTTATGAAGCCATTGTGCCATCGAGATACCTTTCCAGCTCTTTTGTGCACAATTAAGGTAACCTGTCGTATCATTAGGAGATTAGCTACTATTTAAGGTAACACATTCGGCAGTATTGCTAAGGTTCTTTTATTGTGTTCATGGTGCGCCTGATAAAGTAACAGTGATATACATTCAACCTAAGAAAAATCTTCATCATGTGAAAGGATATATAATTTTGTATTATTTTACTATATTTGGACGGAGTGGATTGAACTTTTTTGGGTTAAATAACTCAATATGATCTTATCGCTAGCGTCTTCAACTATTTCTTCTGTCCCAAATTATTGTTCAATTTAAAATTTTACTTTTAGTACAATTTAAACTAACTCATGCCGAAGGGCATATATATTAAAACGGAACAAAGAAAACATATGTTATAAACTCTGTGAGAATTTTCGGTTTACCCTAAATGCTTGCTATATGAGGATTAATCAAATTTTTATTGACCAATATGCCGAGGCAGTAAATTCAACCAGTAAAAAAAGGGTTCCATCTAGCATACAAGTAAAGTCAATTTAGGAACAATGGTTTGTCTTTTCATGCCTGGAAGGTTTATATCACCATTTTTTTCCCGATATTTGTTGGTCACTTGTCGACAAGAATGATTAATCCCTCATTAAATTGGAAGTATTTCTATTGGTTTTTTTTTTTTTTTTTGTTGGGATGGGAAAGTACTGATTTGGGAAAGCACTTGGCCCGGTAATGGTGCAAGGCAGTGATCTCCATGAGAATGGATGGTATCCAAAGCCTTACTTTCTTTGTCAATTCCTTAAATGGGCTTTGAATAGATTGATACTACTTACGACAATATAACGGAACCTATTGGGCCAAAGAGCTGGATTTTGAAGGTTTGCTACAGAATATATTTTTGGAAATGCCTGCATCAGTTTTTGCAACTTCAAATTGTTGATTCTGTGTCAATTAATATTCTCTCTCCTTCAAAGTTCCACAATCCTTTACTCGATCTTTTTAAAAAATTTATTTGGGATGTCAAAGGCTTTTCGGTTTTGATAAACATTGTCACCTCCGCCCTAGTAATAGATAACTTCCACATATGGGGATCAATCTTGTAGCCATTTTCTGTAGGAGGCTTTCAAAATGTGAAATGTTTGTGAAAGCTCATGCGGTTGCTTGAAGCGAAGACACACATTCAAAACCATCTCCCCTATCTGGCATTGTTGCTTCTGTTTTGTGCTAGCAAGACTGCAAATGTTGTCTCAAGCTGAAAACTGAAGTTGCAAGACGTCCAACTTTCATTTGCATTCCCTGTCTAGCCTAAATGTGCATTAAAATTAAAACCTTTGCACTTGACTCTGGGATACATATAACATGACTATTGACATCTTGGGCAATCAAACACAGCAAATATTTGTAGAAATCAGGGGAAAATAATCTACATCACTGGATCTCTGGACACGTTAGTGAGTTTTCCATAATATTTTTGAATTTACTGAGCTAGCTAGTCCGAGACAGGCCAAGCCCCTTGAACTACATAAGGTAACAACACTACAACAAACATGACTTGAAATACCAGATGACGCTTACAGACATGACTGTCATTCTTACATAAAGTTCATGCACAATAATCATACACCACCAGCCACAACATCGTGATGATAATCAAATCCTACTTACATAATCTAAAGCACAATAACTAAACTCCAACAGCAACATCGTTATGCTCATAAACAAAATTAGTACCATGTTCGCCAGGAATTATTACGGATTCCCTCTACCTAAATGGCTTCACCCCATTATATCATGAAATACTACTACTTCCACTTTTATAACCATTTTAATTGAAGCAAATGGTAACAAACAAGGGAGGGGAGTAGTTTCCCACTTCTGTAATGAGGTAAAGGGTGAGCAGTACAGTGCATCAGAGACGGGTGAGGAGGAACGCGAGCGAGAGGAAGACTGGTGGGGGATGCTAGCATTTGCGTTTTAATGTTCAGGAGAAGACGGGCGGGGCCGTTTTAGGTCATGCGTAGGACTGTACAGAGCCACATCATAATCAAACAGATGATCAGCAGGACTGTTACCCAGGAACACAGTGGTAAGAACTTCCTTTGATGCCAGCGATGCCTTAAGCAAGTTCAAAGCCTGAATGCATATTCAAACATTTCAAGATGGTGATTCCCAAGTACAGAAACATTACCTTCTATGAAAACAAAGTTCAAAACCTCTCGTGCATATTTCAATATAATTACTCACATAGAATTTGGTGCATAAAGACAATACTGAAAGAACATTTCCTATTCTAACAAAACAGTGACTCTAATCAGCGAGCAGACTAGCTGCGCCTCCATATGAGTTAAAGAACCTTCATCAAACATTCCATTTATTCAAATGAAAATCATAAGATAATCCACAGAAAATAAAGTTCTATATCATCACATAATATATTCATACATTTGTATCACATCATATATTCAACGTTATACCTTTATAAATTCTAGGGCTGGCCAACACCTTATATATCTCCCAAGTATCTTCCCGTTTATGATTTACATTATACATTTTTCAATACACCTTAAGGCATTTCTAAATTGACTTTTTACATCTCCAATCCAATATTTTTGCCCACCAACCTAAAACAATAAACTAGCCTACCAGACCTCAAAACAAATCTCAAGTTGAATTAACCCATCGCAAAAAAATAATAATAATAATTTGAATTAAGCCCTCAAATTTCAATGAATAAGGTAGAGTAGGTTGGGGGTACCTCATTGATGCCTAGGTCTACCTCCCTCTCTTCAAGGGCATCAATGTCCTTGACATTGAGCTTATGAAGCAGAGCAATGCTTGAAATTGTGGACATAGGCTTCACCACCAAGTCGTCCATAACCATGTAAGTCACCAGACCCTTCACAAATCCACCGCTTCCTTCCAGATCTTCAGCACCATTTTGGAGCTTGCTCAGTGGTGGAGGAGCAACATACGTCATCTTGTAAGACATAGGGTTTCTGCACTGAGGACAAACACCATGGGGATCATCACAGAAATACATATGCCCACTGTTGCACCTGTAACCAACAAATCCAGACGATTCAAGGTCTTCTGGCGGAAGGGACAGAAGAGGGTTTGAAAAAGTGGCATTAATCGGGGCTCTTGGTTTGAGAAGCGAATCTTTGCTCTGATTCGGCTGGATGTATCTTTCCCTAAGGTTCTCTATGCTTTCATAGAGGTTTCCCAGAGAACCCACCATTTGTTGCTTGCTAAGAAGCCTAATTACAGTACCCATTGGCAAGGTCAACATGTGGAAGAGGACATCGACCGCATCTTTTCCAGCTTCAGCGAAAAGAACCCGGTTACTTGCAGTATCTATCAACAGCTTCAGGCTCAGTTTGTATTCAGCTGCCATTTTTGCTCCAGAGATTCACTAAATGTGCCCCCCTTTTCTGATTTTCTCAGAGCTTTTTCTTCCAAAGAGGAAACCAAACCCTACCACTGTAGTATCTCACTGTCTCTTCTACCCAAAGAGAAACTGATTCGAGCTGTTGACTGTTTTGAGTGTTGTCTGTTCGTTTGCGGGCCAATTCATGGATGCCCCGAAAAGATTGGGCCTGTTTGCCTAAATTATTTCGGCCTTCTAATGACATGTATCATTGACTTTTCCTTTTTCTACTTTTTCAATGTACAAAATTTAAATTACATTATCTAAGTAATAAAAAGGGGGAGTTCACCTGGTCAGCGCTAGTTTTGGTACCGTACTCGGTCGGTCAAACCACACATGTCGTCTGCTGATTGGGCCGTTCCACTACTTCGGGCGATGTTGTCTCCTCTGTTTTCTCTGTTTTTTTTTCTCCCCCTTGCACATCAATGGCTCATCTCAAACAATCGCGAAATTCATGAAACCAAATGACCGATAAGTCTTCACTCCTTGTACACGAAAAGGATTTCTCCCAAAATCTGAAAATCTGCTCCTTCGGTCCTTCCACGAACTAAACATCCGTGTTAAAAAAGCTTTGAATCAAAGGTCTCAAAATTAGGACCTCAATCACTCATCTTTCTCCTCAACTTCTCCGATTAATGGCTTTAATCGAGATCATGAACATCATGTCTCTGGCACAAATGCTCTCGTGGGTATAGTTGGGGCATGGGGAATTCTTGGTTTTACTGCTGGCGGCGGCAGCGGAGTTACTGAGCGGTCACAAGGCAAGATATAACATCCAGTACCTATCTTGGTTTGTCAGCTAGAGCATTTTGTCGATAGTCTTTTGATTTTCGCTTGCTTTTGAATCCAAATAATTATTTTCTTTTCCAGTGTAGAAAGATTTGTTTGATTCAGGATTTATAGAAAAATTTTACACTAAATTGAATTTGACCCATGAAATATGGGAACTTTAGGTTTGTTAGTAGGACATCTTTTGTCTATTGGTTCCTGAGAATCTTAGCAATCGTGCAAATTTAATTTGAATGATTCGTTTTGTTCCTGATAATAAACTTGTGAGATCTTAGTTGTTATTCGGTCTCTCTCTTTTTTTTTTTTTTGGCAACCATAGTGTATAGAATTAGCATACCCAAGATATGGGTTGCAGTTAAGTGTTCGATTGTTATTTTAAAAGAATCTATATCGCTCAGAATCCATTTAAGAGCAACATTTGCCTCAATTTTAAATGTTTCACTATATCATCAGGTAAGCATATGCTCATAACTTTTTGAAGCCAAACACATTTTTCTTTGAACCAATGAGATGTGAATATGTAAAAATTATAATTGCATCACAGGGAAAATGAATTTGAGGATCACTCCTATCTATTCCCTTGAGCACGAGTCTTTTATTCTTAAATTCTACAATTTCCTGGGAGCGATATTTGACAGTGAGCCGGAGGCTGCAACTTTACTGAAGATAAGCAAAAGTGAAGAATTTCAAGGTAAAGTTTTAGAAACTACTGTTTAAGTTGCTTTAATAAAAAAAATTTAGCTTTCAAGTCCTTTAGCAAATTTTACTACTTTGAATTGGTTTTGTTCTCGAACTCTTATGATCTGGCAAGCAAAAGCGAAAGTCATTTTATGTTTCGTTTGGATTGAATGTTATCGATTTATAAATGTCTTAACTTAAACATTCATCTGTCAACAATTACCCTGATGCCTTTGTGACTTGTCATTATGTTATTTGGAATAATCTTATTTTGGGAATGTAGAGAGTACTCAGGAAAAGGGGCAGTTTTTTTATAATTTATTCTCTCTTTCTTGAATTGACATTGGAATTGCCTCATGATTACTGAGTTAATTTTTGGTTGACCAATTAATAGAACCGTTCCTTGTAGTGAAATTCTATAGTAGGGAGGATTGAGTGAGCAAAAATATTTAAACAAAAGCCAATTGGAGGAATTCTAAATAATTAAGTAAAATTTATTTAAGGTACGCTATACGTTTTGTGTTGCCCATAAAGGCAACATTCTAGATGTTATGCAGTAAGTCCTCTCTGACCCGGTGATGTATGCTCCATTCTATCGACCTATCTGTTGCAACTATTATTATCTTTTCATCAAATTCTTACATAAATTGAAGTTTGACCTCGTAATGTCAATCTAAGTTTGAGATCCTCAAGAATATGCTAGAGACAGTGATTCCTTTCCAAGGATCTAATTAGTTATATCATACAGTGTAATTTACGTATGAAAAGTGTACCAGTGAATAGCCTTTTTGTTAGCTGGACGTGAGTAGAATGAATCTGGCTTTAAAGAATCAATCATTCATTAAATCAATTTCAAAGAAACATTTTGTCTCAAATTCAAATATTTTTGGATTCTATTTGGAAAACAAAGTTGTATGTGAAGTGCTTGTTTCTTGTCAGAAGCGAAATAAGAATGACAATATCTTTTTTTTTTTTTTTTGGCAGCACAAACTGGAAAAATTTGATGCCAAATTGAGCCTACACTGGTCTACCACAAAACAAGAGTGCAAGGATACACGAGTTGTTCAGAGTGTATTTAAGTGAACATATTTTGGCCGCACTGAATGAAGAAATCATAAAAATTTTGAGCTGGAAAAAATTGTTGGTTGAAGATGAACATGCTAAGATCTTTTTGCTTTAGAGAACCCTGACATTGACGCCTATTTTGTGGTAATAACGTAGCTGTAGTGTCATAAGTTTCTTGCTGGCAGCCTGTTGCTCTTTTTTAGCTTCATTTTGTAGGAGAAATGAATATAATTGTAAACTTCTCATATAAATTTCCATTACCTTTCACTCACCAGATACAATGTAGGAAATTTTTGATGAATTTTGACAACAAGCTTAAAAAATTTGGAGCCAATGCTGGGAGATCAGTGTTGCTATTTTTAAAGAGTTTTACAAATGATTTCTTATGTACACTTTATACTTTGGATTTGTTTTACTAATGTTTTACGTCTTTGCTATAAAGGATAACTTAGTTGATCAATGCAATATTGTTGTAGTGCGAATGATGGAAAGTTTACTGCTTGTGAGATATGCTCAGATATTGTTTACTTTGACTTTTGCGGATCTTTCATTTTTTTAAAAAATAAAAATAAAAATAAAATTGTATGAATCCTTTTGCATAATATGCAACCATAAGGTAAAAGTGTTGGTTGGGAAGTGCATCTAACATTCATTTATGGATTTGCTGTTACATCTATTATTGTGTACCAATTATGCTTCGTTTCCATTTCGGAAAGGTTGATATTCTATCGAAAACCAGAGGGTTTTTTTATGTTTTCACTGTAACTTTGATATTCAAAAACTTTGTTTGAAATGTAATTCAAAATTATTGCTCGAAAAAAAAAAACTAATAAATTTGGAACCAGCCGTTTGGCGGATTCAAAGTCCTGGGGCTGGGCTATCAATCACCATTTGCCACACAACCTAGTTACAAATGTAAACTAAGTTCCTTATAGCCTTATGTATGTTGTACTATTTTTAATAAATAAAGAACTCCCTCCGTCCTAAAATTATTGTCTAGTTTGACATTTCATTTTTAGTACAGTTAAACTAAAAATGAAAATCCTAACTGAACAATCATTTCGGGAGGAAGTATATATATAAATTTTTTTTTTTTGGGAGGGAGGGGGATAAAATAATTAAATACTTTGGGGGCGGCAATTATAATAAGGATCTATTCAAAATGAACTTCAAATAAGAAAAAGTATTAGTAGAGAGTTGGTGAATGCCATGCTAAAAGTAATCTCTTGTAAATCAAGTGATATGTTGGCGGACATTTGGGAGTTTATATGAACTTTTAGCATTAGTTATTGGTTTCATGTTGGTAAATTGATTTAATCATTTGAATTTTTCAGGATATATACTGCCAATATTACAAACAAGAAAAAGGTGTTGGCTATGAAGAGAAAGAAATGAATCACTAGTAACTTTCATTAAATAATTATTCAGAAAGTATACTAATTCGTATCATCGTAAACGTGAAAAGGGGAAAATCAAAACACAAAAATATCACCCTTTCTTTGCATGGGAATAGCAAATTGGTCAACAGAGAGACCGACAGACCGAGCTGATTAAAAATTTAAAACCTTCATCCGAGAGAGCAAATGCTGATATGTATGAATGACGATGAAATCCTTGTTTTAATGCACATTAAACTTAAACTCCAGCGGGAACCGCCGGAACATCTTGACGCTTGTCAACTCCTTTGCCCAGAAACACCGTGGTAAGAACTGCCTTTGACGACAGGGATGCCTTCAGCAAATTCAATGCCTGTGATGCATATCATGTAGTTAAACATTTTACAGGTTTCACATTTCCACATTACTTGGATTTTGGATTTTTGTTGCATATTAATTTGAATTCTGAGAGTATTCCTTCTTCTGGCCCTAAAAGAAAATGAAAAATAATCTCAAAATTTAATGCATACTGTACTATTTTTCTGAAACGACGTACCTCATCAATGCCTAGTTCAACCTCTTTCTCTTCAAGGGCTCCAACGTCCTTGACATTGAGCTTATTGAGAAGGGCAATGCTAGAGATGGTGGACATGGGCTTGACCACGAGGTCATCCATCACCATATAAGTCACCACCCCCTTCACAAACCCGCTTAATTCGCCGTCGTTTTTAACATGGTTGGGCTCCGGAAGTGGAGGAGGAGCAACGTAGGTCATCTTGGCAGACATGGTAGTCCTACAATTGGGACAGATCCCACGTGGATCATCACAGAAGTAAAAATGGTTGTTGCATTTGTAACCAACCATCACAGCCGCCGACTTCTTCTTTGTTTTTTCAGGAACTAATTCTTCATCATCAGATTCAAGGGACAATATTAGAGGATTGGAGAAGGTTGGATCAATTGGGGAAGTGGGTTTGAGGAGTTTGTCTTTGGTTTGGTTGGGTTGAATGTATGTTTCTTTAAGGTTCTCGATGCTGTCGTAGATGTTTCCTAGGGAACCCCCAATCTCCTGCTTTTTCAGAAGCCTAATGACGGTCCCAATTGGCAAACCCATGATATGGAAGATGAAATCAGCCACATCTTTCCCGGCTTCTGCGAATAGAACCCTGTTGGTTGCGCTATCTATCAACAGAGTCATACTCATTTTCGATCCTGCCGCCATGTTTAATTTGTGCTCTTTTAACAGCTTTCAACAGAGCTTTTTTCTTCGACCGAAAACCCTACACTTCCGTATTTATATACCTATTACTGTATTGGACCCTTAGGCCTTTCGAGTTAGCCAGTTGATTTTATTAATAGATTTATGAATTATGAGGGTTCAACTTTGAAACTGTATAACATGCTATGTTGGGTTTTTTTGTGGAAATGATTGTCGACTAGTTAGATTAGTGTGTACGAGAGCGACTTTGGAACACACAAATTTCTACTTCATCTGAATGTCAAAGTTCCACCGATTCTAAAAAGGAAAAGGTTTTAGCTACGCTGAGAAAATAGGAAATGGAAATCACTGCCTTTCATTAAATAATTATTTGGCAACCATTTCATACTATCTTAAATGTGGAAAAAGAAATACAAAATCTTAAAAAAGGTAAATAAACGGAGCTGATTAAAATCTTAAAAAACCTTCATTCGACGTGGTACGCCAGGGAGAGAGAGCAAGCAAATTAAGTTGGTGAAGAGAAATCCCTAATGCCGCACAATATACGTATAGAATTAGAGTGCATGGCCTACAGCAGCAACATCGTCAACTCCTTTGCCCAAGAACACAGTGCTAAGAAACTGCCTTTGAGGAAATGGATGCCTTCAGCAACTTCAATCCCTGCATATCAATTATTTTCCGTAACATCTTCAGGTTTATACGTATTTTTCCACTTTACTTGGTGCAGCATAATGATTTGAATGTGAAAGAAGAAAAAAAAATCATTCAAACCCAAAAAAAAAAAAACAATGACACCCTAATGACCTCCTAACTGCAGGCACAAAAAATCAGAAAAACAAATAATAATCCGTCTGTCCAAAATTATTGTCCAGTTTGAATTTTTAGTTGCAGTACAAATTGTCTAAACATAAATTGTCTAAATTGGACAATAATCTCGGGAAGGAAAGAGTAATAAAAATTAAGGAACTATAGGAACGTACCTCATTGATGCCTAGTTCAACCTCTTTCTCTTCAAGGTCTCCAATGTCCTTGACGTTAAGCTTATTGAGAAGGGCAATGCTAGAAATAGTGGACATGGGCTTCACCACCAAGTCATCCATAATCATATAAGTCACCAAGTCCCCCTTCACGAACCCGGCGCCGAGTTCCGCCGCGTCCTCTTTAACCGCTGTTTGTGGCTTGTTCTTTCCTGAATTAAGATATGTCATCTTGGTATTCATAGAATAGTTGCAACCCGGACAGATTACACCAGCATCGTCACTGAAATACAAATTAGTATTATATGAGCTATGGTAATTGTTGTTGCATCTGTAAGCAACCAGCGGTAGTTCGGGCTTTTTCGGGGGGATTTCAGGCTTTTTGGGGGCCATTTCCGGGGGAAGGGACAGTAGGGGATTGGAAAAACTTGGATCAAGTGAGGGCCTTGGTTGTATGCTTCTTTAAGGTTCTCGATACTGGCGTATATGTTACCAAGGGAACCCCCAATCTCTTCCTTGTTTAGCAGACTGATTACGGTACGTCGGTACCAATTGATAACGTGTCGTCATGATATGGAAGATGAATTCCGCCACATCTTTCCCGGCTTCTCCGAACAGAACCCTTTTCCTTCCGCTATATATCAACAGCCTTAACTCAGTTTTGATTATGCCGCCATATTTGGTTCTCTAGGTTTTTTTGGTTTCCTGCTTTTTTTTTAGAGCTTTTTCTTCGAGAGAGAACAGAGAACCCTTTGTCTCTATTGATTTATATAAAAGAAACCTGAATGAGCTGTTAAACTTAAACCTATCTACTGTACTTGGGCCTGTCTCCCTTATCATTCTTTAATCTTTAGGCCTTCGATTCAGCCAGTTGTTTTTCTTAAATACTGCTCCCTCCATCCCTTATTACAAGAGATTCTTTATTTGTCTTAACTCTCACCTCGTACGTATTTTCAATTGAAAAAAAAAACATTAAAAATATTTTTTAATAATTAAGAAAATACAATGAATGTGTATATTTTCAAGCCCAATTAACAAAATATATTATATGAAAATTATGACAAATCAAAATGGCTTATGACAAAGATCATAGAGAATACTCCCTCCGTCCCATAATTATTGTCCACTTTGCCCAAAAAATTTTGTCCCAAAATTATTGTACAATTTGACTTTTTATGGATCAAGTTACACATTTGTCCTTAGTAAAAAATATTATCTATAAAATCTTAGTGGTTAAACAATTACTTATGTAGGGGTATATCCGGTTGTTTAAGGTAAAATATAGTTAAGTTTGACCAAAACTAAAATCTTTCATTTTAGTAAAACTGGACAATAATTATGGGACGGAGGGAGTATTTTTTACTACTAATAACAGTAGCATAAGGGTTGAGATTTAAAATAGTACGACCTTTGTCCCAAAAAAATAGTTCACATTAAGTTTTGAAATTTGTACTAATTTTTATACAAATTTGAAAACTCAATGTTGACTATTTTTTTGGGACGGAGGGAGTATAAAATATTATGTTGGTTTTTTATTATCTTATATTTAATAAAGAAAATAACGGCTTCTTCGATGTCCAAAACAAATAATTATTTTGAAAACTCAATGTGAACTATATATTAATATTTAAATACGATGTGAATTAGTTTATTAGAATAGGGGTTGTAGTTATTAGGATGCGCAACCAAAGCGCTCATAATTCACTGATATCCAGAGGAGAGTCGCATTACCAGCTGTAGTAGCTAACAAAAAATGGAGGCCGAAGTTGAAATAATGTCAACGGAATTAATTTAGGGTATGTTTGTTTCGTTTTTTTAGTGTGTGTTTTTAGGTGTTTTTTTTATTGGGAATGTAAAAGGAAGTATTCGAAATATAAAAAAATATATGGGACAGATATTAATATTAAATTCTAAAAAAAAACCTAATAAAAAATGAAACAAACAGAGCCTTAAATGTCTTCTTTAGATCAATTTGCCCCTTTTTCTTTTTAACGTCCCTCTTGTTTTCATCCAGGTTGTCATGCTCGGCTCAGACCAGCCGGTCGATCCGATTAAACTGGAAATCGGCTCCTAAGCCGAGCCGAGCAAGGTATAAAATCGCCAAAAAGAATATCAGTCAAAATCAGTCAAAACTCTGGTCGAATCGTGAATCGGCTAAAACCGGGTCGAACTGGGGTTTTAGTTTTTTTACCTTTTGATCCAAAAATTGCACATTTTTCCATGAATTTTAACTTCCAATGTCTTCCAGGCCAACTTCTTCTCTTTTATTTAAAATTGTCCAACAACTTTTAATTTTTTGTAATTTTTAAAGTTTTAATTTAATATTTAGTCTCATATTCAATTTGTCATTTTTCAAAATATAATATTTTGAATAATCTTTTTTTAATTTTGATACATAAATTTACTTCCCTCATTTTATGAAAAATTTATATTATTACTCTAATATGTCACAAAAAAAATAAAATAATCTTGGAGTACTTTTTCTTAATGTGTACATTAGTTGTCCTTCAAATTTAACATATTTTTCTAAATGATAATGTATTTATCTTAATTACTTTATTAGTATACTAATTTACTTCACTTGAGTAACAATTAACTGCTGAAAAATATCAATATCAACTAATATAATCGAAAAGAGATATAAAGTTTAAATCATTTTAATTTTAAATATATTAAAAAACTAAAGACTGTATAGGTAGTAATAATGACATATGTGACCTCATGAGTTTAAATCATAAGTGATCTCATGAGTTCAATTTGATTATATAGCGACCCATTTGTAAATTATGAAGTATTAATTTGACTCCAACAATTGAAAAATATATATAAAATTTATAAAATACTAATTAAAATATTATTATTAATTAATTAATATTTATTACATCATTATCACATCATCCGAGTCAACCCCCGAATTACCCCGAGTCGACCCCCAATTTGATCGACTCCTTGGCCATGCCGAGTCGAGCTCCGGTCCGAGCCTGACAACACTGGTTTTCATCCACTTTAGAATCTTTTGGCCTTCTACCCAAGAAGTCTTTGACGGAGTCATTGACTAAGTTCTACCCTTAAGCAGGGAAGCTATACACGAGGATGGCACCATTGATTGTGATGATTCCGGAGCTCTGTTTGTAGAAGCCAATCTTCATTCTCCGCTTTCACCCAAAGTTAATGAATGCTCCGCAGTTAGCTTTTTGATTAGGGAAACAGAGTTTTCCTCCCCTGGGATTTGCTTCCGGAATTCAGCCGGCCTGTGAAGAAAGCAAAGATCATTTGCAAGCGCGATGATGACCAACAGGTCCAACACCAAAGACGAGAAAGAATATTACAGGACTCTAGTTTGGCATACTAGTGTAGGGGCCTTTGTATCCTTTCTCAAATGGCTGGTGGAGAATAGAAGAAACAGGACGATGCCGAAATGATGAGCGATTGGTCTTTTACAAGCTGGTGTACATATCTCCAGTTTACGACGTGGATTCTTGGTTGGGAAAGCCTATTGCAGTTTGCCCTTCTGGCACGAGGTTTCAAAATGGAGTAATCTTAATGACCCCAAGGTCTGGTCATGGAATAGAAGCATGGAGTGACTCATGTTTGACGATGAAGTTTATATATGCTTGAGAATGAGTACCTTTCACTCAGAAACCACCCACATTTTTGCAATCAACTGATCATCTTCTTGCTGTAGCTAGGGTAACTAATTTCTTCTGCTGCTTCCCTGTGTGACTGTGTATTCTGCCTGATCCTAGCTAAGGGTCAAAATCCATACCACAAAGTTACAATTTTACCTGGTTTATCAAATCATACGGGAAACTAAAGTACTATTTATTCCATTATGGTTGTTTTTGTAGATGGTCATGCATGTTTTTCTTTGTTTCTGCAATTGGTTTATATTACTGGGTTCAGTCAGTGAAGGGCAGGGGGATACTTCAGTCATCGAAGAAATTACTCTAAAAGAAAAGAAGACAGAAAAGAGAAATAAAAGTAACTCTGTCTTACAAACTTTTAGTAGAACACAGGTACTACTTAATGAGAACAATTTTATTTCATTAAGCTGATCTTTCATTTGAACTAGTATTGCGGCTACAAGTTGTGTAGAGTTTTCAATTATTCAGTGCTTAAACTAGAATTATGGCTACTCGTATTACAACGTAGCTGTACAACTACAGGTGCCATTTAACGGGATTTTGAGTTACCAGAATTTCAACACAACCTCAGCAATACAATACAATACAATAAATTTATGCCACTACAAAATTGAAAAGCACAAACCCACCGTAATCAGATGATATAACCACCCCATCTCAACATGCTACATCAATAATGCCTCAAACTACGGCAAAATACTAAAATTCGAGATTAGCAGAAGCCGCACACGCTGCCCGGGTTAAGGCCTTCCTCGCAAGTGGTACTTTCCGCTTCAAATCTTTTCGGGCCGCAGCAGCAACCAGCATCTCATTTACAGTTTTCCTCCTCCACCTGTTTCCCATTCCATTCAACTCATCAATAGGGGCAGCTAGAAGTCCTCCTAATCACCCTAAATTTATCATTCCCTCTCTGTGTTCTTGATGGAGCTTTTAACTTGGTCTCATCACACTACAAAAAATTTACAAGACCCACCACAATTTTATATTAACTGTTATGCTTTTGCCAATGCATGGCTAAAATACAGAATGCCCAAAAAAAAAAAAAAGTCTTTACCTGTTGTCTTTTTCTCCTCTCGGCTTCAGCCAAAGCCTGTTTCAAGTGAGCATTTTCTTCTTTCAGCTGATTCAGTTCAGCTTCCAGCTCTACTGTATAAGCTTGCTTCCTTGCTCTTGATCTCGCTGCCGACTCCCTATTCTTGATCATCCTCCTCTGCCTCCTCTCAACCACCTTCTCAATTGGGCCGTCTATAATCCTTTTCCGTCCTCCACTTCCTCGCATTCCGCCCATATCCAACCCATATTGATTCACTCCATCCATTTGATTAGCACACAGCCCATCGGATGAGACTGGGCTGACCGGCGAACCCAATCCCAACCCCTGGACTTGCCCATATCCCCCACCGCTTCCCCCGTTTCCAACTCTACCACCAAAACATGCTGCCGCTGGTGGTGGCGGGGGCTGGGCATGAGCTGGATATCCTCCTCCACTTCTCTTCATGCTGATGGGATAAACTGCTGCAGGTGCCTCACCGGGTTGTGGCAGTGCCTGATATCCGGGTACAGTTCCACCACCTAAGCTCATAACAGGCCTTGCCATGTAACCTCCGCTCCCAATTACAGGGTTGTTGCTGTTCGGATAGAAGCTACCATACGGTGCCGGAGCTGGAGCCACTGCCGGTGGCTGCTGCTGCGGTTGCTGCTGTGGCAATGTTGTACCTGCCTGTTGACACTGTTCTCGAACAACCCCTGCTTTAACCAAGAAATCTTCCAGCGTCATTTCTCCAAAAGTCATTTGCCTCTGCTGCTGAGAAGATGACCCAGCCGGGTTCCGTGCATTCCCGGCATTGTTATTATCATCAGTGTTCTTGGGCTGCTTTTCTTGTGTATTGTTGTGAATTTCTGCCCATACTTCCTCCACTGTTTTCCTAGACAGAGTTCCTGGAAGTGTAAGTGATCCTTGCCTTGCCAGGCTAGATTGTCTGGCAATCGTGCACTTTTGATCTGAATTCTGGTTGGCTTCGTGCAGGGCTAACTGGACAGCATGTGGCTGATGATTGTTGTTGGCTGATAAAATGCCAGCATTGGTGCCTTGCGCTTGGTTTTCTTCGGCTGTCCAGATACTGTTCAAGAACTCGTCCATGTTCATGGATCCAAAGTTCTTGCCACTCTCACATAAGGTGTTCTGGAACTCGTCCAGCGTGAGTGAATAAATTGACGACTGTCTGCCTAGAGATGAGAAACCATGATTATTCCTTGCTTGGTGATCTGAAGCCATTGGAGAATCAACTTCTCCCTGAGATAACATATCTGAATCTGACATAACCATCAATATATATTAACTTTCAGGTTTTGCAATAATCCTCTCTCTCTCTTTCTCTCTTTCTATGTCTGATGTGCTTTAACCAAAGTAATTTCACTGCAAAGAAAACCAAAAGAATTAGCTCCGAACCCACCAGACACAACACTCAGCTACCAACAAAACATTCATCAGAACTACCGGCAAATCAGATCAAACGGGAGGACAACACATGATAGAGTAAAAGAATGTCATTTTCCCTGTCTTGGGATGCAAACTAATAATAGAGTACGGCAACTGTACGACAAAAAAAAATATCTAGCCTTTTATTATCTCTCTGATTTCCAGGACAACATTGGATGTATTGGTTGAAGAAACGTCCACTGATTTTCTGAGGCTTGCCGACAATTCACATATGAAGAAATCTGACTCTTTCTCCTCATATATGGTATGCATTACAAATGAAAAATTGCAGTACTGATATATTGCCCCTATTATCTCGTGTTTCCTAACATGTACTTTTGTTATCATATCATACACCTATAAAAAGTTCTAACAACGCACAATAATCACAGACTATAGTCAAAGATATACTTGCTAAGATTTGATCCTTACACTATCATTCCCATCACTATTGATAAAAATAACCAACCCAAGAATAATTAAATAATCAACCCATGAATAAGTAAAACAAACAGTAAGACAATTATGATCAAAATGAAAGTCGTTAAGTGTTGCTAGCATTGAGTAGAGGGAGACAATTTTTAAATTATATAAGTAACCATAGCATATGGTGATTCTCATAATAGCTCCATATATGTATCTAGGAAGATATTCGAAGCATGATCCATCTAGCCACACATTTCATCGATAAATTACGGTTGGTGGACATATTAATTCTAGTCATGAAACTATCTGTTTGTTATATGTGGAGTTCTCAATGAACTACAGATATAGATAGAGGAATGCACATGAGATGATGAGAACATATATACTGACATAGATTAGACATTTCTTTTAGACATATTCATTTCAGCAGCTAATGGGAGCTATATGTATTTGCACGTGAACTTAAGTCAAAACTTGCCGATACAAGGAAAATGTTCATTTTGAACCCGATAAGTGACCTTAAGAGCTAGATTTCATGAAACTAAATTGGACTCGGTTCGTGATACCACCACAAGAGAAGAGCTCATATTATGATATTTTTATTCAATAATGATAATTAATAAAAGGATTCATCTCTAGAATCCATAAATTCAAACATACTTATATTCCCCTATTTCCAAAATGATTTTGGTATGGAAGTAGTATAATTTAAAAATTCGCAAGTTCATTGTGAAAAAAATGGCTGTTTTTCTGAACAAAATTAATTATATATAGTAACTTAGCTGCATATAATGATGTTGGGAACATCTGTAAGCATATAAGAGGTATAACAAATAAAACCGAGTAATTATAGCAAATAATAGCTATGCTAACCAGATAATTTAAAAAATTGAAAAAGATAGATAGCTCGATCTCCACCAAGTACCAAGCAACCAACCTTGCTCGTTTGCCAAGGAAACTTTTGGGCTTAAAAAAGATTTATCATCGGCCTCGTACTAATTATGTAGCATAAGTACTTAATCCTGGGAAAACAACCAAAAAAAGAAAGTAAAAACTAATCCTAGGACTTGGAATCAATTTTCCAGCGTTTTTCAAAAAGAAGTATCACAAAAAAAAAAGAAGATATAAGACACCTTTATTCCCCATCACAGTCGTATACCCGGCCCCGCCAAAAAAAAAAAAAAGAAAAGAAAAGAACCAGCATCAAATAAGATTTAACTATGAAGAGACTACTAGTTAGCTAGCTTAAATAGTTATTTCTAGCACTGATTAACTTCAAGATTACAAAAATCCCAAACAATTTTTTTTTAAAAAAAAAAAAACCCCGAAAGATATAAGCATCAAATTATAATTACTGTACCTTCAAATTCTTGAATTCATCAGGCGATCTCAACAACAATCTGAGCTTCAACTGATCTTCTGTTCTTTCTCTTCTTTCTTTGGTAGTAAAAATTAATGATGATGGTATATAAGCAGCAGCCACATCGGTCGTTGATCAACTCCAGTTTGCTGCCGTACGTGTCTTTCTCTGAGGTGGGGGTCGTTATTACATATAAGAAGCTACATAGAGCTTTTTCTCCAACTGAAATGCCAGAAAAAAAGGAAATTTGAAGTTATAGAAGCTTCAAGTGAAGTGCAGAAGCTAGTGTGTGTTTTAACAGTAGTAGTCCAAAAGGGCTTGAATTTTTTTCTTTTGGGTTCCTTTGTTTTTACGCGGGTGAATTTCGGTCACACGGGCAACAAGCCAACAACAGTTACAGTAAATTTGGTTTTGTCATCTGTGGGGTACAACCGCTAACAAAAATAAAAAGCCTGCATGCGGGTACGGATACGGGTTTTATTGTATTGATCTGACTTCGCCCAAGATGGCTAATAGTAAAACATGAAGCACAACCGACCCGTTTTAACAAGGCAAGGAGAAGTTGTGACACGTTGCGTCCATGTGTCCGGTTTGCACGCACTCTAATGGAAATCCTGCTCCCCCCCTTCTTCCACGTGTCTCGTTTCCTTCTTCACCACCTGCTCAATTCTGCATGAACCTTTTATATTTCCTGTTTTTGCAGCAGGTGACTTCTTCTTCCTGATGGCCCGTTTCGACAATAATATTGGTTTCATGATCTCATCAAATCCATTTTGTCCTTCATAATATCAGTTACCTGTGAGTTCATTTTGGATCGCATGAATTCGGCAAAAATAACGTTTCTACTCAAAGCTTTGCCCTCGTCGTCAATCATACCCAATAGATTTTCAGTTAGTCAACTTTACTTTAATGTTTGAAATTTTCGTCAATTTCGTCCAATCGGCCCATTTTCCATCCAAATTAATGGATCTCCATTAGTTTTTTAATAAAATAATAAATTTAATTACAAAAACACCCCAGTAGTTTGTACAAATTTTAAAAATAATTCCTAAAATATATAAAAATAACAAAATTGTCCCTTTTCACTTTTTTATTTCATTTTCTCTATTTTGTTCCATTTCTCTCAACTACTTTTAATGACCATAAAAATATATTATATGAGTTTTTTTAAAAAAATATTTATTTATTTTCAAACTCTACCGTAAAAATTAATCTTTGTATTGTTGTAACCCATGATTGTATTTCTATAAGCATGTTAATTTTTTTAATAATATATTTTAGCAATAAAGACACTATTTTTCTGATTTATTTTATTTTTCCTAACGTAAAGATTGAAAACATTTAAATGACACTAATATTTCACATAATAAAATATTAGCTCAACTAAAAAATATTAATATATTTTAGTATGATAAAATTTAACTCAAGAGACTATAACTTGCATTAATATACTTCATAAAAAAATAAATAAAATATAAAATAATTAAGACACTATTTTTCTGATTTATTTTATTCTTCCTAACATAAAGATTAAAAACATCTAAATGAAACTAATATTCCACATAAAAATAAAATATTAGCTCAAATAAAAAAATATTAAGATATTTTAGTGTATTACAATTTAACTCAAGAGACTATAACTTGCATTAATATAATTCATAATAAAATAACTAAAATATAAAATAATTAAAATCTTAAAACAAATCCTCCATACATAAGTTTTCCTTCTTGAATCTAAAACCTATTTTCTATCACAACATCTTATTATCATATTTTTACCTCCATTCATTTATTTTAAACTAAAATCATAGAGAATAAGCTAGTAAGACTTCCTCTTAGTTAAATATATTAACATCTCAAATAATTATTACAAAATATTAAATCCTCGCATTGATAAGGATAAACATATTTTTTATAAATTATATTATGCCATGTAGTCTCTCTAGTTAAATTGTAATACACCAAACTATACTAATATATTAATTTTTATTTTAGCTAATATTTTATTTTTATGTGGAATAGTTTTTCTTTTAAATATTTTTAATCTTTACGTTAGGAAGAACAAAATAAATAAAAAAATAGTATCTTTATTGCTAAATTATATTATTAAAAAAATTAACATGCTTATAGAAATACAATCATGGGTTACAACTATACAAAGATTAACTTTTACAGTAGATTTTAGAAATAAATAAATATTTTTTTAAAACTGATATAATATATTTTTATGGTCATTAAAAGTAGTTGAGAGAAATGGAACAAAATAGAGAAAATGAAATAAAAAGTGAAAAGGGACTATTTTGTTATTTTTATATATTTTAGGAGTTATTTTAAAATTTTTACAAACTACTGGGGTGTTTTTGTATTTAAATTTATTATTTTATTAAAAATCTAACGGAGATCCGTTAATTTAGACGAAAAATAGGCCGATTGGACAAAATTGGCGAAAATTTCAAACATTAGGGTAAAGTTGACTGACCGAAAATCTATTGGGTATGATTGACGACGAGGGCAAAGCTTTGGGTAGGAACGACATTTTTTCCCATAAATTCTAAGAGCTAGTAATTAGTAAAGATTAAAATGTCTATTTTAATATTAATTGATAAGTTAATTACTATTCCTTAACTTAAAAGTCATTTCCCAACTCTCTTTGTATTGGAACTATAATAAGTAGTTGTGTATATTGGAATAATTTCCTTATAAAAACAGAGGTAATGTAGATAAAATAAACAATATTATGCATTGAGAGACAAAGTGGACTTATTATTTAGAATAATTTACTTTTTTTTTTTTCCCTTCTTGCAAGCTTTATGATGGGTTGAACTCGAAGTTATTTTATAACTTGATATTCCCAAAAAGGGAAAACTTTGTCACCCTTTTGAATTTTCTTTGTATCTGAGGAAAATAATTACTTGTTGAAGTACAGTGTATAAAGTAGATTATATTGCATTGATGTATTCACTACACCTTTTTTGAGGCTTTATTCACTATATCTCGAATTCTCGATGAGAGTAGTTGTAGCCTTGTAGGAAAGTTTTCTTCTGTACCAGTTTCAGCCTCCACACAGTGGCAAAACTAGATCAAATTATCGATTACAACACCATTAGCCCAATGTTTGCTGGTGCTTCGTAAATTAAGCGCTTTCCGGGCAGTTTTGGATTTTGAACAAGGAAATGAATTAGGGGTAGCCCGATCTATCTTATACCAAAGATGCTCTCTTGCCACCACCTTAAGACGCAGCCCAATAGAATGAATCCTTTATTTTGGCAGCGAAAGAGTGAAAAATTTATGAAAAGAACTTAATGAGAGTAAACATAAAACTATTCAAATTCGCAGTTCATTTTTACTGCACAATAAATAATGCATCTAACCAAAGTAGTTGTGGTTGAGTGGACGAGACTCCTCCACCCTTAACCATAGGTTGAGAATGTAAGATTTATGTGAACTTATACATTACTAAAATGCACCCCACATAAAGTGATCTAATTTAATCAACTAAAGTTTAGGATAATAATAATTAAATTAAGGGGTGACCCAGTATTGTGTAGAAACCCTAAAGCCCAGTTTCTGAATTTGTGATGGATGGAATCGAAAACCTTATTATATATTGGTTATGGTCCCGGGTGAGCCGTCATGCCAAATCTCGACTCCCCATTTGTCAGAGGTTCCCGTAAGGGTTTGACGGAATCATCTGGAAAACCAAACTGAATCAATGTTCTTGCCATTTGTAACATCTCAGCCTCATAGACTGGCCCAACAACTTTTAAGCTTTCGTACTCGCTGGCCCAAAAAGGTTAATCCAAGTTGTTAGTAGTTTGTGAGGTTGAGACTTATATACAGGTCATTCACTTTACCAGGTAGCGATGTGGGACAGGATGTTACACAGTATCCCGACTTCGATTTTGTTTAGTTGTCTGCATTGTCACAAGGCTGCAAATACGGTATGGTCTTAAAATACTACTTAAAGTTATAATGTGACAATAATGCAACAATTTAGATGCTCTAATAAAAATAAACATTAAGTTCTTAATTGTTATATTTAAGTTCAGATTGAATAGATTTTCTAAGGAGTACATGCGAACAAACTCTAATATCGTAGATTACTTCACTTAAAATTATTATTGAGTATTTTGTTCAAATGACTGTTGTGTTATCTGATGATATGACGGTTTAGTGGGAGTTTGTAATTTTGGTTTTACTAAGGGGTCATACATTTATGAACATTCAGATATATTAATACTGCAGTATAAAGTATAAAGTCCAAAGTAAGATTTAAGGCATACGGTATACAATTTTCAGCGTGCTTACATCTCGAAATTTTGGTTGATCTCACTAAAGTATAAAGAGGACCAGTTGGAAATAGACTTGCTGAAGATCACATTACATGTAATTTTCATGCTACGCATCCACACTTGATCCATGTCATTTAGTTATGTTAATATATGTGACCACTGATGGGTTTAGTTGTGATCAGTGCAACAAGTGCCCTTTGATCCTATGTTAATGTAATTAATGGAGGGGATTATTTCAGATAATTTTATGAAAGCAAATTTTGAGCGCTCTAAAGTTTTCCGTATAATATACAATTATAAGGAATATATTTGATGTATAGTCCAAGTGAGAGATTGTAAGATCTATGTGGGCTTATACACTAAATATACAATCGTATATTGCAGACTATCGTAAAATACTAGCCCACATAAAGTGATCTAATTTAGTTAACTAAAGTTTGGCTAATAATAATTAAATTAAGGTGTGACCCGGTATTGTGTAGAAATCCTAAAACCCAGTTTTTGATTCTGTGATGGGTGGAATCGAAAACCTTATTATATATTGGTTATGGTCCTGGATGAGCCGTCATGCCAAATCTCAACTCCCCATTTGTCAGAGGTTCTCGTAAGGGCTTGACGGAATCATTTGGAAGACCAAACCGGAACGATGTTCTTGCCACTTCAGATTAAGCTACGCTCTCACTTTCGTACAGTTCTCAATAATATGATGTGGAGGTTTCTTCAGTATATGGATTTATTCCAACATAGGGTTCGAACCTCGCCATGGACATGAAGCAACCTTAAATACTTTGACCATATCTCCCACCCATCGAGGTGCCTACAATTCAGCGAGGAAGATTAGTCACTGTTGGCGACGGTGGACACCCTGCAAATATGCAAAAAAAAAAAAACAATGCATCTGTCTGAAATAATAATAATAATAATAATAATAATAATAATAATAATAATATAATAAACTTAAAAAAATCTAATTTTTTAATGTCTACAATTCAACGTGAATTATTTTTCTGGACGGATGAAATATTTAGATTCAAACAAATCTTTTCCCGGCATGAAGGAATCAAATGATATACAATTCCCTCCATTTCAAAATAATTTCAATTTAAAATTTCACTTTTAGTATAAATTATACCCAAAATAAAAATTCAAACTTCGGGATAAAGGAAGTGCTAATCTTTCTTTTTCTTTTTTTTTTGGAAACCAGCTAATCTTTCTTCTTATGTGCAAATGGTGGTATAGGTAGATTAAAGAGGAGTACGCGTAGCAACAATCTGCAACCAAAAAGTACCTCAAACTTTTTTTCCGGTGGAAGAGGAAGCCATTGTTGTCTTGCCACATTCACAAGCTTCCATTTAAAATGTGGCCACTTTTTTTTTCTGAAAAAAAAAAACGCAATCAAATGGTTCTCCCTTGCCGCGGCAGCCTGCATGATTACTTAACACTTTCCCCAGCATTACGGGAATGAATGCGCTTCAGTATCAACGTTTCATTTCCCGGCGCTTTTTCATTTGAGTACAAAAATAAATAAATAAATAAAATTGAGTACTTGAACCCAATTGAGACGGCCGTTCTGTCTTAAAACGATTGTAATTTAGACGATGTTTTGTATTAGAAACAATACAACAAATATAAGAAATAATTTTGAAACGGAAGAGTACTACATTCTGAATCATATCGCAAGAGCGCCTTTACAACTAGAAAACAAGACTTAAAGGCTACAACTAATGATTCATCATGATGAACACCAATTCTATGCTTTTTGCAGTGTACATCACAATCTCTTTGCTCAATGCTGTACAGTTTTCAAACCAAAGTTGGCCAAAAGCAGTAAAGATTTATAGGTTTGTACTCGAAACAAATGTACTTTTACTAATATGAGTTTTCTACCGAGGCTAGTTAGGCAAACTCTAAACATTTTTGTAGACTGTTTACTAATTTGGATTCAAATGAATTGAATACAAAACTTGGAGTCCATATCCAGTGCACCCGGATATACCGTATACCCCTACCAAACACACGCGTTACACGCGCTTAACATTTTTCACCTTTACATTAAATGTTGTACTTGCATTTTTTTTTACTGGATAATCACTATAAAACATTCGGATAATCAGGTGTAACAAGTTGGATAACTAGTACAAAGATCCTGGGTAACCATTACAAATGGTTGGATATTGCTGGACATTGGCTGGATAACCAGTACAAAAGTCCTGGATAATCAATACAGAGCATTGGATAATCAGTTTACATCTTCTGGATAACCAGTTTACAACTTGTGGATAACCAGTATGACATGTTAATTGGGCGGATTCGCCCCCCATGATAAACTAAACGGCTCTCGCGGCTATCGGAATCTCAGGTCACCAACCTGCCCCGGCTGCGCCGCCCCGCCGAACACGCCAATGTAGTTAAGGTAATCCTTTTTTCGTGTGTGTGTAAGGAGAGTGTGTGTTTAAGGAGAGTGTGTTATTGCGTTAAGAGGGGACACAAATTACTTGTATAAATCCCCCCGTGATAAACTAAACGACCCGGCTGTGCCGGTGCCCGCGGCTGCGCCGCCTTTCGCGGCTGTGCCGCCCTCATGCCGAACATGACAAATTTCATAAATAGTATTTAATTGAATAAGGGGAAGTTTGCCAAATGATGGAGAACAAAAAATGAATGAGGGGCAACTGGATAACCAGTGTAAAAATACGGACAAGGATATCCAAGAAAAATATAAAAGGAAAAAAATGAAATTTGGCAACTGGTTATCCAGCTGTGTGTAACTGGTTATCCATAATGTGCATACTGGTTATCCACTATGTCAATACTGGTTATCCAACAGGTTAATAATGGTTATCCAGCTGTGTGTAACTAGTTATCCATAGTGCCAACACTGGTTATCTACATGGTGAACACTGGTTATCTACACGTGTTTAAAAAAAAAAAAAAAAAAAAGAAGGATGAATTATCTAGCGAACTCACACTATTCTAAGAGAGTAAATTACACACGCAGGGAGTATACGGTGCCCCCGAGTGTACCAGATAATTTGCCCAAAACTTGATCAAATGACTCGAACCAGAAAAAAGGTTTATTAAGTTAAGATGGCCTATAAACTTTATCCAAATATCCAATCAATACAACGTTCATCTTTTTCCTCTACAAATACAACATCATATCAGTCTTTACAGCAGTGATATGAAGGCCCTATTGATTGTTCCTTCTAAGTTTTCCTCTTGTTTGTCCATTAGAAACTCAGTAGGCCACAGGTATTGCCAAAAAATGTTCTCAAAGATAGAAATACTGCTTCTCATTTTTTGCCTCCATTCTTATCTTGGAGCACTGGCTTCGGATCCTGACGCTATTCAAGACTTCTGCATACTCAATGCAGAAGTTGATTCCCATTCCCATACCAAAGAAGCGTGCAAACCTTCAACCCAGATCACCCCAGATGACTTTGTCTTTTCAGGTGTAAAAGCCCCTGGAAATTTCTCGGATGATGGCCTCTCAGCAATACTAGTGACACCCAATTCTTTTCCAGGACTCAACACCCTGGGGATGTCGTTTGTACGTTTCGATTACCAGGCTGGTGGGATCAATCCACCACATTATCACTCTAGAGCAACGGAGATTGCTTTTGTGGTGAAAGGGAAAGTTTATGCTGGTTTGGTGGATTCTAACAACAGAGTTTATGCTAAGGTGATTGAGGAAGGAGAAGTCATGGTCTTCCCAAAGGGTTTAGTTCATTTCCAGATGAATGTTGGCAAGTCCCCTGCTACCATTTATGCAAGCTTCAACAGCCAAAATCCAGGAGTACAGAGAATCCCATCTACCATTTTTGGTTCAGGTATCAATGATGAGCTCTTGGAGAAGGCATTTGGGATCAGTATTAAGCAAATTGGAAAGATGAGAAGGAAATTCTTCCCTTAAAATAAAGGTTAAATTTTGGTAAAAATTGTAGTTACTGTGTCAGGCTCACCTGCAGTTAGATTTAGGTGGTGTTGTATTCAAATTGAGGGAGCAATCAGATTATTTCTTGTAATCCTTTCAATCACGTTAACGAGTTACCTTGTAATTTTCCTATCACTACTATTAGTCCTATTTATATGATTTTGAAGGTGAATGATCCCGCAATATACTAATACAGTACTTGAAATGGGCTAATATTTACCTTCACAGAACAGCAATTGCTGAAAAGCCTATAGACAGCAAAAGTGAAAACAAGAGACGAAACAGAACTATATTATATGATGAACAACTCAAACACAAGCTACAAGTGAACAACTCTTGTATGATCCAAGTGAACCAGAAAATGGTTCTCATATGATGTTGTACAGACTATAGACGTTAAGTCTACATAAGAATAGGTTATGGTACATACAACAATCACCAGATGAAACCAAAATTCCTGCCATTAGTCTACCGAGGAAGCAAAAACACGCACACTGAAGCTATTTGTGACAGACTACTCTCCCTTTGTAAGTGTCTTAACTATATTGTCCATCATTCCTTCAGCTAATGGAAACATGTGACCAGCACCAGGTAGCTCATGATAGTGAATCCAAGGTAGTTTCTCGGCAATGTATCGCTGCAATGAAGCAGGTACAAGCATATCTTCATCTCCCTGGAATATATGGACAGAGCCTTCATTGTTTGGAAATGGATTCTCCAGATCCATGGGTTCAAATTCCCAGTTTCCAAAGCCAATTATCAAGTCACGGCAGAGGGACTCGAATTCTCCTTGTTGTCTAACCTGCGCCTGATGTTTGTAAAGATGATATAATAGCAGTGAGAGACTGATTTGTGAACAGAAAACTTGCACGAAAGAGCAGTACCAATTAAATACAGTAGCTGATATGGGAAATCTTATTTGAGTGGTACAAAGCTGCCTTTCTAGAAATTCACACTGCAGCTTAAGGGAAATCATTAGTATCAGAAAGTAGGAAATCATACTTTTTTAAACAGTGATCTGAGTAGCGTGGATTCAAAAATTGAAGCAATTTGTTAACCAAGGATTCAAGAAATAAGTTTTTTTCTTTGTTTCTCGTAGTAGGGGATTAATGCTATTTTACTAGTTTTTTAATATCATACAGAAATTGCCTGAAATGAGGAACATAAAATTTCATATAAGAAACTCGCAGTATAACATGAAATCTACCTAATTGTTATTTAGCCAAGCCTGGTTAATATTTAAAAGATAAACAACATCCTCGCAAGGAGTGCTCACAAAACGACTCTTTGCATAGCATTACCTCATACTCTCGTACTGGACGAAATTTAGTCACAATTTCTAGGTCTTGAGCGGACAAAACTTCAGGAGATTGAACCACAACTGAATGGCGAGGGAACAGTTTTTGAGTGGTCCACCAGTAGGTAAGCCATGGTGCATAGTGAGCAACACGAAGGCCCCACTGGTCCCGGAGAAACTCTTTTTTGAATGCTTCAGATGACAAGTTAGATGGAAAACCACGCCACCAATAGTTGGTAACAGGGGCAAGGAGGGCAGCTCCAGCCAATCTGAAACATGAGAAGAAAAAAATACAAAGAAACAGTTTAGAAAAACTATGAAATCCATACATAGGATCAGCTGTTCTTCCCGGTTATCTGGCAATTTATGACTATAATTAAATTCTACCTATGAGGAATATATTTAATGCATGGCCAAAGTGCTTGTCCGCCCAGTGAAAATCCAACGAGATAGAACTTTGAACCTAGACCCAGTTTATCAGCAAGCTCTTCCACATCAGAAGCCATGCTACTTAATGTTCGATTAGAATGAGGGTCACTTTCTCCATAACCTGGTCGATCAAATGCAACAACATAGATGCCTAAAGTTTCAGCAGTGTCCTGCAACAGAAGGAATTTTACTCTTAGACTGGTAACAGATTATGCAGAAACACTCGGACAGTCAATAGGACATGAGGACCTTCCAGAAAATGGTTTTTAAAATAACCACATTACCTGTGAAAGGGGTGGCATGTCATGTCTGCACGAATCAAATCCGTGGACAAATACTACCTTATACTTTGCTTTATCTTTTGCAACTCCAACCTCTTTGTAGGCCAGATGCCTACCATCACTAAGTTTAATTCGTGGTGCTGTAACTGGAGGACCATTCGGAGAACCACATGTCTTAGGAGGAGGAGGTCGAGCTGCTTGAAAGACCCAAGCGAAAAGGCCGATGAAGAATACCACAAGGACTTTCTTAAGTACCCCTGAAATGATTGTCTTAGTTACAAAACATTTCGAAGATTACACCGATCAACTTCCTACAACAGGATGGGGCAGAGTAGAAACGACACAAAGTCCTCATACTTCACATGTATATACATAAAAATGTAAACTCTCAGACAAATTGCATAACAGCATAACAAAAGCTTGCCAACAAGACTTCGGGATTCACAAATCATTGAAGCAAAGCTGTTCTCAGGATGTTATGCAAACAACACAAATTTCCAAACAGCTCTTCCACATTTCTAATGAATCCAGTTTTAATGAATTTATACTAACCAGCTCTATTTGTTCTCTAACATAACATATTTCGGTAAAAGAAGGCATACGCGACAGAATTAGTAAAAAAAAAAAATCGCAAATCAGAGAAGATGTGGGGGATAACAAGATGAAAATCGGAATGACTAGGGTACTTGGGAGAATTCACAGCAATTCATGCAAATCAGGCAGCCAATCAGCCACTACATATCAGTGTAACTACAGATGGGAACGGTTTTACATACATTGTATATCCAATTACATGCTATTGTGAATTCAGAAAGTTCCTGCTCTCAGTAGCACTCTGCCAGCTCATCTCAAAATCAAAACGGCAATTGAGTTGTAAACTTGAGCAACATAGAGCCGTACATGATTAATGATGTGACAGTCAAAATTCAACTTCTCATAATTACCGTGTCCTCTACATGTGAACCCATCATTTCATCAACCTCAAATCTAGTCCCATCATCATACAACAGATAAAATTTTGAACATAAAACTTCAGTAAGGCCTCATTCATATGCATGGATATCACAGGTAACTACGAATCTCCGTTCCAGTTCCCCAATCAATAAAAATCAACAAAAGAAGAGGAAACAGTAATAACCAATCAGGACGAAGGAAAAAACTAACCGGAAGGAAGACAGGGAATGGAAGATTTCTGCTTGGATTTTCTGGTGTGGGCCCTGGCGGAGGCTGCGGATATTTTCCTGGTCGTCCCGGCAGCCATCTATGTTTTTTTGAGTCGGAGGATTTCGCGAAAGGTCTATTAATTGAACGAAGAAGATGAATAAAGGAACAGTAAACAGCTAAGACGACAAATACTAATTGATGTCCAGACGGCACGTGGGATTATTTGTGATCATGTGAAAGCGTGGGAGTGTGCCCGAAACAGATCTAGACCGGCCGGCTGGGGTTAACTCAAGACGGAAATTTGATGGGAACCAATCCCTACTTGTACAGTTGTACTGTTTGTCCGAAGACATATGGTAGTATTACTAAAAAAATAAAAATTAACCCCGAAAAAAAAAAACTCCAAGAAATGATTTAAGAGAGCATTTTCTGTTAGGGTAGACAGTAATGAGGTTTATATAACTTAACTCATACTACCTCCTCCCTACCAAAAAAAAATAAAAATAATCCACTTTAATTTTTCAACTTTATATTAGAATTTATGTATATCATCATTGACAACTAAGAGTTCTAAAGTGTTCAGTAATGTAAATTTTTATGAAACTCGACTTTTTTTGGAATAAAAATTTTTATTAAACTGGATTATTTTTGTGAGATGGAAGGAGTAATATAATTTCGCAGCTACATTTCTTTTTCCAATGCACTAACATATTATAGGAAATCTAAAATAGAAAACCTGCTTGCTGAAAATGAAAATCTTGAATTAGTTTGTTGTACAATCAGCACATGCAAACAAACTATTGAAATTGCAAATAAGACTCGTATTACGCAAAACAACAACTAGCTATTAGATCACGGCGACAAATTATCAACAGATCGATTAAAACATATACAACCGAGTACAAACGCATCTATATCCCATATTAGATGTTGAGAGTTGAGGCATAACAAATCTGCCCCCCCTCAAGTCTAGAACTTATGGAACCCAAAAATATTCATAAAGAAAGTTCAATGTTGAAGTGTCTACTAGAGAACCCTTTCAATGGGGAGAACAAAGTGTCCTGTTGAAGTGTCTACTAGAGAACCCTTCTTTCAATTGGGAGAACTGAGTGTCTACTACAGCACTCTTTCAATGGGGAGAACGAGCAAAAGCAAAGGTGCAGCAGAAAGTATCCAAAAAAGGGAACTGCAACCACAAGATGACACAAAGAATGGCCAATTTACAATAAATCAACAGACCAAAAATTTCCCACCTAGCTAAGATGGTGGAGAGGCAGAATGACAGATTCTACTATCAGGCTTCATAATAGATTAAATGATCCGAAATGCATAATCAATCAACGCAACATCCTGTAAAGAACCAAGTTGAAGACCTATTCATACTCAAACTGAATTTCCACATTTGGATATTTCCTCCCTAGCTTTACCATGCACGAACTGAACTTGGCTAAGGTATGGCACTCTTCATGGGTCTTGGCCTCGGACACAATACCATAGATAACCAACTTCCTGAGACTAGGACACCTCTCCATAAATCCTTCTACCCAATGGGAGAACAAGTCGCTGATTACTGTCCACCCAAGTGACAGCACAACTACATTTTCCAATTGGAACAAGCCTTGAAATCCATATTGAAGTGCTGCCTCCTTCAGATCATAACTCAGTGATAGATGACTCAACATAGGAAAGCATGAGGAAATTGTCTCTATATCCACAACCTCATCTTCATCATCAAACACAACACCCCAAAGCCTTAGTCGTTTCAATATGGATGACTTTGAAATCATATGATGAAACTTTGCCCACATGATAGTGAAATTGCTCACATCCACAACCTCGAGATTTTCAGCACTCTCTCCAATATCGAGATGGATGACACTAACATCATCAATCCTAAGAAGCTTTAGTGTCCCCTTGCCAACAAGCTCAAACACCTCAAGTGTGCAGTCTTTCAAATGCAATTTCTCAATACTATCAGCCTCCAGTATAAATTTATCCAAACTAATAGCCTCAACATATACTTCCTTCAATGAGTTACTGCTCAGTTCCATGGTAGCCAGTGGATCTGACATGACAACATCTAGACTCACAAGGGTTAAAACCTCAATTTTAGGGCAGGCAGTGAGCAGAAGACTTAAGTCGAGAGCTGATATACTGACATAACTCAGAGACAGGTTTCGCAAGCATGGAAATTTCTGGTAAGTAGGTTCAACCCCCGTGATAGTATTATGAGCCAAAGTCAAAACCTCTAGCTTTTGCCGACTGCATTTTTCAAGAATATTAATATTTGGGGTTGTTCTCACATTATAATGCAATTGGCGCAAAGTTTCTCTGGTATACATAAGCCAAGCTATCACTGGGGCAGCCGAGAACTCATCCACATCATCCATGATTATTGAAAGGCATTGCAATCCATTGGTCTGAAAGATTGTCTGAGTTATAATAATCTCGAGTTTACTGGTACTCAGGTCAAGGTATGCAGGCCAATCATTGGAATTAAAAGTTAGAGCATGGAGGTGATGTCTCCAGGCTTCTCTCCATTTCCGGCAAGTTGCAGAAGCAACCACGACATCCCTGGCAGCTCCAAGCCGAGATAGTATGTTCCCGATGACCTCTACGGGAAGGTAATCCATGAAAGATTACCATACAACGACTTAATGATGCGACACCACTAAAAGGGCCACAATCTGCTAAGTATCTTACTAAAAACTTCAAAGTGCAACAGAAGAAAACCGAACTCAACAATGATGTCCGAGTAATTCAATTCCATAAACTATATTAACGAAAATCTGAGTCTTTGATACTGAAATAGGAGATCTCTCATAGCCCAAAAGAAATAAGAAATGTGTAACGGGGGAAAAAAGGTAGCAACTTTTGGCTATGAATAGCAACCCTCAAACCTGGAAAAGGAAACGAACAACACCAAAAAGCAAATTGAAACAGAAGACATGAATTCAGGGTATCAGCAACACACATCAATACAGACATCAACACAAATCAATACATACGAATAGGTTAATCGATGGAAAAGCGGAAAGCTTTAGGTGACATACCGAGAAAAGTCAGACGTCGACGATCAGAGCCCAGAATCAAATCGACCGATGAATAAAACGAATCGAAAGCAGGGAATCACGCCGGCGATCAATTAGACGACGCATTCAAGGCCTCAATATTATATGAATCGAAAACGGGGGAACGGACAGAGGATGTTGAATGCAAAGACGATGATGATGGTGATGGAAGAAAAGAATGAAAAGAGGTTGATTGGGGGGAATCTGAATCGCTGGAGATGGAGAAATGGTCAAGCTGGAGGGCTGCCCCTTGTCCTCTGCCCTCTCTGCAAAATCACACACACAGACACACATTGGTGTTGGTTTTGGTGGGCTGGCTCTTTGCTGCTTGCATCGTGGTTTGCACGTGACTACCCAAAATTACGTCCACCCGGTATTCTACTAGTATTTGCATATTTGGTACCCAACATAAATTTTGTTTTCTTTTCTTTGCTACCAAAAAAATAAAAATAAAAAAATAAATAAAATGGCTGTTCTGCAATAATATTTGGCATCTCGATTGAAATATTAGTAATAATAATTACTCTCTCTCGGTCCTAAGATTATTGTCTAGTATGAAATTTCATTTTTAGTACATTTTGAACTATAAATGAAAACTCAAACTGGACAATAATTATGAGACTGAAGGACCACTTGTTTTTGTTATAATACCAAGTGGCTCGTCATGTACATGCATAGATTATAAATTACTAGTGCACACTTACTTATTAGTGCTAATAATTTACATAGGCTACCCATTGTAAAAGTTGGTTGCAGTAGTCTACACAATGAATATCGTTTAGGGTGATAAAAATGTTAGATTAAGTGATGTAAAGCTGTAAAACAAGCACCTGATGATCATATTAACTGCAATTGAGATCCGAACATTTTCACATGGATGTATCAACAAATGAGGGGGCTTATATATTTAAAATAGAAAGATCTTATTTTGAATTCTAATTAGTTGATAACTGGTTTTTAATAGTGCTTGTTTGGAATGGTACATTATTATCAAGTTTACACACGAATGATCAAAGGAGCAGAGAAGCTAATATGCTTGGAAGTTCATATAATATGATGCGGATTTATTTAACGTAAATATCCATACGAAGATATCAATGAATGGAAGGATTCTAAATGAAGTAAAACCGGGGTTAACGTGTGATTTTTGGGTTAGTGTCAACCATCTATGGATGAGTGAATGTTGTTAACAGTAAAGTGTGATTATCACACATAAATCAAAGCCACAAAAAGGAGAAAGAATAGAAGCAACCAATCAATCAAAAGGGAGTGCGATAAGGGATGCGCAATTGTTTGGTTATGCATTTGAGGAATTGAGCCCACACGCACAAAACAAATCTCGGATCCTCTCCTTTCAAGAATGCTCCTTTTAGATTTTAGCAACCCCTCCCTTCAACATTATGCCATATTGCCATATGGGGTGCCACCCACTGAAAATGAAAAAACCTCTAGACTTCTTTGTCCACCTTTTGTAGATATTTTTTTCAAAGGTAAACCACAAAATGAAAAACCCAAACATACATTTTTCCTCCCTTAATCATCGTTAAACTTATTTTAGATGGAGCAACCTTAGAACTCTGCATGATGTGTTTCTGCGTTCATATTAAAAGTCGAGAAATCAAATTTGTAAAGCCCGTCTTCAAAATAAGCGAAAACAAGTGTTCATTTTATCATTTTAATTTACTTGACTTGATTGTTTATCATTGAGACCATTAACTATATGATAATTTGAACCCTAATTTGAAGGGAAAAAAAAAAAAGAAAAGAAGAAAGTATAAAGGCCTTTCACAGTCTTTAGGGGGTTTTAAGTACAGTAGTTATGTGCTTTAGGGGGTTTTGGAGTGAATGTGGAGAAAATAAACCCGGTTTCGAAACAGCGTTCTCCTCTCGTCCCACAAATTAAAAAATAAAAAAGGGGAAAAAAAAAAACTCTCATTTCTCTGTAGATGCTTCCCAAGCCTTTTGCCACTCCGATTATCGAGTGCGGCGCAACTGCCTCAGGTCTCTCCCCTATCTCTTTCATTTCCATCCCGTACTTCCATTTTTCTGCTTTTCATCAGTTTCGATTTTGCCGACATTGTGAGGTTCTTGGTCGTTTGTTGTTTGTGTAGTCTTGATGTAATCTTGTTGCACAGTGCATTCTTGCTTGGTCGGTAGTTAGTGTCTTTTCTGGGCCAAAAATTAGCTGCAAAGATTCCTCTATTCTCTTCCTGGTTTATATTGTTAGGGATGTTTAGTGGGATTGCTTTTGTTTTTTGATTGTCCCATCACAACGTTTGAGCATTCCTACTCGTTTTCATTTCTAGATGTTGTTTGGCTACTATGGGTTTTAGGTCTAATTTTGCGGTCTTGTTCTGCGAATTACAGGTGCTGAAGGGAAGTTCAGGTCGACGAATTGAAGCATAGTTGGCCTTGTGTGTTTGTTTTGCTGCACAATCTTTAACTATTTGGGGTTGTCCGTCATGGCTGCGTGCATAACTCCGGCGGGTTTTACAACTTATGATGCTCGGAGGTCAATGGGGGTTTTGACTGTTCTTGGAGGAAGAGTTGGCGCCCTCAAAATGGTTGACGAAAAGAATGGTTTCTTGGGTGGTATCCCAAAAGGCAACACTTCTCTTTGTACCCAGATCAGGTGCTCCAATAATAACTCTCATAGTGTCAACCAATATCAGAATAAAGATCCTTTCCTGAATTTGCATCCGGAAATTTCGATGCTTCGAGGGGAGGGAAACAGCTCTGTAGCCAATCCTAGGCAGGATATTTCTAGTGGAAATGTTACTGAGAGCTTGAGAGACTCATCCCCCACAAACAATTATAATGAGGCGAAGATCAAAGTTATTGGTGTTGGGGGTGGTGGGTCGAATGCTGTTAATCGGATGATTGAAAGTTCCATGAAAGGTGTGGAGTTCTGGATTGTTAACACTGATGTTCAAGCAATGAGGATGTCGCCTGTATTTCCCGAGCAACGCCTGCAAATTGGTCAAGAGCTTACAAGGGGACTTGGAGCTGGTGGCAACCCAGACATTGGAACCAATGCTGCTAAGGAAAGCAAAGAAGCAATTGAAGATGCATTATATGGTTCAGACATGGTTTTTGTTACCGTAAGATATATTTCTCTCTCCCCGAAAGTGGCTGTTATGTGTTTTTCTGCCATTTTCGTGCCAGTCTGACTAAGTGAACTCAATATAGTTTTTCTCAAAGACCTTTTACCGTGTCCATGGTTCTAATAGAATTTGATTTAAGTTAGCCATTCATACCGTGAAACTCTATGTGCATATATTGACCTCTATGTCAGGCCATTTTCCAAAATCATAGAAGTTTAAATTTTCTTTTTTTCTAGCAATTGTGTTTTGTACTTATTTTTGTCATTAGTTATCTTGCTGTTCATAAGTTTTATTGTCGTCGTCTACAGGCTGGAATGGGTGGAGGCACAGGGACAGGTGCGGCTCCTGTAATAGCTGGAATTGCTAAATCAATGGGAATCTTGACTGTTGGCATTGTTACCACACCTTTCTCTTTTGAGGGTCGGAAAAGAGCCCTTCAAGCACAAGAAGGAATTGCAACTTTAAGAGAAAATGTGGATACATTAATAGTCATTCCAAATGACAAATTGCTTACTGCAGTATCCCCATCTACGCCTGTAACAGAAGCATTTAACTTGGCTGATGATATCCTTCGGCAAGGAGTCCGTGGTATTTCAGATATAATTACGGTAATCAAGTAACATAATTGAACTAATTGATTCTTTCCATGCTATCAGGTGCTATATCATTTCTGATTTTCCACTTTCCGGGTGCTATTAGGTGCCTAATTATAAGGCACAAATTTTCACTAAAGATAGTTCAAATCTGTGCCTAATAGGGAATACTGGACTAATATGTGTAACTGCTATAAAAGGTTATGAAGATTGCATGATAAAAATGAATTGCACATCTATCTAATCTACTCAACATGCTGCCTTGAAATAGCTATGATGCCACCACGTGGATTCTCTTTACTCTTCAACCATTGCTTTCTATAATGATTATTGTTACTTCATTCTGAGATGAAATTCCTATTCCTCCGGAAAGGTTGTCCAATCACCAGTTGTTCTCCAATGCAGATACCAGGGCTTGTGAATGTGGATTTTGCCGATGTACGTGCCATTATGGCTAATGCTGGTTCTTCATTGATGGGGATTGGGACAGCAACAGGTAATTTCAAGGCACTCCTATTTATTGCGATGTTCTGACATATTCTTTGGAATCACTCATGCCTTATGCTTATTTCGTTGTGACCTTCTGCTGCTCTTGGACTTAACCACTTTTTGTGCTCAGCCTGAAGTCTTTATTGGAAACTGTAATTATTTTGGAAACAAATCATAGCAGAATGGATCATAACATTTCTTGCTCATCCAATTGGCTCTTTACCTTTTGTCATCACCTCCTCCCCCTTCCTCTCCCCCTAACATTCTGTTTAATTAAATATTTTGATAGCTGATCGAAATCGCCACTGCACAGTAGAATAATTGACATTCTGGTAATGGTTCAGGAAAGACGAGGGCCAGAGACGCTGCGTTAAATGCAATTCAATCTCCCTTGTTAGACATTGGGATAGAAAGGGCTACTGGCATTGTGTGGAATATTACTGGTGGAAGCGATTTGACATTGTTCGAGGTATGCCTATAATTCTCTTGATTTATATTCTGCTGCAAGAGAATTGGTGGAGACTTTTTAAACCCGATTTACTATTATGGTATCTCAAAAAGATAAATTTTCAAATGAAATCCTGAAGCGAAAGGTCCTTGGGCTTCTTATCTGAAAGTGATTTCTCCCCTTCTGATTAATCTGAAAGTAAAAGCCTCCTCCACCTTTTCTTTTTATACGCTGCTTACAAGATTTTCCCGATAAAATTGCTGTTTTCATAAATGGCCCTGCAAAGAAATGCTTAATGAAATAAAATTTCTGGACTGCTGAAGATACAATGTAGTACCGGATACTAACCCATGGATTGCTTATTCGGGGACAAAAGGTCTATTTTGAGTGATTTCATTTTTGTTATTCAGGTTAATTGTTTACATACCATTACCTTTTTCTTGGATTCTTAACAGGTGAATGCTGCTGCTGAGGTGATATATGACCTTGTTGATCCAACTGCAAACTTGATTTTTGGTGCTGTTATTGATTCATCACTAAGTGGTCAAGTAAGGCTCTTTCTCTCTTTCTGTACGTAGGCATGTAGTGGTTGCTAATTGTCAGTGTGCTTTTACTCTCTTTACTGCATTAATTTTGCTTTGTTTCTTCTTGAATATATGTATTTTGACAAAGAAGTGCCAAAACCTACTCCTTTATTGGTTGAAGCTTGTATCCATTTCCTAAATCTATTAGCAGTCTAAAACGTTCTAATGGATTGCTGGATATGGATATTTCTTCTTTGTTGCATGAGCAGCAGGAAATGTTGAAACAATGTTTTGATCTTTTTTAATCGATGCAAAATTGGTTCTTTGTCACTTGTACTAATAATTAGTTGAGTCATATCTATACTTGGGACAGTGCTGCTGTCTCAAGTTATTATCAACAAATGCACGTGTCTTTTAATCTCCCCGCTATTCAGTCCTTGGGCTTCTAATCTGAAAGTAACTTTTCTTCTTTGATTTATTTACTCAGGTTAGTATAACCTTAATTGCTACTGGTTTTAAACGCCAACAAGAAAATGAGGGAAGATCTGTTCAGGTACCTATCATGCTCTTTCTCTTCTCACTTGTTTCCTGCAAACGGTTCTTCCCCCTCCAAAACTTTCATTTATAATGTCTTATAATACAAGTCAAACGGTAACGGATGCATGTATCTTTCCGGTTTACACAGGCAGGCCAAGGTTCACAAGCTGATGCAGGTCTGGGAATGAGTCGCCGTCCTTCATCATTCTTGGAAGAAGGCTCATTCGAGATCCCTGAATTTTTGAGGAAGAAGGGGCGATCTCGCTTTCCAAGAGCTTAAGGTTGATTTTCTAACCAGTAGTTATTTAGTTATACCAGCTTATACAGCTTGAACTTGAGTCAAGTGTGTTTGTGCACAGGATTTTGTTTTGTGACGAAATGAATTTCAAGTGGTCTTCAAGGAAGCTTAATATGGGCATCACTTTTAATAAGACACCGGTGAAAAACACCAGAGAATGTACAGTATAGTTTATATATCAGGGTAGAGGAACTTGTGCATATGTTGATTGTTGCACTGGGAGTTAGCGTTAGTTTCCAAGAGTAAAGTTCATATCCTGGATATGCAGACCTGTTAGTAGAGTAGAGTGGTTTGTTTTCCTGTTTGAAGATAGTGAAGATAAGCTCTTTTTGTATTTTTCTCTAGCAGACAGCTTTGCTTTGTGTAGTCAAAATTATCATGTTCTAATAATCTGATTATAGGGTTCAACTTTGATGTTTCAAGTCTTTTACCCAACCACCAAATACTAGGAATTACTGCCTGGTATTTTTCAGGAAGAATACTAGGGAAATAAGAAAGTGGAAAAGAAAGTAGTATTACCTGTAAGAAGCCAAGCATGTTGATGATGATTGTCATGTCTACGAAGCTAAAGCAATCAAGCCTCTTTGGCAAAGTTCTTGTTATGGTAGACGGCCTGAGGTGGCCGGATTCTGAGACCGATACCCAAGAGTGAAAAAAATAGGAAGACAACAGCTAGAGCTGTAGAAGAAAATCAAGGAATCTTGGAAGAAACAAATGCAGAAAGTAAAACAAGCAAAACAGGACTTGCACATCAAGGTGTTTTGTCCCGCAAGCCTATGAGCTCAAATCGACCGCGCATAGATGGATTAGAATATTATGTCTACATCCTATGCTTTAAGAATCATTAGATATTTAGACTCCGCTCATCAGCGATGAAAGTTTCTGATGAATTTTCCCGAACTCAACTTAAGCCTTTAATCATCACTTGATTCGAAACAACAAACTTTTTTGCTTATGTTTTTGTGTGTTTGTGTTCTTTTTTTCTTCCCATCATAGCGCACATTTTGCTTTTCCAACAATCCAGGATCATCTTGAATGAGCTTAAGCTCCAATGTAATGATATCCACAATTGCAATTGCTTATGTGATCTTTCATCTCTAAATTACATCCTATATTTGTTATTTCTCGAAAGTTAGTGTGATTTTCAGACGAAATTTTACGCCCACAGTTATAGACTTAATAGTGTTGTTTTACTAAGAAACCGGCGGCCGGACAGACACGAGATAAAAAATAAAAAAAAAAACCATATACAACTCCAGTTCGAAAGCAACTCCACTTCGAAAGTAGGTTATATCTTCCAGTATGGAAGACACGATGATTCGTTTCCTTTTTTAAATTTTAACGTTGAGATAAGGTATGATGAATATGCTTGAATTTGGTCTACAGTCTACAGCAATATGGCTGCTTGACTGCAATCATGTCTTCATCAAAGATGGAATAAAGGAGGTTATAACAAATATAGAAACAGAAAACGAATGGTCCTCCTCCTCCTCCTCCTCCTCCTCCTCCGAGCTTATTCTCCAAAATATCTCTCTGCTTCTTCAATTCCTTTCTTTTTCTTTCTTTCTTCTTCTTCTTCCAATTCCAAAAGCCAAGTTGTCTCCATCTCCATATTTAGTGATTGGCCCCAATTGCCAACTTAACCTGTTGTGGACTAAAATTCCAAAAAGCACCCTCTTTTTTTTTGGATCAAAATCTCCACCCTTATTGGCTCCAAAGGACACCAAGTTGCCTGCCCCAAACTTCTTAAAAATCAACCCAAAACTTGCCAAATCAAACATCAACCTCACAATCCCCCCCCAATCTCCCAAACAAAAAATCAATAATAATATTATTATGACGTATCTTTAAAACTCCCCCCCATTGCTCACAGCCTCTCTTTTTCCTTCCTTTTTTTTGTGTTATCTTTTTTTTTCTCCCTTCCCAAAAAGCTTTGAAGTAAACCACACAAAAGTTTATTAGAATCAACAATATCACACATTACATTGACATAACAGGACACGTATATCTGTCCCACGCCATTAAAAAAGAAATACTTTGGGGTGTGACGTGTAAACCGAAACTCCCACCCATTTTGATTTCCCTCCTTTATATTCCCTCCTCATAGCTTTTGATGAACCCCTTCATGTATTCTCCAACACTCGGTTTAGATTTTGCCTTCTGAGGAGCAGGATTTTCTTTTACCTATATTTTTTCATTCATTCTTTTTGCCCATCGCATATTTATATATATATATATATATATATGAAAAAAGGGATTATTGCAAGTTGTTGCTCCATGGCCACGCAGAGCTCTTCTGAATCTGATCAAGAACCAGTGAAACTGACGGCCCGCCGGAAGATAAATGAGTCCGATCATCGGCCGGCTGATGAAACAATTCGTGAAACCAGGAATGAGGTGTTGGAGAAGCACCAGTCTTCTTTGGCGGGGGTAGTAAGCCCGTCGAGGAAGGAAAATGTACGGACGAAAACAGAGGATCATCAAGCGGCCGGACTTCCGGTGACCACATCGGAGGAGGTCACCGGACGGGAGAGACTAAAGAGACATCGGGTTGAAGTGGCGGGTCAGGTATGGATTCCGGAGATGTGGGGTCAAGAAGGGCTGCTGAAGGATTGGATTGATTGTGGGGTATTTGATGCAGCAGTAGTGAATACAAGTATCATGTCAGCTCGAGCAGCATTGGTTGAAGAAGGAAGAAAAGCCCATTCCACCAGATTAAGAATAGAGAACAGTTGTTAGTACTCCTTTTTTTTTTTTTTTTCCCTTTATCAATCAAGAGTTGAGCTTCATTATTCCCTTTATCAGTTGAACTAGAGAAGACTGTCATCATAATGATTTTGTTGTTGCACATTTGAATGATAAAAGTAAATAAACGATACACGTGGATTCTGATCAGTTTCAGTTCAATTTCTGTACTGCAAAGGTTCAATATTGATGACTTGTAGCATACTAGCTACATGGAGATACTGGTATTTTTAGGCCATGAATCCAAGTGAATTTCATGGCAAGCAGGTAGCTTTTTGAGCTGAAAGACTCTGTACAAAAATTTCAAATATCTCGTAAATGTCTAAAATATAGTCATAGCCTTGTTGAATCAAACTTAGGTTGTCTAGCTTAGATCTGTTGTAAGGAGGCTGGACCCGATTTCAAGCTTGTGATGAGAAGGAACCACTAATTAAAGCTTGAGAGAAAAGGAGAATTCCAATCTGACAAAAGGAAAATTCCAATATGACATTCGGGGTGGAAAAAACAAATAAAAAGAAATTTAAAAATGAAAAAGACCAAACAACGGCTTTGCCAAGACTAATCAAAGCAAAGAATATGACAAAGTAGAAGAGATCAGCAAAGGGGTTGCTTAGTTAAAAGGGTGTATCATATTCTTCTTTTCATTCCTAGACTCTATCCATAATTTTGAACAAGAATGTCACAGCATTCACAATGGATTATCTCTGCAGTTAATGACTTATGGCACTGACGTTGATAATATTTCTACATTGCAAACAAGAAATCACAACCTGTAACAGTTTAGCAACAATATCTATTGTGTAGGTTCTCCAAGCCCAGCTTCGGATGTCAACTCCCATATCTTGATTGTTCCATCATCACTGGCAGAAGCAAGAAGCATCTTCTCCGGCTGTATATGAAATGCACATGATCAAATAGATGGTAGCAAAGAACAAGAGCCAAATAAAAACTACACGTAATGAATGTTTTCTTCACATATTTTTCAAACCTCATAAAGCCAGCAAAGGTTTGTACGTACCCAATACCAGATGGGTTAATATAAAGCAGTCTTACACATACAACCTCTAACTATGACCATTGTGGAAAGATGCTTCGTTTGTTGACAGCTAAAAGGAGATTGCAAATAAGTAGGAAAGGTGAAAATTCCATCTGTGCATAATTGGGACTACTAGATATGCCATTTGCTGCTGTCAGAAACTTCTAAATGTATCCAGCAGAAAAAACCACAAAGCACCAACTCCAAATTACCACAACAATACAGGGACAACTTGGCAATAAAAAAAAGAGAGTCGTCGATCTTACAAAAGAAGGATGAAACACCTCTGGCAACTGCCACTGGACACAATTTACATCCATATCATGAGCCTTGTCCTTCTTCAGAAGCAAATGATACTTGGGTCCATCATACTGGAAAGACATAAACACGACTGTGAGAAAACGCCCCAGCAAATGCATGAGTAAGCTGGCGCCAGTAAAACAGAAAGAAGTAAATATGCACTAGAGTACTTTAATAAGAAGTCACTAGTTACTACTCAGTAACGAGCTAACAAACTTAAGTGCTATACAACAAATGATATATACAGGGAAATACTGAAGAATATTGAATGAATGGAAGAAGCATTTAAAATTGAGTATGACACCAGCACAAACACAAAATCATGTCTATTAGAGCATAAATTTGAGTAGCTTATTGATATTATTTCTGAAAGTTCTCTTCTCCCAACAGAAAAGGTAATGAAAAGAGGATAAATAAAGTGTTTGTTACGCTACAGATATTGCTAGCATATCAAAAAACTAAGAAAAAGGGTTGATCTATACCAAAACATCTTCACCCTCCTCTTCTTCTTCCTTATCCTTATCTTCATCCTCATCACCATCCGCAGCAAATAAACGTATTGCATCATCAGCAGCTCCGCTAGCAATTATTCCATCTCTACATTTTAACACAACATTAATACTAAGAGGTATAAGAAAGAACTTTAGCAATGGTTCATAAATATAACTAAATTTCAAAAAGTAAAGACGTTAAAAGAAACTGCAGCACAAAGAAAAGCTAACATAAACTGCCAACAGGTGCAGAAACAACTGCTGCCAAGATAACCAAGGAAGCAGAGACACAAAGTTGATTAAGCTACGTGAATCAATTTTTTATTTTATTTTATTTTTTTGATTTTTTTTTAATTTGTGGAATATTTGCAAGGCGTCTATCGTTGACAACAGTGCCTAATCCCCCTCATTGAATTGTAGGCACCTCGATGGGTGAGACAGTTGGCCAAAGTTGATTAAGCTACATGAATCAAAGTTTTACAAAAACAAAATTAAGAGAAAGGAGAACAAGAAGAAGTCAAATTAAGTGCCAAAAAGTAGAACATGAACTTATCTTCATTGATGTATGGTTACCTTCTTGACCAATTAACCGAAAATATAGTTCGATCATGATATCCAGAAAGAGTGCAGATATGTCTCCTGATAAGACCATATGGGAAAAAGCAAAAGAAGGGAAAAAAAAAAAAAAACTCCCATCAGTTATCTCTGCATGTATTTAACAAATAAATAATCGATAAAACAGTTCTGACTTAAGTGTGAAGCATTAAGTTCGATTGTGATTGGCTTAAAAACCTGGCAAAATAAATATGATCACAAGAAAACTAGCCTGCATAGCTTCAATGTCCTCAAAACAGATCCCCTCACATTGAAACAATTCCTTTTCGATTATTAAGGAAATTCAATATTCTCAGTTTTGCTAAAAAGAGGACACAATTAAAACACAGAGAAAGAAATGATAGGACTATTTCATCCAATCTAGTGTGCTCGTCAGAATGTTAATCACATAAGTCATTAGTCCGATCCTTTTTAAGGATCTTCTTACGACAGAAGGCAAGTTCACCAACTATTGTGTTGCAACTTTTTAATTGTGCAGCTAAAATAATTAAGAACTGGAACCACAATCTCGGATTTGATCAGATACATGAACAGAAGAAGCACAAAGAAAGCAGGGGGGAAAAAAATCATAAATCAGAACTTAAATGAGAAAAGAGAAGATCCCATATAATGCAAGAGGTCACTGCCAGTTTCTAAAATGCCTCAATTTCATTAATATATTGACCAACAGGATATCAAACTAAGCTCATCAAAGAATTCAGAAAAATAAAAAACTCAATGGCACTCACCAAGGCGCATACCCATCACCGCATTGCATCCTCTCTAATCCAGGAGCACGCCAAATTTTTAAGGTAAGATCATCACTGAAATAAAAATATGACACCATTACATCACCTAAAAAAGAACTAACATTACAATTGCAAGAGCTGCAATAGTTATCGGCAGCATAAACAATAAACTATTAATACAAGACTCAGCTAGAAGGAAAAGGAAAAGCCGTATCAGTGTGAAAGATAGAAATGAAAATAAAACTCAGAAAAAGACAGCATACCTACAAGTTACCATTTTGTCTCCAGTCGCATTGAAGGAAAGAGCCCATACAGTAGATGTATGTCCACTAAAAAGAGAATGAGCCACTAGCTTTAGATTTAACAGATATAAAATGGTGTAATGTAAACAAATTTTCTCTGAAAGTTTCACCATGTTGAGATGGTAAAGCAATACAGGGAGGCGATTGTAGAGTTGAAATTATGTTTCGTACTACAGCATTTACTTCAAGTGTATGTGCACACCAGTAACAATAAACATTTTGACGATAACAACAATGGTGTGTACACAGAAGTCTAAACATTTAAGCAATAGCATGTCATACTTGTTTGTTTCATCTAACGTCTGAACGCACATCCAATCATCATCATGATCATCTGTCCAAACCTGCAAGATTCATGTTCATGACATCACAGGTAATGATTAATATATTAGTAGAGGAAATATCTCATTCCCAAATTCACCAAGAATTACTACTAATTATCTCAAAGGCACGAATATACACTTAAACTTTTCTTCCGAAGAATCTAAATAAGGCATACAGGGCTACCTTAATAGAGTTATCATAGCTGCACGAGAATATAACATCCAAATTCGGGTGAAACTGAACCATTTTTACGTCCTGTGTATGTCCTGTCAGCACACCAAGGCATTCACACTCATTACCAGGCATAATCTCCCACAGCCAAACAGTCTTGTCTCGTCCGCAAGTGGCAAGCAGTGTGCTAGATGCATTCCAGGCAACAGATTTTACTTCGTTTTCATGGCCCTGAAAACAAAATCTTTTTCAGTTAAACGTTCAAACCCAAAATCCAAAAGACAGACAAGCATCCAGGAAGTAACACCCTCAATTCAGAGAGATCCACAGGTAGACCCAACAGAGGAAATACGATGTTAGGGTCACCGATCCTTACTCATCTGCTTGCACCCTCAGAACTGAAGAAGCAGATAATATCTATACACACTTCAAAATTCACCAACAGGAGCTATTATGAACTAAAATACAATAGCAAACAAATTCAAAGATAACAACCTCAATTGTGGAAATGCATTGATAATCATCACCATCTTGCTCCCACAGAGCAGTTGTAGCATCAAAACTGGCAGTTGCAAGCATTTTTCCTGAGGGAGACCATGCACAAGATCTAACTGTCCGCGTGTGCGTCTCATCTAAAACTGCCTGCGAAGGTTCAAAATGGCACCAGAGTAATTATCAGAGTACATACATCCCAAAAATGTTTCTTCCAGTTCCCTAATAACAATATGCTAAAACAGAAAAATCGAATAATCAAAACCACCTCGGCATGAAAATATCAAGACAAAATTCAGACCAAACAAAACTGCCTATTATCCGCGATGAAACCAGTTAGTGTTAGCACCGAAGGTTCAACCAAATTGCAAATTGTCCACGAGCGCAGGAAACTTGAAAGTATGAAAAAACATAATTGAGTCAGGCAAATTAGGTGAATTCATGTTACCTTGCACTCGAATGAGCCGGTGGCGAGATTCTGTTCCCAAATACGAACAGTCTTGTCACCGCTACAAGAAGCGAGTACGGCCGGGACTCCGCCGACGCCAGTGCCCGGCTTCCAAGACACACACCACACCCTATCAGTGTGGCCTTCTAGCTTATGAAGCTCTCTCAGGTCGAAATTCTTTTCAGCTAAGCTCATTTTTTTTTCGATAACCTCGAGGAACGGTTTCGTCTAAGGTGTCGATAGAGAATCAAAGTTCTCAAGTTGGTGCTTTGGCTGAACCTTTTCGATCGTACAGTCTTGATGTTTGACGGGTGCTCCTAACGCGCCGCCGCAGGGTTGGGCCGCGAGTTTTTAGTGAAAAAAGAAGTGTGGCGAACACGTGCCCGCAACTAAAAGCAATAAATCTCAACGAGGCCTAGTAAGAAGGACTTGCCGTATGGGCTTTATAAAAAAGACTTACCAGTCCATTTACTTAAGACCCACTAAATTATTAATTATTTTTGGGCCAATTTAGACGATCATCCAGGCCCAGAACAGTTGCCCTTTGGCGCCTTATAAAGTTAACCCTTTCTCTAGGGTTTTATTAGTCTGATAGTCTCACTGCGAACGGCTGCAGCCTCGCAACTCCTTCCAAGGTTCTTAATCCTCTCTTCCTCTCTCTCTCTAGGGTTTCTTCATGTCATTTATTTACTCTTGAATGTTGAATCTGTTGCTTTGATACATCGATTAGGGTTTTAATTTGTTTTGTGTTTTGCGAATCTGCTCCCCTTTCTCAGGATAATATTGATAGCAGGCTAGAGTAGTCGTCAACATGAGGTATGCTTTCTTCATTTCGGAGGATTTTTTCCTGCTTCTGTTTCGGTTTCTGATTTAGGTTATTTCCGATGTTGGTTGTTGTTTTCTATGTTCCGTCGAGGTTCTATGTATGTTTATTTGGTGTTTTTTCCTCCCTTTATCGATGGTATGCGGCAAATGTCAAATTGTAAATACAGTTCGTAACCCTATCTTTCGTGGTGCCATGTTTATGAGAAATGGTTTTGCACTAATCCTGAAGTGGCATTTGGTTGTGTTTTGTTTCCACATTTGTTTTGGTTCTTTGTATTGCTGTAGTTGCTAAAACTTATCGATTGTGCTTCAGTTATTAGCTAAAATTTATCGTTTGTGCATCAGTTATGTAAATTTTGGTTGGTTCAAGTCAGTTTTTCTTGATTGTCAGTGTTTTATTTTGTGATCTTTCTGAGTGTAGCCCTTCATTGAATATCTGTGCAGTAAGCTTCAGAGTGATGCGGTGAGGGAGGCTATCTCCGTAATCATGACTGATGTCAAGGAGAAAAACAGAAAGTTTACAGAAACTATTGAGCTTCAAATTGGACTGAAAAATTATGACCCTCAGAAGGATAAGCGTTTCAGTGGTACTGTTAAGTTGCCTCACATTCCTCGTCCTAAGATGAAGGTGTGCATGCTTGGGGATGCCCAGCACGTGGAAGAGGTAATGAATTGCGTTTCCTGTTTCCAGTATTTATGTTGAATGCAATATTGCCCCCTTGTGACATTTAATCAATGTTTGCATAACCCTATTTAATGGATGTTTGCATAATTTAATCTAAAGCTTCACATACTAAGCTATCTTACATAAATAATGTAGAAAAGATATACTAATGCATTTCCTTGGTAGCAGATTTTCTGCTATTATATGCCATGTAATAACATTTTTGTTATATGTAAATATTTTGTTAATGGGCACAAAATTTTTTGATAAGTGGCACCTTCCTGTTTGGATATTTCGAACAACTTATATTCCATTCTGGATAAAGCTTTGGTTACCCATCTTAGATCTTAAAAACCTTGTCCATTCTTTTCAATTTACCCTCTTGGCCCTGTTGCTGTGTGTTATTTACTGAGATAATCTGTTTTACATCCTGTTTAGTGTTTTTGCTAAACTTTGATGGCTATTAATATGTCGACAAGGTCTGTTGTGTCATCCGAATTTTGTACTTTTGTGAGTCAGGCCGAGAGGATTGGTCTGGAATCCATGGATGTTGAGGCTTTGAAAAAGCTGAACAAGAACAAGAAGCTTGTTAAGAAGCTTGCCAAGAGGTACCATGCTTTCTTGGCGTCTGAGGCTGTTATCAAACAGATCCCTCGTCTTTTGGGGCCCGGTCTCAATAAGGCTGGTACGTATCTTAATTTTTTTGGGCATTAACTTTGTGAGTGTTGAGATTATGGTTTCTTTTAATCTTAGATCTATGGAATATTGTTGTGTCTGCGTACGTTTTAAATTCTATGCAGAACTTATTTTTGTCTGTTATTTGATGATACAGGTAAATTCCCAACACTTGTGACTCATCAGGAATCACTGGAGTCAAAAGTGAATGAGACCAAAGCCACTGTTAAGTTTCAGCTCAAGAAGGTCCTCTGTATGGGTGTTGCTGTTGGCAACTGCGGCATGGAAGAAAAGCAGATCTTCCAGAACGTGCAAATGAGTGTCAATTTTCTGGTCTCGTTACTTAAGAAGAACTGGCAGAATGTAAGTTTGTTGTCCATCACACGGACATAATTAATCTCAACTTTGTCTGTTATTGGGGTTTTCTATCTTGTTAGGATTTTTTGGGTTGGTTTTACTACTGGCAATGGCTAGTATGTCCTTTAATTGTACTTGCTGTCGGTTCAGGGTTCAGGGTTGATCTAATTCTCTTTCTGAAGGCTGTGTTTAAAATATAGTTATACTAATAATTCTGTTTCTTTAACAGGTGAGGTGCTTGTACTTGAAGAGTACTATGGGGAGACCACAGCGCATATTCTGAGGAGTTTGTGTTTTTGGTTGTGATTGTCTCAGATCAGATAACTTTTTGAGTCAGTGCGATTTTCATATATTAATTAGCAGATGCTCTTTGACATTTTTGGGGCTGTTTATCTGGAATTTTTGTTTGTTAAAGTAATGGATGTTGTTAGCTACATTAATATTTGTGGTTTTTTCTTTAATCTTATATCGAAGTTGAAGTTATTTTCACTTATTCCAATATTCTAGAAGGAAATAAAACCACTTGCTAAACTCGAAAAAGGATAAACAAGGTTGCTGTTGCCCTAGGGCTATAAATTTTGAGTCTTTATTGCGACTAAAGTTAGTGGATTACGTAAAGAAGAGAAAATTGACTGCAGACGCTTCAGGTTCTGTAGATGATACCAAAATGGATGCCAAATAGCATGATGTGGGGGAGATCATGTTCAAGTGTTTTGCGCTTATGCTTCGGTCAGAACATTCCGTGTTGGTCTTTTGCTGAAAAGTTGGTCTTAGTAACCAAGCCATCTGTTTTCCTGGGTGCAAATGTAGGTTTTGGCATAGGCTATAAACTGCTGCCGATTAAAATTTCATCCAAGGTGACAAATCTAACGTCTAAAATCTTTAGATATATACACCCTAGGAAAATTTACCTGTGAAAAGTCAATAAAATTCTCAGGCCTGAACCCAAAAAAATTTGCAACAGTAACTCTTATATCTTTGGAGGGGAAAAGAAGAATATCTCAGGCTTATCGCAAACCAAATTACCAGAAGGCCCAGAACAGTCTTGTATCTTAGGAGGGGAAAAGAAGAAATCGATTTTGTTGCAACCAGGTGTACAGTACAATCAATACAGTTCCATTATTACACTAATACTATGTATGAATCACCCCAAATAATATTATGATTACGAAGAGGGTTCAACTCTTAATGGTTCCAAAAATCTGTGAAGACCTCCCTGACAGTGTCCAGCCAAAGAAGGTACAACTCTAGTTTTTACATAACAAGTATACAAAAGATGATCATTGACAAAATTTGATTAAAAATGAAATACAAATGAAGGACTTCTGGATTTATGAACTATATAAGAATGCCTATGAGCTCTTGACAAAGAACAAATACAGACTAGAGTGTTACACCATAAAGGAAACTTTACAGCTGCAACCTCCCACAGCACTCGGGTTCGCGGATACCTACAAAGAGAAACATAATTCTTGTTTATGACCATACTTCTCGAGAAAATGCTATTTTAGTCCCATGCTATCACAAGAGATTCAAGGGAAAATTTCAACATTATTATGACAAAAAAGACCATTATATACACATCAAAGATCACAAAAGAATCCGTAACCCATTTCACGAGTAGAAATCACAAAAGGGAGTTTCCACTAATCAAAGATCACTAGTGCAACATTCTCGTGATCTACATCAACCCCAGGCACCAAATATCATCTGACAAAACAAATGTAGGAAGAACTTGCTTCAAAGTTGAAATCTCCCTTCCTCCCTCCCTCCCTCCCTCCCACGGTCCCACCCTCCCTCTACACCAAAGCCAAAGGGTCAGGCACAGGCCCACACAGATTCAACCAAAAATCGAATAGTGACTGACTGGAACATGCTCCCTCCATTCTTTTTTATACATCTTTCTAGAGAATTATCAAAACCAAGAAAACATCAATTAATGTAGTTAAAATACAAAATCACCCTTATTTATTATTCATACAACTCATAACAAACAAATAAAAATTCATTATAAACACCGTTGCATTACCAATGCAAGAGTAATGTTAGTAAAAAAATGGTCAGATGTGACTCGATTTAGGAGAACGACATATATTTTAAAAAATCTACTAAACCCTAAAACAACATGTAAAAAAGCATGGAGGGAGTAGTTTTAAATGATGTCGAATCAGGCTAAGCCTATCCACGACCATGTTCGCTCAATTTCTATGTTCAATACCTCAAATTATCCCCTAGAACCTCCGGCAACAAATTAAAACTTAAAAGCGATGTGCGTATCATTAAGTTATATAGACTAAATCAGCGTTTTTCTCAGTACCCTTATGTCCATCTCAATCCACTGTTCCATTACTTCAAACAAAGAAAAAGAGGTCCATATTAGGAAGTCTACACAAGTGGAAAATCTTTCTGCAGCCAACAGATTATTGTTAGCCACTTGTAAGCTGAGAAACAAGCTTTTGCACACTTTTTAGGGGTGACTTTCCCCAGGTCAATCAAAGAAAAGCAGGTATGAGCATATCTAAATGTTAATGATGCGAGTTCAAATACTTCACCTAATTATTGCTGCAAAGCTATCATCAGAATACACGAATTTCCATTCAACGGACAGATCATACATTGAAATAAATGCAGGAAAAAATCAGAACTAATGATGCAGAGCAACAAACCTGGAAGGCTGAACGAATAAGCTCTTCAACATAATCAACAGTTGCACCCTTTACGAAGTCAAGAGATATTTTATCAACAACCAATTTCACCCCTTCACGTTCAAATACTCTGCATCAGTAGACGATGGTGAGGCCAGAGCCTTAAAAAGAGATAACTAAAAAGGAAAAAGATAGAAACCTGTCATCTGAATCGCTTTTATCGTCAAGAGAAAAGTTATACTGAAAACCAGAACAACCTCCAGCTTCTATGCTCAATCGAAGCATCTTTTCCTTCCCTTCATGAGATTGCAACTCTTTCATTCTCTGATGGCATAGAAAGATAAGCATAAGAACTTTAAATTTAATTCTACAGCCTCTTGTTTTTGGTTGTTTTAGGATCAATAAAGCAATTCTCACCTTAATTGGTTTATTTCTTTTCGCTCAAGAATATCAATCTATATTGAAGAACTATAACTATCTCATGCTCACATCAATCAGTAACCAATTCTCCCACTTATTCAGAAGATTTTGAACAATAATCAATAATCTGATTAAGAAAAAATAAACATAAGGCTTAACGCAATATAAACGTAGAAAATGCGGCAAGCTTTTAAAGGGAGAGGAAATTGACAACAAAAGAAGGCAGGAGTTGATTACCCGAACGCAATTATCGGTCATGTGAACGGCGACGAGAGATTCAGATTGAGAGGGAGAGGGAGATGGCGCGTCGGAAGCTTGAGGCTGGCGAAGAGCCGCGGAGGATGAAGCCGTGGAGCTGAGCCGTCTCAGGTGGTTCTCACGAATCCTGGTCGAGAAGAAAGTACCCAATCGACGAATCATCGGAGTTGAGGACGCCGTTGCCGGAAGGGAACTGAAAATGATAATAATTTTCCTCTATCGAATGGTAGAAATAATGCTAAGCAGAATCAGGTGATTAACAGGAGGTATACGTGTTGTAGTTTTCTACGGCCATCTCTCTCTCAGGACAGGAACCAAATCTTGTGTTTTGGGTTTGATTCTGGAATCAATCATCGTGTCTCAATTTGCCGAAGGTTTGGGATGGGTTTTGGACCGATGAAGAAGGCGATCGTATGGTGAACACGCGCGTTCAACTGTACTAATGTATTATTGGGCTGATCGCCTTTAACAAGAGCTTAAAAGTGCTTCACTAATCAGGCCATTTATACCTTTATTGGGCTTCAATAGTGTTATCTCATATTCGGCCCAGTTATCCCAAATGATATGAATGCCTTATCACCAATAATCATTGCATGAGCATGAACCATCTCTAAAACAATGGAAACGATTAGTGTCCCTCACCATGATCACCCTACCAGTTATTTTAGATATGAGCTTGAAAGTCACATGGCAATCACCACAGACTCGAAGGTTTTTGGTTATCCGAATAACATCATTTGGTCCGGTGCTTATCAAACCAAATGCTAGAGCAAGCTTCTCACTGTGATATCCAATCAATTGTTCCTTCTCCTCGGCTTCAATGTCAAATAGCACAAACTCTTTGCTTGGCACATAGCCTGCTGCTCTCAAATCCTTGTTCATTTCTCTAAGTTTAGTGTATATCTTATCTGACATTGGATGAGTTGTGTCCCCAACAAGAAACTCATGAACAATTCCATTTACTTCCATCCAACTATATGCCGGCACTTTCTGAATTCCTTGTCCTTTTATAACTGATCTAATTCTCTCAGAATCTTCCCATTTGTTATTAGCTGAATAGATATTTGACAAAAGGACATAATTACTCGAGTTCCAAGGTTCTAACTCGATCATTCGCTTCAGCACGTATTCTGCTAGCTGAGTATCTCGATGAATGCGACATCCACCTAACAGGGCTCCCCAGACAACAGTATTTGCCTTCATTGGCATGTTTTGGATTAATAAACGTGCTTCATCCAACAAACCAGCTCGACCAAGAAGATCAACCATGCAGCCATAATGCTCAATGGTAGGTTGCACAGAATAAATGCGGCTCATATTGTAGAAATACCGGCGACCATCATTAACAAGACCGGCATGACTACAACCACAGAGCAGACCAAGAAAGGTGTTCTCCTCAGGCTTCATCCCCATTTTTTCCATCAGCGCAAAGCAGCTAAATGCAGAATTAACATGACCGCCCATTGCTAGCCCTGATATTATAGCATTCCAAATGACAGTATCCTTTACAGTCATTTGAAGAAAGATATCCCACGCTTCAACAACCTTTCCACATTTCGAATACATGTCGATCAATGCTGTACCCATGACAGGATTAGAGAAAAACTCATTCATATCCATCAACTTACAAGCCCACTCCCCTACTTCTGATGCTCCTAACCGAGCACAAGCAGAGAGCACGCCAACTATTGCATACCGATCTGGCTTCAGATCCTCTCTCACCATTTGATGAAAGAGTTCCAATGCTCTTTCAGGAAGCCCATTTGCTGCGTAACCCTGAATCATAGAGCTCCAGGTAACGATACCCTTCTCGGACATCTCATCAAAAACTACACGAGCCTTCTCCATACATCCTAGTTTAGTATACATATCCACCAAAGAAGTACTAACAAATACATTTCTTCCCATGCCACTCTCCAACCAATACTTATGTACCTGCTCACCGGACGTCAGATCTCCTGACAGAGTACATGCAGATAAAACCCGAACAAGTGTGAAACTATCAGGTCTCAACCCCAAACTGAACGACCTCCAGAACAAATCTATAGCTTTCCCATATTTCCTCAATTCAATATAACCACTTATTATAGCCGTCCATGACGTTGCATTTTTCTCAGGAATATCATCAAACAGTTTTTCTGCGTCGGTAAGACAACTACATTTCACGTACAAACACACCAACCCAGTATTCACAAACACATCGTAGTCAAGACCCACCTTCACCACAAGGGTATGGAGCTTATACCCGAGCTCGAAATCCACTAATCGCGTGGCTGCTTTTAGCAGGAACGGGAAAGTATAACTGTTTGGCAAAGTTCCTTGTTCACGCATCGAATAAAAAAACTCAACAGCTTCATGGAAGTAATCTCTAGAGACAAACCCGCGGATGATAGTATTCCACAAGAAAATATTGGGTTGTCGGGCTTGATGAAAGATGAGTTTCGTATAACTTGGATTCCTGAATTTGAAAGATGATTGCAGGAGCAAGTTAAGAAGGTAATTGTTTTGATCTAGGCCATTACGGAGCAGGCGGCCATGTACATGTTTGAGATGGTTCAGCGAATTGAAGCCTTGAAAGAGAGCGGCTTTGATCTCCGTCAGGACTGCTGGAACTACTGGAGAAGCCGCCAAGTTCATCTTAACCGGAAATTTTTAACCCATTCTCTTCCCGCTTTAAAATTGAATGAAATAAGAGATTTCTACGGCATTACGGCGATAACACTTTCGGGATTACGTCTTTTGAAAGAAAAACATGTGTCATTGGCGTAATCAAATTAATGGTGTGGACTCTATTGTTTCCCATATGTCTAAACCATTGGGCAGTTTATGAAAACACCTTTGTTCAAAGAAGTTATTTAGTTAAAGTTTTGTTTGTGATCACTGAACCGAGGTTGTCAGTACATTAAAGTTTGCCTTCGAATATGTTGCATTATCATTGATAATCCTGTTTGCTGGGATTCACAAGCAGTTTACTAAAGAACGTTACCAATGACTCTGATAGGGAAAAATACAGACAAATACATGCATAAACTCCAACACCGTCATAACGTAAGTGAAAAAGCTTTGTTAGTTCTATAAGCTTTCAATAGATACGGAAATGTGATTATACAGTAAAACAGAAGAAGAGATGGAGATCTAAAACCTCTTGCACCAACCTGAAATATGGTTTTTGATATAGTATTGTACTAGAATGTATTCGGTTCTTCTGTGTCCACTGAATTGATATATATATAGAGTTTACGAGATTAGCATCTCCACCTAACCCAATTAGGCATAAGGCATACTTCTACAATTTACAATTCCCCTCGCTGTTCTTTTTAATGGGTTAAAAGAAAGAAGGGACAAAACTTGAAATTTAAGCACATGTATATTCAGTCTGACTTCTCCATCTCCCGAAATCTTCGATCCCATTCTTGAGCATCATAATCTTGTTCCACGAAGTCCTTCTCGGTACTGTAGACAATTCTATCCTGTCCAATGTAAGTTCTCTCTGCCATGTCCCGAGCATTCAAAAGCTGGAAGAAAGTCCACAAAGAGGCAATTAGAAAATGGAAAATTAGCTTCACCAACAAACGAAATGCTACACAGTAAGATACTCTTTTCCAAGAAGTTGAGTTCTGACATAATATGGCCGCACAAAGAGTAACTGCCTAGTGATTCGTATGAATGAAAGGTACAGGATGATCTCTCATAAAAGGGGAAAAAGGATTGGGTTTTGGGGTGGGGCAACAACATACATTAACCAATAACAAAGTCAGGAAAAACTATGATGAACAAACACCTTATTGTGGTTTGCATCAGCAGACGAACCCTGAATATCAATGTTTTATAAGAAGTCTAAGAAGATTAACAGAACCCTCATCTAGAGCAATCAATGTATGATGATAAGTAGTGAAGTAGTTGATTCTCAATAACAGTGATACTAAAACCCAAGAAACAGCAGCATCAAGATCATGTCATAGAATTTGACCATAAAAAGGAGTATGTTGTTTATGCAGATAGTTTTAGTTTAATCCGAAATAAGTTCCTGAGCTACAATTTCAGGCATGAAGATCAACTACAAGCAGTGAAAAATGAAACTTCCAAATGTAACAATTAGCATTTGTCCAGAAAAGCAGTAAATTGTCCAAATGCCGAAGTTTTAAAAATGATGTCATCTGAAATCGGTCTGCTACAACATCAAGAATTTGTTTATTTTCAGGTATCTAGATCATTTATATGTATTATTAATAACAAAAGGGATAGCTTTACTAATCAACAAATTGAAGAAATTTGCACAACACTGAGTGAATTACCTTCCGTCTAAGGGGCACATCAGGCAATTCTAGCACCCGAGCACGTGATTCCCTAGCTTTGTTCCTCTTTTCAATTTTAGCATTTGTTCTTTGAATGGAAAACCATCGAAACAAAGGAATTGCAAAGAAAGAGCCAGCATATATCTGCATATATAAGGCAACAGAGCGAATAAAATATCTGAGAAGAACTTTCACTGCCCAACCACAAAGTTAAAAAGTGATTCCTACCATGGTTGTACAAAATAATTGTACACAATCTAATTGCAAACACTAAGACAATGAAACTGGCTTTGTTACTAGGGAGATATTCAATCTTTTCCTCTCTGATTATTAGTATTATAAAGATCAATCCTAAGGTTTCATTGAAAACATTACAAAACACAGGGAAATAAAGATCAATTCTGAACTGTTTAGCTCATAATATGAGTAAAGCCTTTAGCCACACCTGAAGCAAGGGAAATATACTGGACACAAACGAGATAAATCCTCCGGGTTCAACTGCCGTGCTCCTTGAAAGTCAGTGTTAACATGATGTCAGAAATGCTAAGACTAAAAGTTACTGCAAAGTAATGATCAGAGGCAGCTGACGTACTTCAGCATGGTACCAAGAACAATAACCCCAAAGAGATTGAGCCCACCCAAGCCGATGACCATCGCCCGCTCTGAAGCATTAGTTTTACTGCACAACGAGCTCTCAATGTTAAAAAAAAACTTAGATGAATAGATTAGCAACAGTAACAAAAGCTACAATTGCATACCTAAAGCTCCACTTATTTTCCTTGAAAAAATTCTGCCCTCTGGCCAAATTAGCCCATTTTCTTCCCAGATATTCCTTCTTACCTCGTCTCCCTGGGGCAGCAGTACGTTGAATTGATGGGAATCTGTAAAGGATATTTCCCTGCGCGAAAATCGTCTTTGTAAAGAAACATGTTTCATAAAAGATATTTCATTGCACTAAGTAACCCTTGGAGCAAATTTTATCTGAACCATTTTATTGCATACAGTTTTGACAAAAAATACAACCCAATTTGCAATATTGCGGGCTACATAAAAGTATTGCATATGACAGCATCAGCATGCATACTTGCCTTCGAGCAAACAAAATTTTAAAGACGACGAGTGGAAAGATATCATCAATAAAGCTTATTACTGCCAGTAAATATAGAAGCATTAGATATCATCAATCTAATAAAGTTATAGGCATAAACTACAACAACTAAAACTCCCAAATAAATCTTATTAGCTTCTAAAATTTAATCAACAAATCTTCACACCATATTGTAGGATGTCAAAATGAATGCAGTCCTAGGCTGGGGTATATCATGAAACGTACGAATAAAAGCAAGTAGAAAAGATACTATTTTAGTATACCTCTTCATCTAGTTCAGGCTGACCTTCAAACCTCAAAAGCACAGGTAATACGTAGGAATCATCGTCCTGAACCAAACAACAAGCTATATCAGATTGTAAATATGATAGGACTTTAATGGACAGTATATCAAGAAAATACCGTTTTGTCTTCAGTCTCCACATCAAGAAATGGAGCAAGTTCTTCAGCAGTAACAACACCACCATTTGAAGCAATGTATTCTCCAATCTGAGAATAGTTCATGAAGAGGAATTCTGTTCAACATGCTATTAAGGTGAAGACACAAATGTCAATAACGGACAAAAAAGGGGGCAGGAAACAGAGATTTGAGCATGTATCTATCTAGAAAAACAATATTTCTTAAAATTATCCCAGGAAACAAATACTTGTGCATTTCAGATAACTGAATCCTCAACAACCTAATCTTTTCTCAGTTTGGAAAGGGTGTCTTTAAATGAAGACATGAGGCTAGATAGCTATCAAAATCTGATGCATCAATAAAACTACATGATTATTAAGGAGCCAGTTTATAGATCAGTGTTCTAAGGTACATAGAACCTTTCTCCAGATCTATCCGTCAATTCTGACTAGTGAACCATCATTTCAGTTTAATTTTTCATACAAGCATTTAAACACATACACATCATGGAAGAATAATGTTGGCAGCAAGTAGGGCAATCCAAACTCCTGCTATAAGTTACCTCTCATCATTTTTTTCCGAACAAATGAAAACTATCATTTAACAATTAAAAAAATGGTTCTACCTGCCCTAAACTATCATTATTTTCACTAAATTGTTTATTTTTAAAAAGGTGGATACAAATAGCAGGAATCCCAAGCTTGTGGTTTAAGATCCAGAGAATAAGCAGAGAATATTCCAAGAAAAAATATGAATTTGTCTACACCACCCTGATCTAGATGAAGAAATTCATTCCAAAGCTCTTACTCCAATTTTAAAATTAGATCATGAGACGTAAAGGTTTTGCAACACGTCAGAAAGATGGAATTGAAAAGATGCACAACACCAATAGTCAAAATGAACATATTAAAGTTACGGACCACTACATTCAGATTGCAATTATTACCAACTTCCACCTTTCTTCTTCAATACCTTGGTTTGGATCACCATCCCCAAATACAAAGGAAAATACCTGCATCATAACTTCCAATAATCAAATTGATCACTTATACTTCTAAAGGCAGTATGGAGTTGTAAGAGTATTTAAAGTTTTCATCTTACAGATTCAATGAAGTTCGAATCGGTGCTCTCATCTCTCATTCGCCGCCTCCTATAGTAGTATGGATCCCAGTACCTAACAAGCAATGAAGCAAATCAAACCTCATGCAGAAAAATTCAAAGCAGAGATAAACATACTACAGATTAAAATTTCTCCTTCCTTCACTTGCATACGGAAACAATCAATTAGCAAATACACTAAATGCAACATCTGGGGGGTCACAATTCCTCATTTCATTTCATCACGACTTGGGACAGAAAATTACCAAAACAGATCACTTGGAAAGAAATTCACAGAGAAACCACCACCATAAGATCTGCCACGTCCTCTACGATTGTCATCTTCACTGTAGCACAGGGAAAAAGAGAAAAGAAAGGACTATTACAATGGTAGGTTATAACAAATGAATTACAGATGAAACACAATGCATAAATTGCACATGAAATGCAGAGTCTAAAACAATAAGAGAATGCCCATAATTCAACTATCTGGATTGATAGATACCTTCTACTTGAAAGAATAGCAACAATTGTTGTAAAGACAATTACAATGGACGCAATCAGCGCTGTTCCAAAGGAGACCCTAACGAGATATTCAGCTCCCAGCTGCCAACAGAACGTTCAGAAGTCAAAAAATGAAAAATGGCTCCCACTAGCAGCCCACACAAGAGACCTTAGTAATATTCATATGAACTACTATACCTTTGCCTTTTCTGCCACAGGTTCAATTCTCATCCTAAATGATTTAGCTGTCAGCTTTGCGCGGTAATCCTTCGGAAATACATATAATACATCACCTTCATCTGATACCTAATTGAACATCCCAATAACCATCATCCTACTGTCAACAATAATCATAACCAAGCAAGAAAAACTCGGGGAAAAAATGAAAATAAAGAGTATAAGAACCTCCAAGAAACCGTCAGTATCAGCGGCAAGGGCCTGGAGAGCTTTCTGAGCTTCATTAAGCTTCAAACCAGCCTTGCTTGCCACGTCACCAACAGTAACCCTGCCTCCAAAAGAATCAATGGCGTCCATCGCCCGGTTCCGCACATCGGACGGAAGCTTGTCACTCTCAACGGCAGCTCCGGGCTTAATCGCCGAAGTAGTGACATCAAGACTACTAGCCCGAACCAAACCAAGAGAGCGTTTAGCACTCCGGCGAAGTTTTAAGTTAGTGCTAAAATGCAGAGACGGCTGCAACCTAATTGAATGAAGCCGGAAAAAGGGTTTGGGATAGAAGGCTGCGGACTGAGGCTTGAGCTTGAACTTGGGTGTTGGAGTAAAGAAGCAAGTGGATATGGACGCCATTTATGGAATCTCGACAAGTAAGCAAATAGTATATCTCACTACTCGGGTTTCAAGCTCTCAGCCATGGTCGAAAAAGGGTTTTCTGTAGCAATCGAAATGGTTTTATGGTGATGCCTGCCTTCTTTGATTGGTAATTATATACGAAATTGTTTGAATTTTGTTAGAGATGTGCTTATTGCTTGAAGAATAAAGAAGCTATCTTGGCCATGAGTAAGGCTGACTGGGGATTGCGGGGAGGAGAAAGCGGGAGGATATTTTAGGTCAATTTATATGATTTTTACCTCAGGAATTGTTTATTTATTTCGTACTGCTTTTATGAGTCAATTAAAAGTCTAAACTTAAAACCAGTTTAAAAATTACTACCAGTTTAAAAGTACTAATCATAGGCTCATAGTAATGAATAACTCAATTGGTTGGCAAATACTGAAATGCCTTCAGGGTTCTTGTTCTATATTCACCAAAGCTTACAACAAAATATACAATTTGCCACCCTGTTTCTCTTCTTCCCACAAAGGATCATACTCTTCAAAATGGGAAGGCAGGCAAAAATTACAATCTGGTCACTCACTATTCACTTTCTGTACATTTTTGCTACAACCATATGAAAATGTCGAAGAAAATTACCTACTCGGAGTACTCTTCCGTCCCAAAATTATTGTCCAGGTTGGATTAGTACTAGAGAAAAATTGAAACTGGACTATCATTTCGGAACACAGGGAGTACTAATATCCATCTCCATTCCCTTATTTACTTTAAAAACCTTCCCTCTGTTTTTCTGATTACACTGCCCTCTGCCCAGCTGTTAATCCAGTGAGCAACGAATACTGTAAGTTTCATTCTCCAGTGCCAAAAGTTCCAACAGACAGCTTGTCCAATCTAAGGAGAGAATAACTTCTTCTCCCGGGATACTTCTCAGGAATTTTGGATGCCACGACATAATTGTTAACAAACCTTCATCACTATTTGATCTCCAAGTTTCAGTAGCTAAAGTATCTGCAGAAATTAGAACGGAAAAAAAAAAAAGTTAGTACCTTTCGTATGAAACTCAGATATATACAAACCAGTATGATAAAAAGACTGATTACTCACTAGTTCAAACAAACAGAAGGCGTGCCAAAATGTAATTTCTACCGTGTAGGCAAATTCTTCACAGAAAATGTACACTCGACCAAAAAAAAAAAAAATGTACAGTCTTGCTCGAGAACTGATGATAGTTGCGCTGCAAAAAGGACTACAGCAAGCCGCAACAATAGAGGACTGCTGCAGGATGCCCTACTGATTCCTTCATACCCATATAACAGAATTTTTGCCATCCTTGACCAAAATATTTGGTGTATCAAAGCATAATACCACTCTGAATGATTTCCTGATCACTGTAACATGGTTCACATATAGGCAAGCATTTTCTAAAACGAACTCATCGAAGCGAAAGTAGTGGGGAGAAACTTTCCAAATAAAATAGCGACACTCCACCAAATAAATTTTTGTTTAACCTAGTCCATCCATCAATCTGTTATAGGTAGCAATATCAGGTATCAAACCCTTGTCCAACATCTCCTCCACTAGAGCTTTGCCCTCCTCCTTCCTAGCTTCTTTAGTATAGCCATATATCAAGATCCTGTAAGTCATACCATCAGGTTCAAGACCCTTACTGGCAGCCAACAACCTCAACTTATTAGCGTCCACAGCCCTTCCTGCTTCACACATGTCGCGAAGAAGACAGTTCAAAGTAATACTATCCGGTAAACTGCATTCTCTTAGCATCCTTTCAACAAATCTACATGCCTCATCAATTCTTCTATTACATCGAAGACTTTCAACCAAAACTATGCAAGCAATTAAGCTCGGAGAATACCCTGAACCCCACAACTCATCCACGATCACCATTGCTTTCCCTACATTTCTGTCATGACAGAGCCTCTCAATTAGCTCGAAATAATCAAAAGATTTAGGAAGAACCCTCTTTCTCGAGAAATCAATCAGCAAGTTGCATGCTTCCATGATCTTCCCACCTCTATGAAGTCCATTAAACAAAATCTCACAAGTTACACTTGAAAGCTCACAATCTAGTTCAATCATCTCATGAGCCATTCCTATTCCTTGTTCCAATTTTCCTTCCCTGAAGAACCCTTTGATCAAAGTGTTGAAGCTAACCACATTAGGAACACACCCTTTGTTCTTCATTTCCTTAAACATTTCCAAAGCCAATTCAAACTGTGAATTCTTACAGTACCCACTAATTAAAGTATTAAACGATATCACATCAGGCTTAACCCTGTCCCTAATCATCTTTTCGTAAAACTCCAGAGCCTTCTCAAAGTGCTTATATTTCACAAACCCGTTAATTATTATATTGTATAAAGCAACGTTTGGCTTCCCATCAATCAGTCTTTTCATCGAATCAAAAGCAAACAATGCATCATCGAATCTACCAACTCTACAGTAAGTATTAATGGCGAAACGGAATATGGGTTCAGTTTTAGGACAAGAGAAGATACCATCCGAGCAGGGGCAGGGGTTGGAAGCCATGAACTGAACGAGAACATTCAGGGAATCAAAGCGGTCGGAGGTGGCAAGCGATCGCGTCATCCACTCGAACGTGTTGTGGTCGTGCCGGAAAGTGTCGAGAGTCGCGGCGTAGCGGAAAAGGTGGAAGTCGAGGTGGGTGAGTGCGGGATGATGGCGAATGCGAGACTTGAGGAAAGACACCAATTCCTGAGGAGTGAAGGAGGGTTTAAGGTGCACCTTGACCACATTAATCAGTTGGTCGAATTGCTTTTCAGTCGTCGGAACTAAAGAGGATGCTGAGGAAGAGTCCGGGGCCGGTAGTGGCGGTGGAGCCGACCGGACTCCGGTGGGTGGTTTTGGAACTGGTTTGCCCAGCTTCCTGAGCATCATTTTTTTCATTGTTTCTTTTTTCTTTTTTGATGGAGGACAACAGTTACGGAAAATAAGACCTTGGGGGGCTAATAACAAAATACAGAAAGTTCTGGGGGGCTAAACAAGAAGACTCTGTTTTCCATCCCGCTTCCATTTTTCGGTGTTGACCGGTGGTTTAAGCTTACCGGCGGCTTCCAAGTCTCACAACTGGGATCCAAGGAAGCAATTCTGGTGTTCCCAACGCTGTTCTGTTTGTCTTAAACAGGTTACCTTCTCATCTAGCCTTCTTTCTATATGCACGTGATATATGACTGTTTTTATTGGCTGAATGTGGCAAGATAGAGCTTTTGGTACATTCTGTTGTTATGAGTGAATAGTTGATCGTGAAAAGAAATGTTGTTATACTGGTCTGGGCATTGATGGTCATTCGGGGGAGTGGATTTTACGTGTGCTTGTTAGGTGTTTGAGAAAATGTGTTGGAGGTAACTCAGATTGCTTTATAGGTTCTCGTCCTTTGCTCACCCTGCTTTCCAATAATGCTTATATCCAGATAGCCTTGTCGAAGAAGCATTGATTATTGGCGAGCGTTAAGTGCCTACGCCTTCAAGTTTGAGCTAAGTGGAAGATGAGAGTTCATACAAGAATGCAGAACCTTCCTTCATTATGTAGGAGTACGAGCTCTGCCGTGTGGAATCCTCAATCTTTGAACAGATTTCTGAGAGTATCCCCTTTTCCACTACAAGGTCTGTTCTTGATCTTTCCATGTAATGTTTAGCTAATCAATATGATGGATAAAGGTAGACGGTAGATGTTTAAACAATTATACGCAACTTGAAATTCCTTTCTTGCACCTTGCAGGACCTCGAAGGTTATCCATACAATGTGGAGTTAAATTTCGTCCATGCATCGACATCCACAAGGTTTGGCCTCTTAATTTTTTCTCTGAGTTTTGTCGCTTTTTTTTCTCTTTTTTCTGCATAACTTTCTCCACACCTACAAACACTTAAGTTGGATTTAATTGTTTCTTGCTATATTTTCTTGAATGTGAATGGAAATATATGAACCAATATGTTAAGTGCAGTTCCTTCTGTTCTACAATATACGCCATCCTGGTTATGTTGTTAGTTTTGGCTTTTGGGTGAACAAAGTGCACTAGACTTAGATTGTCAAAAGCATATTTTTTTTGAATGTGAACGGAAATATATGAACCAATATGTTAAGGTCGATGTTCCTTCTGTGCTACAATGCATGCCATCCTGGGAATGTTGCTAGTTTTGGTAGAACAAAGTGCATTAGATTATGATACTTATTATTCTATATAGTTGAAATATAATTGCTTACGTGTGTCAAAAGCATACGAACTGACTACAAAGCTTGGAATTACAAAAATGGTATGCGGGTAGAAGTAGCTATTAAATTGTTTTAGTTTTTCTTTATTCATTTACAGTAAGCGGGTATTAGGGACAAACACAATGCAGCTGAGTAAAATAAGTCATATTGGCTGGCATCTACATTTTATGATGAAGTGACTTTCTCAGGGTAAAGTGAAACAAATCGTAGGATCCACTCTTCAAGATACTAAGCAGGAGAATTCGAGCCTCATAACTAATTTTGAATCTGATAAACCCGCTGCTGACTTTGCTAAGCTTTACAAAGAAGATGGACTTACAGGTGGTCACGTGATCATGCTTGGAGCTGATCCATTGAGCAAATCAGCTGCTATTGAAGCATTATTCGCTTATCCTGGTACCCTGCTCTAACCGCCCGTGCTTTCGGTCTATTTTTCTTACTGATACCTGTAAATTGTAATACAAACTGGATAACATAATTTAAATAAAATATTCTTGGTTTTCAGGATTCTCCTTTTTGCTTGTTTCCTCGCAACTGAACAAGATTGTGATAGTATTACTTTCTTGTGTTCTTTTGGCTTAACTATAGTACAATTAAAGCATAATATCTTTGGGGAAACTGACAAGCTATTGTAATTAAGAGTCCAATTAATGCCTTTTAACTCGCAGTTATTCTTCTATTCTGTTGGCCATATGGTACTATCTTCAACCTTAAGCTGTATGATAAGGAAAAAAAGAGAGAGAAGGATATTACTTTTTCATCAATATCTTATAGAATTGAAGTTTGCTTGTCATCATACCCTTATTTTTCCAAACCACATTACTATCTATTGGCTACAATTTCAGTCTCCTGTATTGTGTGTTGATGGAATTCATCAACTTACAGATTTTTTTCCTCTTGCTGAACTTCTGTGAGGATGACAACATCTAGGTGGTTTGCAAGTTGGAGGTGGTATTAACACTAGCAATGCTCTTAGTTACATAGAGGAAGGAGCTAGCCATGTCATCGTCACCTCAGTATGTATTATAAACACTAGACCAAATACTATTTCTTGTTGCTATCTCTAAGTTTTATCTTTGCTTGTTGCAGTACGTTTTCAGCAATGGTCAAGTGGACCTTGACAGGCTTAAAGAACTTGCTCGTGTGGTTGGAAAAGAAAGAGTTGTGTTAGATCTTAGCTGCAGAAAGAAGGTGCGCCTTTCTCCCGGTAGATAAGTCATGTTAACATCTGTCACACTGTTGACTTGAAATGCATCTTTGCAGGAGGGCAAATACTATATCGTCACAGACAGGTGGCAGAATTTTACTGATGTGTGTCTTGATCAGAAGGTGTTGGATTTTCTGGCTGGTTTTGCTGATGAGTTTCTGGTCCATGGAGTTGATGTTGAAGGAAAAAAGTAATTCTTTAACCATTGTAATGATGACTAAACTATATTATGCACTCTTCAATTTTTTGTCATTTCCTCATAATCACTTCACCAAATTGATTGAATCAATTTTGCTGTTCAGGCTTGGAATTGATGAAGAGCTTGTGTCATTGCTCGGAAAACATTCTCCAGTATGTGACTCAGTGATTTTATATTCTTTCTATGTTTATTTACCATTTCCACACTTCAAAGCATATTTATCTTTAGAGTCGGGTACTATATTGCTTTGTCGACACTTGTATGATACTCAAATTGGATTAAGACTCCTATACTGCTTACTGTGGCTGACTAGTAAACTACATGAATATTTAGTGCAACTGTGGCAGGACATTGTCATGATGGCACATTGGCAAAATATGTTTTACGTTAGCCTTGGTTAAGTAACATGATAATTGCCTTTTTATGAAACAGATTCCTGTGACATACGCTGGGGGAGTGACCGTAATGGCAGATTTGGAGAGAATCAAAATTGCAGGAATGGGGCGTGTGGATGTTACAGTCGGAAGTGCCTTGGATATCTTTGGTGGAAACCTAGCATACAAAGAAGTCGTCGCTTGGCACGCCCAACAGGAAACTTTGGTGCACTGAAGGTCTGTACCCTTGTTCCCAGCACCAAGATTCTCCAAAATATTGTACTATTATAGTGTGGGGTGTCATTGCTTGTGACGTTAGGTTGAGTTTGATGAACCTCATCAATCATCATTAGTGTCTCTTTTTTGGTGAAAAACATCAGTTGTCGATTAATTCTTTTCCGATTTACTCCCTCTGTCCCAAAATTATTGTCCAGTTTGAGATTTCACTTTTAGTATAATTTGAACTAAAAATGAAAATCCAAACTGGACAATAATTATGGGATATGGGACGGAGGGAGTGTATCTTTATTTTTGTTTGATCGATTTATGAGACTTCCTTTGCAGTTCCAATTTATGATTGCATGGTTGAGAATTTGTAGATGGTATGAATTGAAAAGAAGGATCCTCAAGGCCATTCGGCAATTATCATCCAAGTGTGGTCGCATATCCTTGATTCTTAAATATTGTAGATGCTAGCAGGAATGAAACCACTATAAGAAAATGGTCTAAAACAAAAACAGCTCTGCAAAAATTTCAGGCTGCTGCATTTCCTGATATTACACAATGGCAGCAGTTATATCCGGGACTGTCTCTGCAACAGAAATTGTGCAGATCCTAAGGTATTGATGATTAAACGAGCAGTAAGCACTACGGACAGCACGATCGGGTTTCTTACGAGGGGCAATTCAATCCTTACCTAAAAATGCCAAATTGCCAATGCAGCCATTCACATCTACGGTTGTAAGGGGCAATTTGAAATGAAAAGTGACGATAAAATGCAAAGGATAAGAGACTAAGAGAGTATGAACTGTTTGCAATACGTGAACCAATTGGTGTGATACTCACTGCCTCTAGAAAACATAAAAACGCAGAAAAAGTGTGTTGATCAGTAACCAATCAAGCCAATATGGATCTTGGAGAAGTTGCATACCCCTAAACCCTAATCATCACTTCTAATAAAATATTACCTTATTTCCAAAATCAAAATTAGTCCATACCAAGTTTTGAAATTTGTACCAATTGTTTTTTATTTTTATTTTATCTTTTTCTCGTTAGTTCATATTTTCTCAAGTTCTATTTACAAATTATTAAAGCTAAGAGTTTTTAAAATTTTTTGTGTCTTTTATGAATATAACGGAGGAGGGGTTTTTCCTTTTCTTTTTTTATTGGGACCAAAAAAAAAAAATACTGATGTATATTCTCATCTAATCTTTTCATTCTTCAGCTTTAAGTGGCCATTCCGGGCAATTGGTCACTTGGCAGCGAATTAGGGACTATTCAAATTATTAGTAATCCTTTGTACCAAAAAAAAATAAAAATAAAAATAAATACATTGTAAGTCTATTTTTGTGGTGGGATACTAATAATCATTCATTAAAATAATAAATAAAAATAATATAATTCCCTTAACGGATTAACGGAATAACGACTTCCGGGAAGGCCAGAGCCACATCCCTCGCTTCCTATTTCCCCCAAACAGAGAATGGTCAGACCAATGAACCAACCAGACATGAATTTCTGCACCGTTTCCGTTTCAATCGCCACCAACACCACCGCATCCCTGCTTCCCTCAAACCCTAGTTTCAGAATCAAATCCATGGCGGTGGAAAGGAGTCCGAAAGCCTTCACATCCGCTACTGAAGCTCGAGTTTCGCTGCTCCAGGCTCTTGCCTTACAGACCTTCTCTCTCTCCCAGCGACGTAAATGTCACTACTACGTACCGCCATCCTTTTCTTTTTGAATTAAACGGGCGTCAGTTTTTTGAAATATTTGGCATTTTCTAATTCAATTTGGGGTTTTTTTTTTTCCAGTTCTATTGGAAGTAGGGAGCGAGGCCGCAAAGTATGTAATTCCCTCGAGGAGGTTCGAGAGTCGTACTTTGGAGGAAGCTTTGATGTCGGGTACTTCTTGTCCTCTGTTTCCCTGTATAGTTGAAATGATCATCAAATTTGAAAGCTTTTTTCCAGTGGTTTTGCTCGCATTTTGACTGATTTCTGGTTTTATTTGAAGTTCCCGATCTCGAGACTCCTAATTTTAAGGTTTTGCGGCGAAATGATCAGTATGAGATTAGAGAAGTGGAGGTACCACATTTACTTTCAAGTTTCACTCTTAATCATGTGGATGGAAAGCTAATGAATTTGTATTGTTTTTATCTGTCTATCTAGTTTCATATTTCAAATATATTTCTGTTACTGCGGGTGCAAATGTACTTTATGCTTATGAATGTTTATAATCTTCATGATACTAAATGACTTTCTTTGGGAAAACGACTACTCGTATTTGGACACAGCCATATGTAATTGCGGAGACTACAATGCCTGGAAATTTTGGGTTTGATCTGAATGGAGCGTCTAAATCCTTCAATGTGCTGGCTGAGTATCTTTTTGGTAAGGTAGCTAAAGTGGTTATACCGGTTCAGATCTTTAAAATTTACAATTTTCATCTCATCAATCATACTGAGAATGGACTGCTTCTAGAACACAAGGAAGGAGGCAATGGAGATGACTACTCCTGTTTTTACAAAGAAATCAGTCTCTGAAGGGGAGAAAATGGAAATGACAACCCCTGTGATCACTAAAAAGGTAATATCTTGGAGACCATTACTTTGCATATCCGGCATCTAAGGGCGGTTCTATATCAATTCTCGGTGTTATACTGAAGCAAGTAATAGTTGTCTTCTCCTTTCATTCCGACATATTTTCACTGGATGGTGAAAAGAATGGTTAAATTTTATGGGATTACGAGAAGGTTCTATCCAATATTGTGAGTCCTAGAAGGTTCTGTGTTGTATCCTCGTCCGTCATATGATATGGTTTCCAATGCTTAAAGTAGGAGAAGTTTGTCAATCTGTATATTCTTTATCCTGTTATTTGGAGGGTTTAGAAATGATCTCCATGAAGGCCTAATGAGATTCAGTTTTGAAAAGGTGGCTGATCAAGACAAGTGGAAGATGTCTTTTGTTATGCCCTCAAAGTATGGAACAGATTTGCCTTTACCCAATGATCCTTCAGTTACCATTAAAAAGGTGCCAAGGAAAATTGTTGCGGTTGTTGCGTTTTCAGGTTTGTCCCTGACATCTAATTATTTTTCATTTTCGCCAGACTTACTTTGAGGAGCCGTCTTTCATGTATTGAATTCTACATTACTTTGTCCTGTGTCTAGAATTATAGAACTTAGTATCTGACTAAAACCTCATTGTCATGCACACTGGTAGTTTTCTGAGAGTATCTGCTGTTCTTGTTGAGTTTTAAGAGAATAAAATTCTCACGTGTCCTTAACTTTGCCTCTTGGAGCTTGTTATCTTGTATACAACAAAACAGAATTCTGTATATCCATTTCTAGATTAAGGATTCTTGCCGAATGATTGAAATAGGGTTTGTCTCTGATGATGAAGTTGAGCGTCGTGAATCCAAACTTCGCGATGCGCTTAAGAGTGAGACTGATTATCGTGTAAAGCAAGATGCTTCTGTTGAAGTTGCTCAGGTAGTTACATAAAACCACAGTAACATTTTCTTCTCTGGAGTTTTTAAAGGAATTGGCATCTTAAACTAATAAAGCTTAATTTATAGCAAATATACTAACCTTGTCTTCTGTCCTGGTTTTGGTGCAGTACAATCCACCATTCACGTTACCATTTACTCGTCGTAATGAGATTGCTCTGGAAGTTGAGAGAGTGAAAGGGTAGACAGTGGAAGTATTTCTTACAGCCACTAAGACTTTTTCCCTCTGTAAATCTGTTGCCCTAATGTACCTACCTTTAGCTAAGGCAGGAAAGCTACAGAATGTGATGTAAATAAGTTTCAGTTTTCTGTATATGTTAAAAAGATCGTCCCAACAAGTGATTGCCTCACTTGTTATTCACACTAAACATATTATTTTGAATCCACTGGACATTAAACATGCAAATTTTAGATAGAAAAGCAAGAGAAAGACACCTTTAAAGCATCAGTATGGTAGCCATCCTTTCCACATTTCTTGGACATATCTTATCACCCTGAAGACTGCAACTCATATGGCTTTTAACATTGTTCATTATTGGGTTCCTGAATTGCATGCGGAGTTTAAAATTTGTATTCGAAAAGAGTGATAGATAAATGTTAGGTTCATCTAATTCTGATAAACAACAACCAATTTGGTGGAGATTATAGTTGTTAATGTAGTACTACTGTATGTTTCTTTTTGGTAGATTCGATAGAAGTGACTTTCCTGTGAGGAACAGAATCTGGTAACTATCCTGTATTATAGCTTCCTTGCCGCTGCATATCACGGAGGCTGAGGTTTACATTTCTGTGTTAGATTACATTGATTTTGTTCTTTTACAACCAAGGAACGAGCTGCGATCTATTTCGTTCCTCAATTCTTTTTTTTTTTTTTTTACATGGACTAATAATAATATTATATCAAGAAACCACACAGTTTCCTTCCGGTATGCTTTCCAGTTCAGGCGTCCACCCGATAGCTCTGTCTTTATGATCACATCTTAAGTTGTTATCAATATCATTCAATTTTGCGCAAGACGGACTCTTAGAAATCATATCATCAACTGTAACTCCAGTACCTTTCTCTAATATGGCCTGCAACTGTTGCTTACTGATTACGATCTTAATCCTCAGAACTCCACTTGCTTCTCCCTTTTCGGCTCCGGCTTCATCCGGAGTTGGAGTCGCAAACCGAACAGTCTTCTTCTTTCTGGCCTTCGGAGGAGCAACCAGCGGAGGAAGAAGATAGTAGACACGACCGCCGATCATATCTTCGTCGGGTCTTAGATGTTGGACGACAGGCAATGCATCGCATAATGCATGGCCACTGAATTTGGATAGAATCTGATGGACTTTCATTGGAGGTTTGTATTCGAGCGTTTCTCCATTTGCTTTTATGACCTTGATCACTTTCTGCTGCAGAATAATGCAATTCCCCATCGAATTTTTTTTGAAATGGTGAAATCAAATTGAATTTGTTGTGCAAATTAGCACTGATGTAAAAAAGAATGGTATACTTCAGTAAAAGGAGTTCTGTTGTTTGGAGCGGATTTGGTGTTGGGTGTATTTATAAGAGCCCTGGTACCATAATGGCCTTAAATTTAGCTGATATTACGGGGGAAACCATAATGGCACTTTTTTGTTTTTGGTCTCCACTTCGTTGATATTTTTTTTTCTCATTTTTGTTGGGCAACTACGGGATCATGACTCACGAGTCACGAGACATTCATTTTGGGGGTAACACTGACCTTTTGAAGATGGATTGGTCCCTTAAAAGACATGCTGCCGTCGCTATCAAGTATCATCAACTGGTTAAGTTGTGATTTGTTGTCTGAGATTTTCCTATGGTTAATGGAGTGATATTATCATCCCTAGGTAAAATCCACATTTATTCCACATAAAATTAGCATTGTTTTGTGTAAATCTTTCTCCCTCTTTCGCACAAAAATAGTTCACATTGAATTTTGAGTTTTGTAGTATAAATTTTGAAAACTCAATGTAAATTTTTTTTTTTTGAGATCGAGGTAGTATTTATTAAACTCTACATATTCAGAAAGAAAAAGGGAAAAAAAAACTCTAATTAAACTCTGTTGTATTTTCTCTAGGGCTTCATCACACGGTTACGTCTTACTTTTCCTGTTTTCCTTCATTTACAATTCACTTTTATCATTACAGTAAATAATCAGATCGAGGAATAATCTTTTAACCTTTTAACCGAATGCATGTTCTGGGATAGTGATTCGATCAGAGTGGATCATAACCAGACTCCATTTTTACAGTTAAATACGAGTTAAAATCCTGCTCGTTGACCACTGAAGAGAGGTAAAGGGTAATGGAAGACCTGATCAAGTGGCTGACTACTATGTGTGGTTAATGGTTCTTCGGCTAATGATTTTTTTTTTTCCCACAGTTTCTCTTATCGCACAGAAAGCTGGTGTGATGATATAGAAATAATGTTTGCACATAAAACTGATAATGTAAAATAAACAGGACTGACCAAAATTTAGTTGGATTCACTGTGTTTTCAATTTGTTTGGCAGATTAGATCTTGTTGGGATTCACAATTTTAAAGAAACAGCCGAAAAGTGACTCAATTTAGTGGAGATTGGAAAGATGTGGATTCTGGAGTGGGGTAGGAGGGAAGGACGTTGAAGACTAGTTAATTCATCGTAACTTTGGTATAAAAGTGTGTTCACATCACACACATTTACGAAAACGATAGAATGAAGGGGGGGAGAGAAAAGGCCATAATGGTGGCAAAATGGCAATGCTAATGCATTACACAAACAAAATTGGACAATATCACACTCCAATTTTGATTTAGTGCTTTGTGATGTTATCCGTACGCATGCCTGATTCGAGCTTTTGGGAGGTTTTTTTTTTTTTTTTTAACGTTGGGAGTCTCACCCTACAACACAAGCTCATTGCAAGAACCTGCAAACCACAGTCAATGGTTTATTAGTGTGTTAGTTATAACAAGCTTCTAGAGGTGTCAATAGTCAAAGTAAGAGCAAATCGCTCATTTTTTGTTGGAGTGGGGGATTGAACTCATGACATCTCTCTTAGAGTAAGAGTGATTTCACCACCGAACCAATTCCTCATTCGCATTACTTCACAGTTTCGAAATAATAATTCAATTTAAATTTTTAATTTTATATATATAGTATTAAAGATTCAAACACAACCATTATTTTTGGACGCGGAGAATTATAAGCTTGATGATCAAACATTGCCATCAAATTCATGTATTCGATTAATGAAGGGAAAACATGCGAAAAATAAAAAAATAAAAAAAAGATAATCAACTTTTTCTATGTTCTCCCTTCCAAATTTTGTATAAATAGATAATTAAACCCCAGGAAATGGGGCGGCGTGAATTAATCATGCATTCATGTATCGTGAGCTGCTCTTGAGGCTTTATAGTCTATCACTCTATCTGATCCGGTTGAAGATTCCAAAAGCAAAGGCAAGGCAGGCTAGCAAGCCTAGAATCAGATGCGATCTGTTCTTAATGATTAAGTTGGACAATTTGCTCTGTTTGTTCTTCAACATTCCAAAAGTTGTGGCACGTGAATTTGAAAAACGGGTCATCCGACTGCTTTTTTTTTTCCTGGGAATGCAACAGACGTAATACTTTCCGCACTTATTATGAGAAATTTTAATTTCTCCTAAATTTTATTTATTACTATATTTTTTTGAGAAAATTTAGTATGTTCTTCTCATTGAAAATAAAATTTAAAAAAAATATTCCCTCTGTCTCATAATTATTGTTCTATTTGAATTTTCATTTTTAGTTCAAATTGTACTAAAAATAAGATTTCAAATTAGACAATAATTTTAGGATAGAGCGAATATATTTTCACATTTGATAGATACAACATACGAAATGAAATTTATGAGAAATCAAAATTTCTTATAATAGGGATCAAAGAGGATTCTTAAAAGGGTAAAAATTAATACCAACAAAATACGCTCCAACAAATGATTCAAACATAATTACTACTGCTATACTTCTGTGCTTTGTGTGAGTTTACAAATTCACTAAAGCCCTCGTCAAGGAAGTACAGTTTGTAAAATGCGAGTTAACTTGCAGTGCCGTGTTTTGACCAAAATCTGGAGGGGAAAATGAGGTATGGACTATGGAGGACCAACATAATCATTACCTATCACCACCATCTTAAAAAGTACAATTGAGAGATATGGAAATTGGGCGGGCATTAGTATGCCAATCTAATACTCCCTCATGTCCTCCTTATTATAAGGTATTTTGATTTCGTCTTAAATTTAAATTGAGATATTTTTTTAATTGGTAAAAAAATATCAAAAATATATTTTCATATTTGTTGTATTCTACTCATTATTATGAAATATTTTTAAGATTTTTATTTGAATTAAAAAAATATCTTAAATTAAATCTAGGACGAACTCAAAATACTTTATAATAAAAACAGGAGGGAGTAGATCTCAAACCTATTTGTCTACCAAAGAACCAAAAGTGTTATCTGTGTTGTATCTTTCTTTTTCTTTGGTTCCTAGATGATCCTTAACAAGTAGCAAAAAGACCAAAAAGCGCAAAGGAGGGAAAATTAAAAAAGAAAAAGAAAAAGGGATGATTGCCATTAGAAGTTCAAGAGTTCAAGCTGTAAACATATCATTATCATTCCTATTGTACTACTAATATGATTCACCATTTTTGAAGAGCAAGTTCGTGGAGTTGGACGTCGCTTTAACTACTGGAAATGGAAAACCATCCGATTCTTTTCACATCACGAACGGGTAGATATTAATCCATGTTTTTTTGAGATTGTTTGTAAGGTAGTACTAGTATTATGATCATCCGATTTTGCGCACCCATCTACCTTTTTTTGTAAGGTAAATTTCTCGGTTTATGATGGACCACCAATTAAGAAGTAAGAAATCGGTAATTTCCACGGCGTGTCGTAGAGATGTAGACGGTAATAATATTTGGACGGTCGCCGCCTAACAGACCTCCAAGCAATGGCTTGGCTTTTTGTGTTTTTTTTTTTTTCTCTAATAACTATCTTGAATATTTATTAGTCTTAAAAACTCCTGTGGAAATTTATCTATAAATCCATTGTATGGATGTAGTTCCTTCTTTATTGGGTGATTACTTCATATTTCATTTTCGTTAATTAAAGAAAACGCTTGGTACGAATTGTTTAATTATTTAATGGAGTATATTGTCCGTTTAATAGTCAACATTAAGTTTAAAGATTTGTATTAAAAAATAATAAATATCTCTAAATTCAATGTGAACTATTTTTTTTGGGACGGAAAGAGTAATTTATAAGCGGTGAATCTAAGATGAAAAAGTGAACTTAATGGTGTATAATAAACACTTAAAAAACTGGAAGTGGTAATTAATAAATAAGTGGTGAATAGCAACACCTAGAAAGGCTACAACCGACTTAGGTAGAAAATCATTCTTCCTTCATCATCACTTACCGAAAGTTACAGCAAAATCTGAACTAAGAGAGAACGACGAAGAACTATGTCGAGTCAAACTTGGGAAACCAATCAAGCGATTAATTTTACCATTGGTAATGGGGCGGTGTCGTGGTCAGAAGGGTTGGGTTACTGTCAATTTTATGTACTCCATTCGTCTCAAAATTATTGTTCAGTTTAATTTTTTATTTTTTATTTAAATTATATTAAAATTGAAATCTCAAACTGAATAATGATTTTGAGACTAAGAGAATGCCAAAATTCTTCTTATTTAAATCTGTTAATAGCTTTAGAGTTAGACCTCTAGCATCAATGCATCATCCTACATTCCCAACCTATTTCACATAAGAAATCGTCGTGTATTTATACATGTACCTCATTATTCACTTTATTATAAATTCATGAAACATTTTCACAATAGATATTATTTTTCATGCCCAAATGATTCATAAAAAAAAGAGCATATTTAAAAGATTAACACAACATAAATTACTTACGAATTTCTATTTAAGTTATATTACCGAGTTCGTCATTTTCATAAAAATTTGTCCGTTACAAAAAAATGTAATATTTTTTTTATTTTAAAATAATTATTCAGTTTGAATTTTTATTTTTTAATATAATTTGAATTAAAAAGTAAAAATCAAAACTAGAGAATCCGTTTTAACACCAAATGAATATTAGTTTTTTTGTGGTTAATGTATGAGTGTATCTCTTTCATGATAACAGGTCGAACCCTTTAAGCGTAGGGTAAAAGTTCACTGGTATTTTAAAAAATACTAATTTAAAATACCTCTTGAATAACATATATTACAGAATAGTAATATTCTTGGAAAGTCGTCTGGTTCAATTGGAAGGATACGATAGAAATTGGGTTTGAAAGTATTCCAAATTCTATGACTTTTTTAAGAGAGTATCATAACCATTTATAGTGCTTGATTAGAGAAGAATTGGAAATGAAAAGTGACATAAAATATCATTTTAATCCCTAATACAAAAATTTTTTTAAAAAAGAAGAAGGACAAGCCCATTTGAAGGTTTGATTAATTTCTATGCTCTTATGAAATTTTTGGCAATTGATAAGAAAATGCTTCAAATATGAACCCCACCATAGTAAACACTATATTTTGATTATTTTGAACAAGATTGATGAAGAAGAAGAGGAGAACAGAGATTTGAAATTTGTAAAATTGGTGGGTATTTTTGGAGAAAAATTGAGCGAGCGGCGACCATGGGAGGTGGCGAAGGCGGATAGCGACAGCGATGGTGCAATCATGGCTGGTTGACAAGCTGTGGGGGATGATAGATTACTTGAGCAAATGGTATTAGTTTTTTCCTATTTGTTCTAATTGATAGAATGATGGAGATGATTTAGGTGACTAATTAGAGGTATGAAGATGGAGAAATTCGAAGGAGCTAGAGGGAGAGTTAATGGGACTGCTAGGAAGAGATAAATTGTGAGGAGGCAGAAGGGTTAGAAACAAAGAACACATAAAGATGGGATCCATACTCTCTATAATGGTTGGGAATGGGATTTTTGGAATGAATTCCATTTTAGTGGACCCATACAATGAACCAAGCATCAAAAGTTTCTATGAAACCCTTAGCCAAGGTTTCAAACCCTCCCAAACCCTCAAACCAAGCACTTCCTCAAATGAAATTGTCGTGAATGAAAAATAAAATAAAATAAGAAAAATAAATATGGAAAAAGGTATCAACGCTCTCCTCCTCCTTACAAACCAACAAAACAAAATAGGGGAAGAATGAGCTGGTGACTCGTAACCAGTAGTAGGTTGTTGGTAGGTTGTTAAAACTCGTCGCAATAAAATGTTTCTTCTCGACTTGTGAGATCATTTTAAGACTTAGGGGCTTGTTTGTCCAATATTTATTTTGTTTTTTGTCTAATTTTACCTCTTAAAATACTTCTCAAACACAAATCCCAACACTATCCAAACAACTTTTTAATTTACCTTTTAAAAAATATTCCAAAAATTATTTTTACATAATTTTCATCCACCACCACCGGACCACCTCCACCACCACCTGCCGTCGCCGGACGACCGGATTCCGGCCAAATTCCGGCGATCTAGCCAGAACCCGGTCGGTCGGTCGCCGGCCGGCGGCAGTCCGGTGGCGGCGGTGGACAGTCTGGCGGGGACGGTAGTGGTGGAGATGGTCTAAAAATATTATTAATTTATTTAAAATATCACCCAAACAATTTTTTAAATTTTATCTCAAACCTAAATCAAAAAATAAAACAAAAATTAAAATAAAATGTTGGCTAAATAAGCCTAGGAGTTCGATACATCCATTGCAACGTATTCTCTTCTCCTTCATGCCATCAAGATGGGGCCAAAAATCACTACAAGTTTATTTATCTTTTGTGAGCTGACTTTGAGAAATTGCTTATGAACCTTGGCATAAATGTAAGATGTTTTTGTGACTTACTGGTTATATGGTTCGAATTGGGAAAGTGTCTTTTCGACTAAATAAAAATACTATTCCCTCCATCCACAAAAATAGTCCACATTGAGTTTTAAATTTTTTATTATTTTTAGTATAAATTTAAAAACTTAATGTTGACTATTTTTTTGGGACGAAAAACTCAATATGGATTATTTTTGTGGGACGGAGGTAGTACTACAATTATGCTCAAAAAATAAAATAAAAATACAATTCCTGTTCCACGGTTCCACCATTTGTTAGACACCAATGTTTACTAACGGAAGGGAGTATTTTAATTTGGGCGGGCTTTCACTGAGTTATAAAGGGCTAGCTTCTCAAGTGCGCTTTACGCGGGCCCATAGAAAAAGGAGGGAGGACAATTGTTGGGCTCGGTAATCCATTCCCATGAGGAGTCGTTTTGGAGCGAACGAGAGAAAAAGCAAATTGGGCGCGAGTTCCTCGCAAGGACATCCCCAATGTTCGATTAACTTCGAGTTCGGAGCCTCGGCTCGCCGTTAGTCTGATCGTGATCTCTGCTGGCTCACTTGTACGTTTCTGTTAACTGGTAAGTGCATGATCTTCGTTTTCGCGGCTTTAGATTTGTTATGTTCTCTCAATGAAACCCTGATATTGCCTTCAATGATCAATGTTATCGCCGCCGTGGCTGGGACATTCAGAGCAGGAGAGTGGATTGCTATGATTGTTCATGAGCTGATTTCTTTTCTGAATCGCAATTGATTTTTTTTTTTTTTTTGTTTAGTGGTTGTTGAATTGCTGCTCCGTGGTTCTCGTTCATTCAGCCACATTTTCGGTTTTGATTTTGTTTTTTTTTTCTTTTCCCGTAGTTTATTTATGATTTTTTTGAATGTGATGTGTTGAATAAAATTTGAAAATAGTAGTAAGAACAATTTACATTTTATTACCAATTTAAATACCGGAACATTTGATGATTTCCATGGAGGTTATTTTTTCATTTGCTGAATTAGGCAATGACATTATTGCATTTAAGGTTTTGATCGGTTGATAATTGAACTATGCGTTATGGCATACAACCCCCTTCATCGGGATAGCTAGGAAATCCTGAAAATTTCTCAAGAAACTCTGGTAGAATCAAAATCAGAGCACCAATCTTACAAGGGTTCGTTACTCATTTAGTGTTAATGTATAACTCCTCAAGGCCAGCTTAAACCATTCAGGTCAAACTGCTTGCACCTTGAAGCTGCATCAGTACTATCGTCAGTGTTTAGATCCAGTTTAGGAGCAAAGAATGGTAGTTTATACTCTTCTGCGGACCTCTTCTTTTCCGCCACTATGGAATTGTTTCTGTTTGAAGGTTGATCAAAGAATTTGACGTCATTACTCTCTGTGCTTCTTATTCTTTTCTCCGAGTAGCTGCTGTGATTGCTACTCCATGTACCTCCTTGCAGCCCAATGCTCATTGACAAATTGCTTCCATTTATGTCAGCAGCACTTGCCTTTTCTGTTTCCTCTTCACTCATAGATGACAGAAACTTTCTCTTCTCTTTTATGTCTCCGCACCATCTACGTTCAAGACACTGTTCATTGTTTATGTTGCTAAACCCAGTGGCTTTTGTGAAATTTAAAGACCTGGCAACCATTGGATTGTTGGCCATTTCTAGGTCTCTCAGGGAACCTTCACATGACGTCAAACAGCTGTCCATGGAGTTGTCTGTTGGTTGGGATGTTTGTTGTTGTTGGGGGTACAGACCTGAGAGTTCTTTCATGTCTGAAAATGCTGTATTGAGGCAATGGGTGGAGACTTTCGTTAGTTCTGATAATTGAACCTTGGCAGCTTCTAAACCCATTGATCCCATGTTCTGTCTTCCAAGTGTCTCCTGTGCTTTCTCGAGCACTGCCTGTAAATATTTTCCTTGAGCTTCTATGCGGAGCTGTAAGTGACGTTGCACCTATATCAGTTTAGAGAGGACTGACTTAAGTCCACGCTTCAGAATTTCTCAGTCCTAATTATGCCCAAAACATGTGGGGAATGAAATTCACTTCCTTTTTCTGGGTTGAGGCTTGAAATTATTCCTCAAAACCAAATTCCTAATGATTGTGAAAGTATCTTGGGGTGTATTGACAAGTAACAAAATTTACCTCGAGTTGCTCATAAAGCCTTCTCTGCACTTCGATCTGCATCTCTATCGCTTCTCCTATGTGTAGGTTTCTGTGTGTAAGATGCCACAATCAGTAAAACTATGTAGAAGAACTGATTCATAATAATTAAATGAACATGATTTTAAATTTTCTGTTCTTACTTGTTGGCCTGAGGTACGATGCTAGGATTATTAATGTGAGTGGCATTGACATCGGGGGTCCTTTCTCCTGCAGCTGCAACCATTTCAATGTTAAGTTAGTATTTCCGCAAAGCAGCCATTCTGTTGGATTATATTCTTCATGATGAAAAGCGGCTTACTAGTTTTGTTGGCTCCAGCATTGGCTTGTCCGTGGAGATTCTTGCTAAGTCTATATTTCTGACAGCACATATTAAGAGGTCAGTTTCGTGTTCACCCCAACTTGTAAGTAGAATTAATTGGTAAATAATTTCGCTTCTTTGGTTCAGATGACAAGTTTAGAAATGTGTGTACAGAGGTCACGGGGTACTAATTCTAAATTTATGACATACAGAACAATTGAACAGTGTTGTATTATCCCGTTACCTGAAGATGGCTTTTTAAATGATACAAAGTCAGCCCTTGAATTCCCATAAGCTTCAATACTGATTTTGGAGTTGCTTCTGCAAAAAGTAAAGTGATAGAAATTTAGTGGTTGAACGTGATAATAAACTAAGATAATCTTAAACTTATTGGTGATTCATTCTCTTACTGTCTGCTCCACCAAGTTGATTGACTGCTTCTATGAACCTTTCATGGAGGTCTGAAGTCCATTTTAATCTTGGCTTAGCATCAGTAGAAAGAACAAGTCCGGAGTCTCCAGGGCCATTTCCACCTTGCAGGAACAGGTGCCTTTCGGGAGGAAGAGACATTCTTGAGGAAGGGTGAAGGCTCTTTATTTGATGTTGATACATCTCCTCGTCTTCAATGCAAGAATTCATAATTAATTTCACATTAATCATATAAAGATATATGATTTCTTGCTATGAATACTGTAAGTTTTTACCTGGAAACTTCTAGTGCTGCTTCCTATCTGCTTTGACACTTTAAATGCGATTTATGAATACCTACTATGTAACACAATATTAACTTGGAATTGATATTTGATGAAAGGAAGCGTCGGAAGCTGCTCCTTATCTAAGTTTTTCTTTAATCTTTGCTCACAATTAAAGGATGTGCTCGAGATGTCTCCTTATAAGTGAATGAAGAGGGAGAGAGAGAATGGTGGTAGGTCCAACTGAGGCATAGAATCTTGAGCAGGGCCATCTAAGGGTTGGACCCAATCCAATCTCTTCACTGACTGAGAAAGAGATCTTGTCCTTTCAGTTCTCTGCATTTGTGGGTCCCCTCTATGCAAGTTATATTTCTAAATCTAGGATAGCAGCTTTGCTATCTATTATTCCTCTGTACCAGAAATTGTCAAAACTCTTGACACCTTACAAGAGGTACAAGAATAGATTCACCAGGCTAATCTTTTCCCAGTAATTCGTATTCGCTTCAGGCAAAGTTTCAGAACCTTATTCTCGGAATTACTAGTGGAATTTTTATTTTGATATTGACTGGAGGAATCCATTATCTATGATGTCTTGAAAGCTTCTAAGCCATCTTCACTTTCTGATGGAAGATTCTGTTGACTGGGGCATCTAAAACTTTGCATTAGATACATATGGGGAAAAAAATTGAAATGCTGGAGAGATATGCTTCACCTCAGGAATGTTTGAGGACATTATTGGTTCCTATTTTTTTTCTTTTTAAATTCCGGTTAGTTTGCATTCGGTGAAAGAGCAATGCTCCAGCTGTTACGTGTCCTTTTTTGGCATGCCTTGTTGCTCAGTTCTGTGTTTATTAAAGGATCCAGTAGTCTTAGTTTCATTTCACTGTTAGCCATTTAAACATCGTTGATTTTGAGTAGCAACAAGATGATAGGAAAATAGTGGAGGGATTCTTCACTTTCACTTTGTTTGAAGGCCAGGACTGGAATAAGGAACTCATTCCATTTTGTCTCCTTCAGTAAGTTTGGTACTTATTCAGCCTACACAGAACATAAAGGTATAGAGAAGGGACCTGTGTAACTTTTCCATTCTCCAAGTGGCATATATATCAGTTCCAGCCTCTAGCTATTGGACCAATGGGTCCCTTCTGGAAGGAAAACTGAAGGACTGTACTTTCTTCGAAAAAAATATATATATACATATATATACAGCATTTGATGGAAACCTGACAACTCAAAGCAGATAGCTAATCAGGTTACTTGTCCTTGACTTTAGTTTTAATTGGCTTTGCATATACTCCTGCATGAATCTACATATGCTTCCTGCAGTACTTCAAGAATCCCTTTTGCACTCTCTTGTGTTTTTGCAATTTATAATGATGCCTATGTGTCACGAAGTTTAGGCTTGTAATTTATGATTGGATACTTTATTTGATCTGAATTAATTTCCATATTATCTACTTCAATGGCAGTGTATTTCCTCACAGCACAATGTTTTATACTCAGGCATTTTAATTTTTTTTTTGGTGGTTAGCATTCACAGGTTTACTCAGAATGCTTTAACACCACCAAAACAAAAAGATTGATCTTTGAGATGTTTTACTGTTTCAGTTATGATTTACATTCATTGTTTTTCATGATTCTTTGAAATCTTGTTCCATGTTGTATCGGTATGTTTGTGATGCCAGTTATCAAGTATAAAGATATGGAGCATGCAAAACATGAAGAATAATATCAGTTGCTCATTAATAAAAAGAAAGGCACTAACAGAAACGCTAGTACAGAATAAGTTCTTGTAGTACATAGAAGAAGGAATGTTCAAGCCTAATACATTCAAAAGCAAAACCTGGAGATCTGTCCTCCCTCATCCCCCCAACCCCACCCCCCAGAAAAGAAAAAAACTACGCTCTTATGCACAAAATAAATTGATGACTCCAATTAATGTACTGAGACTGCTAAAAATAAGTGAAGACCTTTCAAATTTTGCTAGCTTTATCATTAAACATCATCTGTGTACTTGATCCATCTAATACTTTCTTCATGATCAATTGAGTTACCCATAAAACTTTTTGGAAATATCAAAAGATTCTGATAGGTCAGGATATTTTATGCAGTTTGGGAGAATCTATGGAAGCCTTTATGTAAAGTAAAGAAAAGCAAAAATTCCTCTATAGTTTTGCTGGCATGTGGATAGGAATGAATAGCAGCATATGGGGAGGGATTCCTTGCCTGCATTCGATTCATATATACCCACATATAGATCAATGGCTTGTAATTAATGATTAACCTATATAATGCTCTTCTGGAATTATACATTGCTCACCATTTGTGGTCTCTTAAGATCTTAATGATGCTAATTAGTAAATGAATTCTTATTCATCTCGATGTTCATAATTCAACTGCCACTAAACCGTTGATGCTGGTTTTTGGAAGGGACAATCAAGTTACTTACTTTTTTGGGTTCCTTTTAACCCTTTTAACCCCTGTTGTAGAAAAAAATAAAAATTATTTAGAGGGTTACTCTTTTGAGATTATAAATGTACTTGTGTATAATAAGAATAGCATAAAGATGCATGGGATGCAACTTTCATGTCATGCATGATCTCTCTTTCCAGTAATGGTACATGAAAAGTACTACTATTAATTCTTCAGTTGCCTTTTCCATGATGTTGCCAAAACGCCCCAGCTATTGTGGGTGTGCGTGTGTGTGTACGGCTGTTTTACCATTGAAACCCAAACCTCATCATTTGTTGTTTTCACTTGGCTTGCTGTCACTGTGATGAATAATATTCGCCACTTTACAAGAAGAACATTATTTTAGGTATAGGGTGGGTGGTAGGGTAGAAGTAGAGTAGGGTAAGGTAGGGGGATGAAGGAAGTTTGTTCTTTTTCATGTACTTTGCCTGACCTTTTTTAGGGTTCTGATTGTTATTATAAGTTTTACTCTAAAAGATGAGATCAAATTCTCCAGAAAGGAACACACTAAAACACAGGAGCCATCTGTTACAATCATTAAGGCAAACACACTTGGACAATGATTTTACTTAGTTGTAGAACTATTGACCTCACGTGATAACATTTGCTGCAAATTTTTACAGACCCCAACAAAAAAAAAGGGAAAAAGAAGATAGAAATGACCACGGAATTGTATTCGTTTCCCTGAGGAATAATGCTGGATTGGGGCTGCAAAAGTTAATATTCTGAGGGAATATAGAATTTGGGAATCATAACTCAAACTAAAGCCAGAGGGTCGTATTCTCAAGTCAAGAATTTTCTTATTCTTTTCCAGTTAAGGCCACAAAAAATGGGTTCCCACATACAATTGTTTGTTTTTTCTATCCCACATCTTAAGATAGTTTAAGATGCTCTTAATGTGCATAAATTTTCTGTTTTCCTTAGTAAGTGAAGCCGTTTTTCTTTACGCTTAGTTTATGCTTTTCCAGGATTAGCTGCACACTGCTGGAATCTCTTGATAGGAATGTGTCCAAATATCTGACCAGGTTGCATTGCATTGCATTTCATGATTTCCGTTTCCTATTCACAATGTACAAACTATAGCAACAAGTTGGTATTTGTTGTGTCTTCTGTATTTGCCTTCAAGGGAGGAAGAGGCTGTATCCAGTATATCCGGGGGCACCGTGCCCCGCCCTCCTATTTTTTATATTTTTAGTTTTTATTGTATTTTTTTCTCAATCTTTCTATATTTTACATGTTTAGTCCTTCTGAGTTTTTTTTCTCTCTCTTCCAAAAAAAAACATCCCTAATCTTTAAACAAGCAAATCTCCCAATCCGTGAAAAATTTGTGAACAAATTATATATGAAATTTATAGTACTCGTCGAGATCTATCCAATGAAATCCACAGTGAACATTTTTTCGGGCCTAAAAATCACTTAATTCTGATGGGCAGAATAGGGGTAGTTATCCATTTTCTTTCTTCTTTTTTTTTTTTTTGTTTGAAGAGTGAATGTCAAACATATGATGGGATAACAAGTACGAACAGAATGGATAACTAGTTCAAACCGGTTGGATAATCAGCATGAACACAACGGATAACCATTTTTCAAAGAAAAACGAAAAACACATTTCTTCATTTCTGCCCGTAAAATTTAAATGCATTTAAAGTTCAAAAAAATATTCAACATGGATCTTATCGGATAGATCTCGTCGAACACTATAAATTTCATATATAATTCGTGTTATAATTCTTTACGGATCAAAAGATACAAGGAACACAACAATATGAATGTGAAATAAGTTGGTTATCCATCTTCTCAAACTGGATATCCACTGTGTTCATATTGATTATCCAATGCGCTAATACTGGTTATCCAATGGATTTACATGGTTATCCAAATTGTTTGAACTGGTTATCCAATGTGTTCATATTGATTAGCCAATGAACTAATACTGGTTATTCACTGTGTTCATGCTAGTTATCCAACTTATTTGTACTGGATATCCATCCATTTGGTTTGTATGCATATCCAACTCTAATCTTTCAACGAGCATATCTCCCAATCCGTGAAGAATTTGTGAACAAATTATATATGAAATTTATAGTACTCGTCGAGATCTACCCAACAAAATCCACAGTGAACATTTTTTCGGACTTAAAAATGACTTAATTCTGACGGGTAGAATAGAATAGAGGTAGATATCTATCTTTTTTTTTTTTTGAAGAGTGAATGTTAAACATATGATTGGATAACAAGTACGAATAGAATGGATAATCAGTCCAAACCGATTGGATAACCATTTTTCAAAGAAAAATGAAAAACGCATTTCTTCATTTCTGCCCGTAAAATTTAAATGCATTTAAAGTTCAAAAAAAATATTCAACATGGATCTTATCGGATAGATCTCGTCGAGTACTATAAATTTCATGTATAATTCGTGTTATAATTCTTTACGAATCATTAGATACAAGGAAACGAATAGTATGAATGTAAAAAAAGTTGTTTATCCATCTTTTTAAACTGGATATCCATTCTGTTCATACTGGTTATCCAACTTATTTGTACTGAATATCCATCCATTTGGTTTGTATGCATATCCAACTCTAATCTTTCAACGAGCATATCTCCCAATCCGTGAAGAATTTGTGAACGAATTATATATGAAATTTATAGTACTCGTCGAGATCTATCCAACGAAATCCACAGTGAACATTTTTTCGGGCTTAAAAATGACTTAATTCTGATGGACAGATTATCCAACTAATTAGTATTATTTATCCAACCAGGTTTTTGTTTTTATTATTTTTTAAAAAAATAATAAACTAAGTTGATTATCCAACTCGTTTGTATTGGTTATCCAATCATTGGTTTGTATTGGATTATCCAATGCGCTAATGCTGGTTATCCAATGGATTTACATGGTTATCCAAATTGTTTAAACTAGTTATCCACTTTGTTCATACTGGTTATCAAACTCGTGCATACTGGTTATCCAACTTATTCTGCCCATCAAAATTTAGTCATTTTTAAACTCAAAAAAAATATTCGAAATGGATCTTGTTGAATAGATCTCGACGAGTACTATAATTTTCATGCATAACACGTTCTCAAATTCTTCACGGATTGGGAGATATGGTCATTGAAAGATTAGAGATTTTTTTTGGAAGAGAGAAAAAAAAAAGTCACAGGGACTAAACTTGTAAAATATAAAAAGATTGAGAAAAAAGTACAATAAGGACTAAAAATACAAAAAATAGGAGGGGGCACGGTGCCTCCGAGTATACTGGATAATTTGTCGGGAGGAATATAAGACAAATAACTTAAGTGTGGTTGGTATCGTTAATCGTCTGTAAGTTTTTGGCAATTCTCTTGTTAACTTTTAGTAAACGTTTGAGCTGATCTTTCTTTCTTCGTGTTTTGCGACGGAAATTAAAAGGGTCCAAAAATTTGCGTATCAATTAGCTTGACTTTCAAGGATAACAAAGTTGTAGCATTCTACTGAAACAAGATCTGTTAGTAGAGTAAAACTTTTGGTTAGAGGAAACGTTTCCAGTCGTCACTAATCAGCGCAGTTTACATATTTTCTTTCTTCTAATAACTTATATCATGTACTCCCCTCCTGTTTTTTTTTATCTAAAAAGGGCACAGTTTTAAAGGAATTTATATTAGATTGTATGTTATGACAAGTACAAAAGAGAGTAAGATAAATCTGTGTGTTTCACCCCAGTGAAGCTGCAGGCAAACTCCATTCGATCTATGTAGCGCGAGGGTTATGATTGTTTAGAGGACAAGGCATAAA